TGGGCTCTTCTCATACTAATAACCCATTTGGGCTTTAGTAAAAGAGCAAACCCAACATAAACATATATAGGATTCATCAAACTCATAGACCAAAACATAGGGAAGTTGATCAATCATGTAATAGGAACCTTGAGCAAATAACAATATGTATTTTAACCATCTTTTCTAATAGGCGTATGACTCATCCCAATCACCAAACAATTTCATTATGGCCTTTTGATTGACCTTCCAAGCTTTCCTAGAAGACACTTTATATCCATGTAGTTCAAAAATTCTTTCGTGAATAAGAGCAATCCTAATTTATGGATCCACGTGAACTATACTTAACACACACAAAATGTTATTTAAATGTGCAATTATTTGATCGAATGACCTTTTGTTACACACAAATATTAAATGTTAAAATACCTAAGATGCATGAACATATGAAGTTAGAATAAAGTTGTATGTGGTCCTATGAAAGACAAGGGTTTGCACAATTGTGTTTGCATCCCCATCTAGTAACATTCTACCTATCTAGCCACCTTGGTAACAATGCTCTCACCCTCCATAGATAGCCGTCAACATGATCAATGCATTTCATGTGCAACTTATACTTTTTACTTTTCTCCACAAAAGCAGTATGATATATTTTCACACAAAAATATTTCATTGTTGTTTGCACCATTTTCTTATTGCTAAATTCTTGATTAACAAATAATTCATCTCTTAATTGCCAAGAACCATCTATGCCCCAACATCTACATTTGGTTCTTAATCAGGGTGATCCCAATTTATATAAGTATAGTGCATACTAGCATTCTAAAATGGAGTATGAGTTTGACTTGCACATACAAACACTACATAAACATAACATGTAAACTAAATCATTCAAATAATTAACTAACCTTCCAAATGTTGTGGAAGTTCATTAACATTAACACTAGTCAGGACAACATTGTGGACAATATTTACCTCCACATCAAAATCTGATTCACTTTCGTCAAGGGAAACTTCTTTGTCTTTCACTTCATCGGGAGCTCCCAAATTAACATACACATGCAATCATCGTCTTCATCTTCAATAGATGTATTTTGTTAGCGATTTGGTGGAGGATCAGAATATGGAAAATTGAGATCCAGTGAGTTAATCAGTAATGATGAGTTATATGCAGAGGCAATGTCAACATACAACTCAAGTACCGTTATTGCAGACCGCTGTTGAAATGTAGTGAATATATCTCATCATCATCACCATCACCATCAATAATTTCCAACACAACAAGTTTTTTCGTTGTACAAAACTAATAGGTCAACTGAGAGACAAAACTAATTGCCTCCAAACTTTAATTTCTTAGCAATTTTTGTCTTTAGACCGTCTAAGGTGATTTCACATCATGTATCCCTCGGTCCGACCGTTAAATATTTATCACACGACACCTTTATATATTCTGTCATTGCAATATATGATTGCAGAAACTAAACTCATTATAGAAAAGAGAAGTAGGTAGAGTATAAGGAAAATTGAGAGAAATGTGAGGGAGATGGATAGAATAATGGAAACGAAAAGGTTATGGAGATATTATAGGTGGAGGAGTAGGAATTGGCATTACATGATAAATGAGGGCAGCACACTCATTTAAATGGGGAAAAAAATAAAAGACAGGTTTGAATTCTGTTTTCAAAAATAGTTTTTTTTTTTAATTTTTAGAATAAAAAATAAAAAAATTATTTGATAAGGCCTGTTTTGTAAAAATAATTTTAAAAAACATAATTGGTTTTAGTTTTTAGAATCAAATTTAGATAATATACCTAAATTATTTTTGTTTTGAGTTTTAACTTTTAACTTTCAAAAAATAAAATAAAATACAAAAAATAAATATTTCATTACTATTCCATAAAACCGTTCTAAGAACTAAAAAAATCAGAATACAATCAAATGGACACTTAAAAATCAGAATGAGGCAAAAAAATTTAATTATTGCATTTTAATTAAATAATTACAATTGTAGTTTTGGAAATAATTACGGATCTATTGCACAATGTGACGCTTTTTTTGGGCGTCACATGTGACGCCTCATTTAGGCGTGTCTCACCTAAGGGAAGACGTCCCAATGGGGCGTCTCTCACCTAAGGTTGACACGTGTCATTTTTTTTCTCTAAAAATAATAATAATTTAATTATAAAACTTCTGAAGGGCATAACTTTTGATTCGGTATCCAATTAAGGTAATTCTTTTTTTGATTTCACATAACTTTTCGAGATCTACGCAGTTACATCTCATTTGATATATTTTATTTCTCACAAACATAATTTAAACTTAAATTATGTAATCCTTCTTCCTTAGAGATTTAGAATATTTATTTAGTTATTTCCTTTATTAATACAGATTTTTTAAATTGATTTTTGAGTTTAAATCACAAATCAAATCTTTATTTTGTTTTCCTTATTAATAATAATTGTTACTTTTAATTTAAATCACAAACCAAATTTTTTTGATAATAAAAATAAAAAAATTTATTTTTTAAATTAAATCACACATCAAATCTTGATTTATTTTTTATATTAAATCATAAACGCAGAACTCAGAGGCTTCTGAGTTTTAAAATGTGACACGTGTCAACACCTGACACGTCACCAATCACGCCTAAATTGGGTTTCAATCAAGAGGCAATCACGCCTAATTTAGGTAATTTTATTTTTGAAAAACATTCATAAGCCATCATTAATTTCAGACCGCGAATAATAACCCAGAAGCTTATAGCATTAATCATTAATTTCAAAAATAATATCCTTCTTCCTTAGAGATTTAGAATATTTATTTAATTATTTTCTTTTATTCTACAGATTTTTCAAATTGATTTTTTAGTTTAAGTCACAAATTAAATCTTTATTTTGTTTTCCTTTTTTTTTGGTAACTGATCCTAATTACCTCTTTGAGGCGAATTAGAACCCCCGGTATCCCCACGGGTTCGACTCTTTGAGCCGCCTGTGGGGCTAATCCAGAGTTCGGATGCGAGTCCAAGGATTACGGTACTTATGCCCCTCCCCAGATGGTGTTGGTGGGATTCGAACCGAGGTCCTCTCCCACCACTCAGTTCCCATGCTACCAACTGAGCCACCACACTTGGGTTTTATTTTGTTTTCCTTATTAATAATAATTTTATTTTTAATTTTAATTTAAATCACAAACCAAATTTTTGTTATAATAAAAAAAAGTATTATAAAAAAATTAAATCACAAACAAAATTTTATTTATTTATTTTATATTAAATCACAAACCCAGAACTCAGAGGCTTCTTGGTTTAATAATACCATTCTTGCAAATTAAAATTATGTTTGTGAGAAATAATATATATCAAATGAGATGTCATTGCGTAGATCTCGAAAAGTTATGTGAAATCAAAAAAAGAATTACTTGAATTGAATATCTGAGTCAAAAGTTATGGCCTTCAGAAGTTTTATGATTAAATTATTATTTTTTTGGAAAAAAAATAACACGTGTCAACCCTAGGTGAGAGACACCTAAATGAGGCGTCACATGTGACGCCCAAAAAAGACGTCACGTTATGCAATAAATCCGTAATTATTTCTAATACTGTAATAAATACGTAATTATTTAATTAAAATACAATAATTAAATTTTTTTGCCATCAAACGGATCCTAAAATTTTTGTATGATTGTTCACGTTACTTGCAACAGTCATTTGAATAAAAAAAAATTAAAACTTAATAAGTGTTTAAGGCTTGTTGCGACGCTCATTTAAAAATAAAAAATAAAAAATAAAAATACAATTCCATTGAACTGGAAGAGCGAAACGCCAAAACTAACCACCCCGTTGAGAATTATTTTTCGAGTCATTCAAAAAGGGAAATGCATATTGAAACATCCCAATTGGATAAAAAGCCGGGGACAGGACAAGTCTCCTTCATGTACTTTTAGCCGATACTAGCCAACAAGGGAATATTTCACAAAACCAATCCTTTTAAGAAGACAGAGAACAGAAACCTTAGACAATGTGTAGCACATGGCCTTAGTGATTTGGGGAGAAAAGTTTCTTTGGTATAATTAAATGAGTTTTATAAGAGTTACGTTGTAGGAAAAATGATTTTGTAATGTTATAGAGATTCGTTTTGTGTGCCGTAATTTTCTTTTTTTTTTCTTTTTTCTTCAAAAAAACATGAGTTTTACAAAATATTGTGTGTGTAAGAAAATTTATTGTGTCATGTTAAATAACAAATGCAAATCCCATAGTTAAGATGAGGACGAGCTAAACAAGAAAACCTAATAAGTGAATTAATTAATACGCAGCTATGGCAAGTCCAATGGATATGATTGACAACAAAATATTCAAATAATGAAATAATTGTGTTTAATATCGCTCGGATATACAGGATGGATGAAGTTTAAGACTTTTTTTTTTTTTTGGTAAACAAAATTTAAGACTCAATTAAAATAATAGTTATATAAGATTAAATTTTTGAATAATTCAAACAAAACATATTATTGGTGAGAAAAAAATCTAACTTCGATTTTCATTAAATATATTTTTGAAAAAAAATGATGAATTTTAACTATAACTAAGTCTTAGTTTAAGATTAATTTTATAATTGACTCAAAGAATTAAAATCTATGGGAATACTCAGTTGATTTATCTTAAAAAAATAATTAGAATAAATATATAAAAAAATTATTTTTTGCTTTCAAATATTTAAATATATAATTGGTTTTTCTAAATAAATTTAATTATATACAATTAATTGTTAAATATTTTTTTAACAGTTAATTCCGGCACTCTGAAACAGTGTTTGCTAAACAATAAAGGGTTTGGTGTTTTATCATTCTAGATGACATAAGTTATGTCATTTTAAGAAAGAAATACACGCAAAAAACTAAAAATCATGACAGAAAAAAAAAATGAGTGATTTTTTTAATTTAAAATTTAAATAAAATTTATTTTTATGCGTCTCTTTCTTAAATTTACTGAGTATCTGTAGCGTCAACTATCGTCTTGTTCGGGTTAGGGTTTTTGAATTTTCAGTGTTTCACTCGAATGGCGAGGTACCGAAGCCGGAGCAGAAGCTACAGCCCTCGCCGGCGAAGCCCAAGCCCACCGCGTGTGCGGAAGCGCCACGATGATCGCCACCGTGATAGCAGGTCCTACAGAGACCGCCGCTCCCCTGGTCCTTCTGGCTTGCTTGTTCGCAATCTTCCACTCGATGCTAGACCCGAAGATCTTAGGCTCCCTTTCCAGCGCTATGGCCCCATCAAGGACGTTTATCTTCCCAGAAATTACTACACTGGGTATCTCTGTCTTATCTACACTATCAATTTTTTATTCTTATTACTCATATTCTTCAATATTTTACAGTGCTTGTGCGTGTTAGTTTGTGCATTCAATCATGTCAATTTTTTTGTATTTTAAATTGTAGTGAGCCTCGGGGCTTTGGGTTTGTGAAATTTCGATATGCTGAAGATGCAGCAGAAGCTAAGCAACAACTTAATTACACTGTCATTGGTGGACGAGAAATAAGAATTGTGTATGCTGAAGAAAATAGGAAAACTCCTCAAGAAATGCGTGTAACTTCTCGTGGAAGGTGTGATTACAGCCTGTTTACTTTTGTTAATTGCTTCGCAGTTTTTGCAATTTTGGATTTTCTTCTATGCTTTGTGTTTGAAGGTTTATTGACTTTTGCTTTCTTTACTATTATTAGTGATCGACCTGGAGGAAGCGGTAGAAGGAGGACTCCTACAAGATCTCCTAGACGCCAATATCATTGTCAGTGTTTGAACTATTCACTTCAGTATCTAATTAGTTTCTAAATGCAATGATATTCAGTTTATTGTGGTTTAAGCTTCCTGTGGGAACTGAGAAGCGATTCCTTTTTCTTGAAGTTATTGTATCTCTTTGTTTTTGCAGCCTACTCTCGGTCTCCATCACCAGCTAGGGATGATTCAAGGTTTGGGTTTTGTAGATTAGATATATCTTATAATGTCCATTGTGCATGTTTTTGTTCAGCGTTGTCTTTATTTTTTGGGTATGAATATGAACTAAGGCTTCGTTTGGTATGAACCTTGATTTCATAATTATTATGATAGGGGTACATTCCAAAACTTTTAGGAACTGAATCATTATTTATAATGGGTTTTCTGAAATTATATGCACTTCTGAAGTAGTGGGCTTTATCTTTTTAGCCAGTATACAACTTGTTTGTATTCATTCCTTGGGGATGATAATCTTATAAGAATCATGTAGATAAAACTGGCAAATGAATGATGCATTAATAAGATGGTTGGAAGTTATTATTGTTGTAGTTACTCAGCAGAAGTATTGGTAGCAAAAGTAACTTTACTGTTTGTGTCCTCTGTTTTCTTATGCGTGCAAATGCATATGCTGTCAGTGGCAGCTTGCTAGATTTTTTTAACCTGATTATTTTAAAGAATTCATATTTCTATTGGAGCTCATATTTCTGTTGGAGCTCCATTATATCCTTATTTCCAAGAAACTTTTTTAAGAAATGCATTATATTATAGCTTACATTCAAAATTCTTCTTAAACACGGAACCATTTGTGTAAATGTTTGTGGTTTTTTGTATCTTAACGTCAAGCCAAATTTAAGCTGTTTATGTTGCAAAGGGTGACGAGACTAATGTTTATTAGCTTGAGTAAATATAAAAGCAACTTCAAACTGTCCAAATGCTTAACTTAAATTTATCTTATTAAAACACTTGCTGAATTACCTACTAACCTTGTTTTTATGTTATGAGAGTTCATACTGATAGAGATTATAATGGCAGGCTGGTTTACATAATAAATCTTGATGATGATGATTGTACTGTTTCCTTGCTGGGTTAGAGCAAAAATTTGCAGGTTGACTGCTTACTGTTTGCCAGTTGTTAAGGGTGGCATACAATCCTTTGACCTTGACGACCCTCCATTTGAATGAATTGAATGATGTCTGCTTATGGTCTTCTTTATGCAGATAATAAAGTGAATTGGAAGAATTTAAAGACTTCTGGATTAATAAAGATTAACGAGTAAAGAGGCATAAAGTGATGCACTACTTGCTTACATTTCTATCAAGACTCCATAAGAAATACCTATATCAAATTTGCCTTATTCTACCAGTTGCATGGGCTTTCCCTACTCTCTGGCATTTTGTTTGTGAGGCTTGCTTATTGAGTGATCTGGCAAACGCTTTAACATGGCAAGAAGATTGGTTCAAATAAGTACTACTGTTTTTGTCCTTTTATAAATTTTCTTTATACATTTTATTTAGTTTAATATCTTGCTTTGCATATACCATCCAGTTAGAAAGAATATAAAGCTTATAGTTGGCCCAAGAAAATCACCCTCAAAGAAAGGAAGCCAATGTTTATACTGGTAGAGATATGGTGACATTGTGCAAGAAAGTTAATTGTGATTTTAGAAAGTTGGGGCAAAGAGTATGAAGTTACCAGATGCTGATCTTGCAGTACATCATTCATAATTCTCAGTGTTTGGATTCAAGTGTCATGTATTTGTCCAGAAACTCTGGAAAGGTACAGGTAAAGGTCATATTTTGGCTAATTAAATTTTGAAGAGGAAGTAAGTATTAGTTCTCCCATATATAAACAAAAATTATTTATTAAAAAGAAATTAACAAATTTTGGTTTGAATGACTTTGTGCTTTACTGTCTGTATAGTTTGTTTTAGTTGCAAATATTCAGATATCTTGAGATACTTCTGGGTTGGTGTTCTACTTTCTTGATATGTGGAGTATTATATGTTTTGATTTAACAATCATTACTAATATCATTATATAACTAATCTCCCTGTGATATAGGAATGTCAGGGGTAGTGATGCGTATAATTCTCCTGAGCGATCAAGATCTTATTCTAGGTCTCCCTCTCCTCGTGGTGGTAAGGATTATAGTTCTCCAAGTCCCAGAGAGAATGGTTGGAGCCCCAAGGACAGGGGGAATCATACACCTTACAGATCAGAAACCCCTAAGGGTTAATGATTGCAGGTCTCGTTTGAGGTCATACAGGTTAGAATTTTCATCAGCTCGTCTACTGACTGAATATGACATACAAGTACAAGCCTAATTGTGCCAAATGTCTGCCAGTTCCAAGATTGATCTTTAATAATTCTGTTGAATATATTACAGAGGTACATCTAAAACATTGGAATCAATAAGTGTCGTTTCTATGTCCCTTTTTTCCTAAAAAGTAGAAACCAAACTTAATCAATGTTAAGCTAAACTTTAGTGCTAGTGTATTAGTAATTATTGTCTTATGTCTGTCATGTCTCATTACCACTCATAGAGTTCATGTGCTTACATGTTACTGGTATATTTTTGTACGCAAGTACCTTTTATATACAACCTTGAAGTTCGAATTCCTATCATTCCATTTTTTCAATCAAGCATTCATTTCATTTGAATGATCAATGTTATTTTCTGTTTAAAGCTTCATATTGAAATTGTAATTGACAATCAGTGGTTTATTAGTTCTTTCTGCTTGTGCAGTCCTCCCTGATTTGCTGTCAAGCATGTGGTGTTCAAGTTTAGCCTTTGCTGAGGTTACATACTGTAGTTAGACTGTCTCAACAGTTGCCTGTATACTTGTTGGAGTTAAAATCTGTTGAGTAATTTTATTTTATGAGTTTTCTATGCTTTGTAGAACACCCATAATTTGGTTACTTTTTATTTCTGTGTTCTTGTTTTTATTGACACCCATAATTCATGTGTATTTTCGACGTTTTCATGTATGCACTGTTGCTCTGTCCGGAAGTGGTAACCATTGGCTTACACGAACAGTCAATTAGAGTATATTTTCAATGTTTTGTGCAGTATTATGTTTTAGTTTTTTAAACTGTGGTATCGTGTACTTAAAACCTAAAAAATTGTTCATATTAGGTTTGTGATTTTAGTTACGACTATGTTATTTATGTGCGTGAAGCGTGATCCAATTTTGTATAGACACCCTTATGATCTTAGTTGGGAGAGGTTGGAAATCCCGTAGCCATGAAGCTTTAAAGAGTAATAAAGAGGCAGTTTTCTATGTTATGTTTGGTGTGGTAGGGGCACTTCGAGAATATGGATTGAGAAACCTCTGGTTTCGTCCAAGGTATACTTGGTTATGATCTTTCTTAGTTATGATCAGCATTTCATAAGGTAAAGCTTAGTAAATTATATTGGTTGGTAATTAAGAGTGCCATTGCAAGGTTTCACTAACAATGTAACGACAGCCAAATTTCTCTCTTCTTCATAAGAGCACGAGTGAACACGACGTTCGACAGTAATCCGACTTCAATGAATTACTCTTACTGAGCTGCACCAAGTAAAAGCGTTGGTAGAGAAAAATTCCATGCAGAAATACAGACAGTCTTGCTATACACACGTACTAATAAATTTGTAACAGGGAAAGTGGATGGAAGTAGAATTCTCATGGACTGATATGAACCCGAGAATATTCAGTGCAATTAATTAAGGTAGATAGGAATAAAACAAAGCTACTTTGGTATTAAGATGTTATAGACAATCTGGTGAGGAATTTTGGTGATATTTTGTATATGCTTATATTCTGGTCAAGTTATATAATGGGTTCCTCCACATCTAAAATCTTCTTTACTTCTTCATCTTAAACAGAAATAAAACAAAAATAGATAGCACAGAACTACACCTCATTTTCCTATAACGAAGCTCTCGTAAGGATATGTTAAGGTCAATTATCTGGCTACTAATGTGTGTTTGCTATTTCCTCAACTAAATAATAGACCGTTTACAATACGTGGAAAGGTAACGTATTGTCAACTCATCTTTTAAGTCGTGGTTATAACAAGCCCAAATCAACAAGCACAATGTGTTTCATCCAATCCCCGCATGAGAGAGAGAGAGAGAGAGGAGAGAGAGAGATTTGACATCTCTAAAAATAACCAAGGAGAGGTAGACCGCACTTAAAATATAAACCAATCTTATTAAACTTGGACCGGTGATCGATCCGGTCGGAGTACCGGGTTAGTGGGTCACTGGTTCAATCGCATGAATCAGATATATATATAATTTTATATTTTATACTTAATTATATAATAAATATTTTAAATGATGCTAGTAAATTAATAATCAAATCTAGTTTAGTGGTAAAGACTATAATTTATATCTTCATAACAAAGGTTTGATTCTCACTAAATGCTATTTTGAAATAATTTTATTAAATGATAATATATATTAAATGGTGCATATAAAGCAACAAACAAATTCAGCCCAGGGATAAGCTGTTGTTGAGCATTTTCATGAGACTCGAGTTCGGATCCTGAATGAATTTTATGTACTGTGTTTTGGGATTTTAACAGTTTGTATATTGATACTTCTTTTTTAAATAACTTTTTGTATGCTAAAACTTTGGGACCGTTATAGTCCTCTTTTTAATTATTAATAATAATTTCGCATTTTATTTTTTAAAATACATTTTTCACTTTAAATAAGCTAAAGCCTTATGAACCACCTCATTTTTACATACAAGCGATATTATACTAAGAGCTATTTGATAAAAAAAAATTTAAGCTAAAAATTACTTTTAAGTTAAAGTTAATTTTTTTTTTAAAAAAATTAAGCTAAAAACAGTTTAATGATTATATGAATCTTTAACTTAAAATTATTCATTTTAAAAAAACTGTTTATTTTAAAAAAGAACTGATATAACTTAAAAAAACTCTTCATAAGAACTTGTAGTTTTTGACTTTTTTTCTTCATTATAAATAAAAAGCTCTTTTTATTATAGGGGAGTTGTTTTGTCATGTTATGTGACAAAAAATCATTTTTCTACACACATAATATATGTGGGGTCCATTAAACAATGAAGTGAGAAAAAGAAATCAAAGATGAAGCTCACCTTGAATTATGTATGAAGATTGTTTTTTTGTCATGTAACATGACAAAAACAATTTCTTTTATTATAAGAGTTTGTGTAAAAATTAATTTTGTCAAACTACTGCGGAGAAACTAAAAAAAAAAACTTCCCAAGCTGACTCATTGAGAAGTGTGCTAGCATTCCTTTTAATTTTTATTTTATAATGGGACCACCAAAATTTGTTAGTGCATGAAATTTTTTTTATTGTCCTAGGACATATATATTTCCCATATTAATATAATTAAACTTTTGGTATTGTAGTCAAATGCATCTGTTCCTCTTAGTCAAGAGTCGAATGATAGCTAATTTATATGCTTACTTTAGTTCTCTAAAAGCAAGGTACTTGTCCACAACTTGTGGCTTCACTTGATTGGTTTAATCACTAATTAAAGATGAGTGAGTGGGTTAACCTGTTTGATCACTCGCACTAAAATCAGTACTAATTCGTTACATCGTCCTGAGATTGACACGTTTTGAGCACTTTTGATGTCAATATTTACGAGGACCATTAAACCAATAAGTTCTGATTGAATCTAATTAATAAGTTGTGTATACTAAAGAAAAAAAATATAAATACCCCATTAAATTCTAGGACTTAACCTACTTATAGAATAGTGGGTTCGAGTTCGAGAGTTGGAATTTTTTAGGTAAAAAGAGAGTCCATTTGTTTGAATTTTTTAAAAAAGTAATTTTTATCTCTTCTTTATTTTAGAAGTATTTTTTTACAAAAGTTAAAATTATTTATATTTTTACAAAAATATTTAATTTTTAAAAATAAATATTTGACTTTTATTTTTATTAGAAGTTAAAATTTTTAATTTCTAAAAATAGTAAGTTTTTGACTTTTTTTATAATTTTTATTTTTTTTTTAAAAAGCAGATATCCACGTGAATCTAAAGTAATAAATATTTTTTTTTGTTGAAAAAAAGTAATTTTTAGAGAAAAAAATTCATCCAAACGAATCTTTAAACCCAAAATTGAATTAATCAGGTCTGATAGAATTTTGGATATTGATTAATATTTTTCTCAAAAATAAACTAATCTATTTATACAATTTTTATAGCCACAAATCTACAATTTCGTACAATTATTCTTTAGACATTTCTCATTTTTTTATTTTTATTTTTGGTAATGATTATACAGACACTTCATCCAACTTAAGCCGCGTCATGAATATCACCTCAAAGTTTTTCACGATAATCTCAAATCTAATTAATATTCACGTAGTTGTACAAAATTATGAATACTGTAAGAAATATAAGCTCTTTTCTTTTCCTTTGGGCTTTGCCCTCCCTAATTACCAAAAAATAACCTTGCTTAAGTAACGACATTACTTGAATAATTTCGTATTTGCAATTCTGCATAATTGTGCAAGTGGTTCGTCGTGGCTTATAAATTTATGTAAGATATTTTTCAAAGTAAATTATAATTTGTACTTGCTTACCAAAAAAATTATAATTTGTACTTAAGAAAACTGAAGATATATCATATATAGACTCCTCCATCATAGAGTTAGTATATGTGTGAAGTTAATGATAGACAAGAACCAAATAAATAGTTGATAATTGCAGACCGGAACCAAAAGCAAGTGAGATAGATTTTGCATTATCAAAAGTGCACAACATAAGTGGACCATATAAGGTCACACCATTAACCAGTAACATTTTTACTAACACTACATTCATTCTTAATTCAACTTGAATTCAATATGTTTTTTTGTTAGGCTTGTGAAATTATGCTAAGAGTACAACATTAGGTAAGCCACTGAATTTACTCCAGACGAGGGATTTAGGTAGTTTTATAGTAAGTTATATGTTTAATTTTCACTTATATTTAAAATAAGAAAAAAGAGTACAACGTTAGGTGGAATCACTGTGTTACATAAGGTGCACGTTACTAATCCAAGCCTAACTCTATAATAGCTCGAAGACTCCACGTCCGTTGCAGACAATAAAAGGGGTTCACAATCAAGATTTTTTTTTTCTATTTTAAATAAAGATATTAAATGTTTCTTAAACAATTGCCTTAGGGTATTGATGAGCAAGAACCTTATTTTAGTTGGTACATTCATGAATGTGTATTTAATGCATATTAATGATAAGAAATTATGTAAAAGAAATAAATTAAAGACTTTTCTCTGCAGTTGAGATGCTATGTAGCTTTGTAGTAGTAGAATGAGTTAGGGACTTAAGAAAATTGAAGATACATATATAGAATCCTCCATCATAGAGTTAGTACATGTGTGAAGTTGATGACAAACAAGAATCAAATAAATGGTTGATAATTGCAGACCAAAAACAAAAACAGATAGGATATGTTTTCCATTATCAGAAGTGAAAAATATAGATGGAACATATAAGGTCACACTATATCACACCACTAACCACTAACATTTTTACTAACACTATATTCATTCTTAATTCAACTTGAATTCAAATTTTTTTTTTTTGTTAAGCTTGCGAAATTATGCCAAGAGTACAACATTAGTGACGAGGGATTTAGGTAGTTTTATATTAAGTTATATGTTTAATTTTCACTTATATTTTAAAATAAAAAGAGTACAACGTTGGTGGAATCACTGGGTTACGTAAGGTGCACGTTACTAAGCCAAACCTAACTCTATAATAGCTCGAAGACTCCACATCCGTTGCAGACAATAAATTGGGCTCACAATCAGATTTTTTTTTCTATGTTAAATAAAGATATTAAATGTTTCTTAAACAATTGCCTTAGGGTATTGATGATCAAGAACCTTATTTTAGTTGGTACATTCATGAATGTGTATTTAATGCATATTAATGATAATAAATAATGTAAAAGAAATAAATTAAAGGGTGAATTGTTAGTATTGGTGAGCTTAGTTAGGTATGTTATATGGAGGTGCTTAGAGAGGCTGTGACCGTGGGTATGAACCAAATTTTTTAAGCGAGTTAGGGTCTGTTTGGTGTGATGTATAAGGTATGATAGTATAAACTTATACTATACATTATGACATTTTCAGTTGTTTGGTGTGACCATCGTATAGTATAAGCTTATACAGCATAATCTCTTAATACATCAAAACAATGTATAACTTAATCCGGCCTAAGGGTGAGGGATAAGGCCTGATAAGAGATTGGTGTATTAACATTGTTGACCAATGTAATTGTCAAAAAGTAATATTATTTTAATATTAATCTATTAAAATAAAAATTAATTTTTAAATATTGACTATTTTTATTTTTATAAAAATTAATTTATATTTTGGACACACTAATCAATAAATTTTTATAAAATTTAATATCATATGACATTTTTTGAAGAATTATATAAATTCTTTATTAAAAGATATTTTTATTAATTTTTTTATTTTTATCATATATAGTATTATACAGTGCATTACCAAATACTAGATGATATTATTCTATACAATATATTATTTTATACAATACCGTGCCAAACGCTGGATAGTATTAAAATTCAATCAGGCCTTATACTATCAGGTCTTATCCTATACTATGCATCAAACATGCCCTTAGTGTGTGTATATTCCAGAGATGACTGAATAAGGGGAATGTATAAAGATGATTTTATAATTTGGCAAGCTCATAAATACAATAAATATAAGATGTCCCTTTAATGAGTGAAAGAAAAAATGTGATATATTATTTTATCTATTTTTTTCCTACCACTTTCTAATAATATTAGATTAAAATCTCAACTACCTTTATTATTTTTCTCTTCTATTGATATTCTAATTTAATGGTATTGAAAAATAGTAGGCTATTAGATATTAGGTATACGAGTAGTTTAATATTTCAATGATACTCTAGAATCTTCTCTTGCTCTTTTATATAAGAACCTTATTGTACAAATTAATTACCTAATCAATGAAATCAATATTTTTCATTTTCTCTCTTTTACCTTCTAATATAATATCTAATATCTAGAATCTTCTCTTGCTCTTTTATATAGGAGCCTTATTGTACAAATTAATTACCTAATATCTAGTATCTAATATAGGTGAAAAAAATAGATAAAATAACTTATCCCAAAAAATATATATAAAAGTGAAGAAATATTACCTAATAATAAAAGAGAATGAACTATAATTGTTTTTCCCAATATCTCAGTGTTGTGCATGAGTTAGTGCACCATTGAATGTAAGGAAAATATTTTTTATGGTCCAGGACCACATAATAATTTGGTGCTTTCTCTTATAACATTAATTTTTTCTTTTCCTTTTTATCCCTACTATTTTTTCTCTTTTCTAATTTTATCTTTCCATTTAGGGACCACTTAAAAAATGGTGGTCCCGAACCACAATAAATACTTTGAAATGTAAGATGGTGAACTGTATTGAGGATGCGAGATCCAAGGTCTATATTTTTCACTTTAAAGTGAAAGGAAAATAATCCCTTAAATGGGTGTTTAAGGACCAACCTATAATGTAAGGCCAATCCATAACAAAAAGTAATACTAAAACATCAAAATATAATTCATTCTTGTATAACAATTTCATCTCTTTATTTTTGAGAGTGGAATAATCTCTATACCTATTTTTCTTCTCAGGTAGTTACATGTCCCATTCATTTTATGAGAATGTCTTCTAAGCTTTAATATCAAAATTAATCAAATATTTTTTACTATTAATTTAAATGAAATTTTTACTTTTATTTATTTCTTTATTCAAAGCTCAAATTTCTTCAATCAACATTAAGCTTAATGGAATATTTGCAAATTACCAAAACTGTCTTCTATAAATTAAACCAATTTTTGAAATTTTCTAAAACCGAAAGTTTTCAAATGATATTTTGGTTTAATTTTTTATTATCAATAAAATAATTTTCTATCAATTAGTCTAATCTTCTCTTAAATTTTTATTAATTAATATTTTTTATATTTTATCAATATTTAAAAATATTTATATAATACACATAATACTTGCTCAATCATCAAATTTGGATAGTCTTGCTTACATTCCATGGAAATTAATATTAAGAGTAATGTTGTATTTTCTTAAATAAAAAAAATAAAGGAGTATAATACTTTGAGAATCTAAAAAATATTCAATATTTTTGAATAATGAAAAAAATATTAAAAGGACATATAAATATCCATTGTATAATGTTTTTACCAAGGTGTTATTAATGTTGATGATGTTGATATTGATAATGCTTTTACCGCGTAAGCACATTTGTATAATATGTGATATTGCATGTCATTTGCTAAAACAAATATCCAATAATTTATTTGCTATGTTCAAAAAACAAAAAAATATATTAAAAAACATGTGGATAAATTGATATGAGATTTAATGATGGAGTCAGCAAATTCTGTGAAGGGAGATAAATTTGGAACAGTGACTAAAGTGTCACTGTTGGCAAAAAAAATTATCAGACTGCCACGCCAACAGTAAATTTTGCAAAATACCACGTGGATATTTCGCTACACAGTGTAGTGAAATATGCTACACAGTGCAGTAAACTATGTCACGTGGCATTTTGGCAAAATTTACTGTTGGCGTGGCAGTCTGGTAAATTTTTTTGCCAAGAGTGGCAAAATGTTGTCTGTTCCGATAAATTTGGAAGTATAATATTCATTATAGAGGAAAGATCCGTTTACAATTTTTTTTTTTACAAATTACATTAAATCGTTTGTTTTAGCTTTAAAAAAAAGTAACTTTTATCACTTCCTTATTTTAAAAGTACTTTTTACAAAAGTTAAAGTTATTTATATTTTTATAAAAATATTTAGTTTTTGAAAAAAATATTTGGCTTTTGACTTCTGCTTTTTTTAGAAGTTAAAATTTTTAGCTTCTGAAAAAAAAAGTAGGTTTTTAACTTTTTTTGTGACTTTTCCTTTTTTTTAAAGCGCAGATATCCAAACGAACTAAAGTATTATCGGTCATATACTCTTTATTAAAATATGACCGATCATACTTAGTGTAATTTATAAGAATTTGTAAACAAAAAATTTGTAAATATATCCTTCGGTCTTCGTTATAAATTATAACTATCTATGTAATCACAAGAACATAAATGATGTAGGGAAAAAAAATAGAAAAAGACAAGAGTGTGGTTGGTACACAACCATGACCATAACTACATGGTTACATCTACACTAAAGAGTAAAGAGACCACGAAAGAAAGGCAAGAACATCATCAGGCATATCCTGAACATTTGACATTTACGAAAGGATTCTATCCGTTAGTGATTTCCAGTGACGTGGCGCAATGAGAACCTCCACTCAAACACAAAACTCACAGACACATTCAATGTCAGAGAAAGTAAAGAAAGAAAAGCCTTCTTTACAATCCTACACATTCATTCAATGACCATAACCAAAATAAGGCCTTATTCACTTCATCCACACACAGACGTTTTATTTGTGTTCATTATTCAAATTCATTCCCTACCAACATCACTTTCACTTACTGAGTGTGAAGTGGCACATTCATTCACATAATCTTTTTTTTTCTTCTCTATTTCTTTCTCTGCAACTTGTTTGTGTTACTGGAGCTGTCCCTGATTGTGCTTGCTGTTTTATCATGGCTCTCTGTGCATTTGCATTCCCTTTCCATTTGAACCAAACAAAAGCTTCTGATCCTAGAAGATCAACTCCTCCACCTTCTCACTCTCAATGGGGTGCAGATCTGCTTTGCCAATCCCAACACAGGTTCAGCAAGGTTAGGAGATGTTTTGTTCATGTAATTCACTACAACTCAATGTTATTGTATGCATGAAGGGATACCCATCAAGGCTGTGGGTGAAAAGAGCATAGCTTTGAATTCAACTTTGCCTAATCTCTTGCTCTTTCGGATTTGGGTTTGGATTTTTGAGTCATAGTCATATAACTTTTGTCTTCTTTTGTTTTTCCCAATTCCACTTTTTTTTTTTTTCTGTCCTTTGGTTTAGTAGTTATTTTCAAGCCTTGAAATTGAGATGGGACTTGATGAAAGAAATGCCTGTCTTTGTTATGAATCGATGTAGGTCAGGGAAAGGCCATGTGGGGTTTATGCATCACTATCAGATATGGGGGAGTATCATTCTCAGAGACCACCAACTCCCCTATTGGACACCATAAACTATCCAATTCATATGAAGAATCTCTCTACCAGGGTACAGTTACTGAAAGCATGTAACTTATGCTGAAAAAAAGTATCCTAGTTATGTGAAAATTTGATTCTTATAACCATAATATTGATGCAGGAACTGAAACAACTTGCTGATGAGCTGCGTTCTGATGTTATTTTCAATGTTTCTAGAACTGGGGGTCATCTGGGGTCAAGCCTTGGTGTTGTAGAACTCACTGTTGCCCTTCACTATGTTTTCAATGCTCCCAAAGACAAAATCTTATGGGATGTTGGTCATCAGGTTGGGTGTGTTATCTTCTTTTGTAATTAGTACTTCTGTTGCTTTGTTTGGGGATGCCACTTGGTCTCAATTAAACAATCTTGTACGAATTTTGCAGTCTTATCCACATAAAATACTCACTGGTAGAAGGGATAAGATGCATACCATGAGGCAGACAAATGGATTATCTGGGTTTACAAAACGCTCTGAGAGTGTATATGATTGTTTTGGCACCGGCCACAGCTCAACAACAATATCAGCAGGGTTGGGTAATTCTTCTATGTGCTATCACTATTTCAACATAGAATTTTTCAGGCCACAATCTAGACAAAATTAGTTAAATAAAATATTATATAACTCCTTAGAGTTTTTAGAATGTCTATCTCTATTGGAGATTAAGAGGAGTATGAAGTAGTGGTAAAGTTGCTCCTGAATGAATACGTTGGATTATGTAATACAAGATTCTGCTTTACCATATAAACTCTGTTTATTTGTTTAGATCCTGGACATGAAAATACAAATTTCACCTTTTTTCTTAAATTCGAAAATAATTCAATCAATCAGGTTATTCTCAAAGAAGGTGAGCCTGGAGCAGTGGTAAAGTTATTCCTTTGTGACTGAAAGACCATGGGTTCAAATTTGAAAAGGGTTTTATTACTCTTATGTAATAGGAGATATATTATCTCATGTTGTAGATACAATCATGTAGTGGGTCCCATTGTTTATTAAAAAAGAAAAAAAGAAAAAAGAGAAACACAGAAATCGATGAGTGTGTAGGAAGTTATATTATCTTATGCAACATGAGAGTAATATAACCCATTTGAAAAATAGTCTGTTTGCAATTATGTAAGGATAAGGCTGCATAGAAGGATTGTCCTCACCCCACCCTCGCTAGTCGGGGTTTGATTGGAAGTGGTTTTAATTAGTTGATTCTAATATGCCAAAAGTAACCTCTCTCCCAAAAAGCTTAAATTAGTAGGCCTAAGAATGGTTTCATATCTCCAAGATAATATTTTGCTGCAATTACTCTGCCGCTTGACAGTAATGCACAATAGGATTGTGATTTGGCTTTAACTTCTGACATTTCTCTGCTCAAACAGGAATGGCTGTTGGGAGGGATCTGAAGGGAGAAAAGAATAACGTAGTTGCTGTTATTGGTGATGGTGCCATGACAGCTGGTCAAGCTTATGAAGCAATGAACAATGCTGGATATCTTGATTCTGACATGATTGTTATTCTAAATGACAACAAACAAGTCTCTCTACCAACTGCTACGCTTGATGGTCCCATACCACCCGTAGGTGCTTTGAGTAGTGCTCTCAGTAGGTTACAATCAAACAGACCTCTTAGAGAACTGAGAGAGGTTGCCAAGGTTAGCAATACAATTCACAAGTCTATCAATGAAGTATTTGTGCTGCTACAAAGTTTTGGTGAAATTGATTCTGTACAAAATGAGATTTTTGCAGGGAGTAACTAAACAAATTGGTGGCCCTATGCATGAGTTTGCAGCAAAAGTTGATGAATATGCTCGTGGCATGATAAGTGGTTCTGGATCAACACTTTTTGAAGAGCTTGGACTTTACTATATTGGTCCTGTTGATGGTCATAACATAGATGATCTTGTTGCCATTCTCAATGAAGTTAAAAGTACTAAAACAACCGGTCCTGTACTGATCCATGTTGTCACTGAAAAAGGCCGTGGATACCCATATGCAGAAAAAGCAGCAGACAAGTACCATGGTAAAAGAGACATTGCAAATTTATTGAGTTTCATCAATATGATTCACCAAATAAATTTATCACGTTTTGCTCATTCTAACCTAAGAATGTTACAAATTGGAGGTTCATATATCTATTTAGTTATTTCTATAGAAAACACACTTTGTATATAAATCGTAATTAATCTTTGACTTGCTATATTAATGACACAGTTATGTAACATGGCTTGATTTTGTAGGAGTCACCAAGTTTGATCCAGCAACTGGAAAACAATTCAAAGCCAAGGCTACCACCCAGTCATACACAACATACTTTGCAGAGGCTTTGATTGCAGAAGCAGAAGCTGACAAAGACATTGTTGCAATCCATGCTGCCATGGGAGGTGGAACTGGCATGAATCTCTTCCTTCGCCGTTTCCCAACAAGATGCTTTGATGTGGGGATAGCAGAACAGCATGCTGTTACATTTGCTGCGGGTCTGGCTTGTGAAGGTCTCAAGCCTTTTTGTACAATTTACTCATCATTCATACAGAGAGCTTATGACCAAGTAAACAACAACTTCTCTCTCTCTATGTATATACATATATGATCAAAAGTCTTACTCTCTATCTCAGTTGTTGATTTCCGTCCATCTAAGGATTGTGATATATTTAGAATTTATAATTAATTAATAGGTATAACTCAATAAATTATTGTCATCAGATGGATGGAAATAAATGGCTGAGATGGAGAGTAAGACTTCGTAGTCTTACACTGGAGTCAAAAGATCTTCTCTCTCTCTATATATATATATATAATATATATATATATATATATATATATATATATATATGAGGACAGATATTTCTAGTATAAGAATAACAAGTCTTACTCTCTACTTCAACTATTGATCTCCATTTGACAACGGTAATTTATTAGGAATTAATAATAAATTAATAAGTGTAATTCAATAAATTATAATCGTCAGAAGCACGGAGATTAACAATTGAGATGAGGAGTAATAGTTGTTATCCTTACACCGGAGTCAAAAGATCCTTTCCATATATATATTATGCCTTATTACCGGTCAAGGATAACATGATTAGAGTTTGTAATCAATGCTCAAAGTATGTGTTCCGTGTGTATTCCTAGGTGGTGCATGATGTAGATTTGCAGAAGCTGCCTGTAAGATTTGCAATGGACAGAGCTGGATTAGTTGGAGCAGATGGTCCCACACATTGTGGTTCTTTTGATGTTACTTTTATGGCATGTCTCCCTAACATGGTGGTGATGGCTCCTTCTGATGAAGCAGAGCTTTTCCACATGGTTGCTACTGCAGCTGCCATTAATGATCGACCTAGTTGTTTCCGATATCCAAGGGGAAATGGGGTTGGTGTTGAACTACCCCCTGGGAATAAAGGCATTCCTCTTGAGGTAAGTTAGAGTTATACTTAACATTTATAACTATACCTTTATGGAGGTGATTAGGAACAATTTTTGCAAATCAACTTAACATTTGAGTTCATACATTCGAACAGATTGGAAAAGGTAGGATATTGATTGAAGGGGAAAGAGTGGCTCTCTTGGGCTATGGAGCAGCTGTTCAGAACTGTGTGACTGCAGCTTCCTTGTTGGAACATCATGGCTTGCGTGTAACAGTGGCTGATGCACGTTTCTGCAAGCCATTGGATGGTTCCCTTATTCGCAGTCTTGCAAAATCTCATGAGGTTTTGATCACTGTAGAAGAAGGATCAATAGGAGGATTTGGGTCTCATGTTGCTCAGTTCATGGCCCTTGATGGCCTTCTTGATGGAAAATTGAAGGTATGATTTTTATTTTTAATTTTTAATTTGACCTTAAATACTTGCATATATACATCTTAGAAGTTTCTGCGAAAATTTAACTAGTTGCTGAAAACTCACATGCCTTTCATATAACAACTGCAGTGGAGGCCAATGGTTCTTCCTGATTGTTATATTGAACATGGATCACCTGCTGACCAATTGTCTATGGCTGGTCTTACACCATCTCACATAGCAGCAACAGTATTCAATATACTTGGACAAACAAGAGAGGCACTAGAGGTGATGTCATAAAAGAAATGCAAAGGGGTTCAATTTTTTCAATCCCCACAATATACAAAATAGCATGATTCACCTTGATTAATACAAAGATGTTAGCACATGAATTATATAAGTGGACAATGCAGATTGTCAAATAGTAGTAGTACCTACTAGTTGTAATGGGGCAAGAATGTTAGTTTTTTTGTGACTGCACAAAGGCTTTTGTGTTGGGTTATCTACACCTAATGTGAGGTTGTACAATTCTAAGGTCCATTCTGGGCATGCACAAGTTTGGATTTAAATGGTTACTTAATATTTGATCTAATAGTAATTGGAACTTAAAGTTAACTAAATCATAGCACTTAAGAGACAATCCCGAATAAGAAGGAAGCAAACATTGCCGGGGGAAAGAAACTACCTTCATTAATCTTCAGCTATGAGACAACTCTTGATTGTGATAGATGATATTGATACTTCATAACAAAGTCATTGGAATTTGGAAATGTCCCTACCAGAGGTTAACATATATCTGCTCATTAAAATCTTGTGGAAAATGTATGAACTCCAAAATTATTGACATTTTAGGGAGTTACTCAATTGCTTTCCTATGATCTTTGAATTGAATGGAAACTGCCCCTCCTTCTTCCAAGAACATGCATGGATGATGCAACCTGTCAATTTAAGAAGCACAAGTCTTGCCCCCTTCTTACTCTTATTTCTTTTCATTGACTTTTCTAGTCTTAATCTGATCAGGAAGAAACCATTTATGTCTGTACTAAACAAAATGGCGTACATACTGTTATTTACTTACATTTGCCTGTTGTACCATTAACTTACATCTCAACAATTTTTACAATTAGACTAACTTCTTTTTCTATAAATCTATATTATAATTCTGCCACTTATTTACATATAAGAGCGAGAGAAATAGAGATGTGTAATGAGTATTTTTCGCGAAAATCTACATGACTAATATTTCATTATAAAACAGTATTATGTACTAGCAGTTTTCTTTTGATATTTAAGCATAATTCTTCGATTTCAGAAGTTGAAATTTTAAATTAACGGATTTGATAAATTGGACCATTTTATCACTTATAATTTGATGATCTAAAAGGTAAATAGTCCATAAGATGTATCAAATTTGTCCCTCCCAACCAGCAAAACAAAGAAAAATGCTAATTATACAAGATTTATTTATATGATAGAAATAGAGTATAAATATATAGAAATAAAATAATTTTGACTGTAATTAAATAATTAAACAAGATATCAACCTCAACAAAGTGGAGTTAGGATAATTTAATGGGAAGTAGGAACCAAACAAATAATTAGTAAATTGGTAGATGAAATATTAGAAAAAAGAAATAGCCAACTTGAATATGGGAAATGCAGTGGGAAATGCTTCAATTAATTTCATATGGGATTCCTTCGAATTTCAACGGAGAAAAGGACAGAGTCAATGTCTTTTCGTGCTAGACATGCCCAACCAGCACTAACTCGTTCATCTCATACACGGTTCCAAACACACCTGTGAGTTGAAAGTGAATAAAATAAATTCTAATAATAAATTTAAATATACATAATTATATAAAATTAAAATATATAAAAGTCAAAATAATAAATATGAACACTAATATAATATGGAAGCATGTATCGTGAAATCATGTCAAGATACTAATATGGATCTATTTCACTTGGTCCAATGTTGGGAGACCTAACTGGCCTGTTTCCATGGATAGTATCGGTTATAAATTCTAGTGTCGGTGATAAAGTCAGGCAAGAATGAACTAAGTATGGTAGATATAATTAAAAAAGACTTATAAATTTAATGTATTAATATTTTGGGTTAAAATATGGTTTCGGACTTTTTTATTGTGAATTTGTCAATTTAAGAGATATTTGATAAAGGAGAATTTTTTTTTTGTCCGAGAATTATGATTTCTAGGAATAAGATGAGAAATTAACTTTCCAAAGAATATTAAAAAAAAACTGTTTAGTAGACTGAAATATTCCCGAAAATATTGGTTCTGATGATGTTATGTTTGGTTGTTTGAAAATATTGTTAGAAATGTGTTAAATTTTTCATTTTTTTAGGAATCCAATAATATCACCCCTGAGTGGTATTTTTAGATAATATTCTTGATTAAATTTCACTCACAAAACAAAATTTAAAAAAAATTACATTCCTGAAAAAAAACTTTAGAAATTCTCATCCAAATGTGAGTAACTTAAATTATCATCTTCAGATTTTCAGGAATCTAAACAAAAATCCTCTAAGGGTGCGTTTGGTTGAGGAATTTTTTTTTGAATACTAGAGAAATAGAATTGATAGGGAAATGGTAAGAAAGTGAGATAAAATGAGATAGATAGAAAAGTGTTAAAAAAAGTAGTTTGGTGGGGAAAAATTTTACTTGAAAAATTAGATAACTTTTAGGAAAGGTATGTTTGGTTGGAGGTAATATATAGTGAAAAATTTGAGTGAACAGTGAAATTACCAGCTTTTTAACAAAAAACCATCTCCGAAAAAGCTTTCCAAACAGTACATAAAGCTGTCTTTCGATTCCAAAATTTAAAAACCAATGCATCTTAGATGAATGGGTTTCTGAGTAAATTATCCTTCACCAAACACGACATTTCAAGAAGCCTCGGCACATTTGCGTAGGAAGGTTGTAAAAAGCCTCAAGCCAAACAACACCTAACAAACATTACAATGATGTAATACGAGGATAATAGTCTCCCTAATTTGAGCTCTTCGTGACTGCTGCCAATCAGAAATAATTGGATCTACAACTTACCAAAAAAAAAAAGATAATTTTATTTCCTGCGGACTCTTTTTTTTTTTTTTTTTCTTAATGAATCTCACCTGTTTTTTGTATTTGTTTTCTGCATCATGAAAGAAATATTTCCTTTTATAATAATGATAATTAAAATACTTTTACGGTGAAAATTGTTATTAATCTTTCAAATAACTGTCATGTAATTCATTGTTTCAGTGTATGACGCATTGAGGGTGTCAGCAGATGCAAAATCCCTGTAGAATTCTTATACATGAACGGAACCAATTGTTCTATGACAGATGAACACATGATTTGACCTTTGATTATGCTAAATACCGATAATTATGAATCTTTCCATGATCATCAAAGTTTTCATAATGGTAATACATAGCAATCTGGCACACTAATTTTGTAGTGTAGTATGATGTACAAGGCGATAGATACCGAACATCAAATTAAAGAGAAAGAAACATAAGCAACTGTGTTAGTGACCCTACATTAACCATTATCCTCCATTACTTTGAATTCACCATTCAGCTTCTGATGTGATACCAAGTGTCGGTATACCCTAGGATGATTTTTTGTCTATATCCCTAATGATGAGCATATTTCAGTCTAAAATCAAATGCCTTATACTCTTCTAGACTTTGGCCGACCAATAATGCCACTTGAATGAACTCAAACCCACCAAAAATATATGGAATGTCAATCAAAACCAACCACCTTTCTTTTAACTAGAAATGACAGATGTCACTGCAATCGATAAATTTTTGGTGCATCAGATGTATCCAATTCGGTACATTTCTTTTACACATTTGGAAAAAAACATTTCGCACATTAAAATAGTTTCTTCTTTTGAAAAAAAGATATATTCAATTGGCTACATCTGATGTATCAAAGATTTATTCGAATGCCATATATCCACCGACAACATGGTTTGAACAAAATTACGGGGACAATTCAAACTTCACAAGTATTAATTATATCATAGATAGTAAATAAGATGCACCTGAACTCTTTCCCTTTGAAAAAGGTTCAATAAATAGAAGTGTCAAGTTTTTTTGAATGGTATGGATGTCTCATCTTTGTTGCTTATTGAGGACAGTGCAGATTCTGAAGGAGACTCTGGCTTCTTTAGTCTATATCCTAGCAGCATAGCTGATAACATTGGCAACAATGAGGATGATGATGCTGAATCATGTACCTGTGATACAGCTGGTATATGTAGCCTATTTAAGGATGATGGTGAAGGTCATGATCATGAAGATGATCAGAGGTTTGGTGAAGATTGTGGTGATGAAGATAGCTCTCCCATGTGGCTCTCAGAAGCAGCCTTAGAAATGGAATGCTTTTCACCTTTCATTCTTGAAGATGAAGAGGTAACAAGGACTGTTAAAGTTAATGTGAATGACGTGGAAGATAAACTATTTTGGGAGATATGCATGGCAGTGGGGTACCCATGATTCCTGGATTTTAGAATGTGTCAATAAGTTATCCTGTAAGTTCATTTCTAAGAGCTTGTTCATATAGATCAAAGGATCATACATATTTACTTTTCTGTCACAGTTTGCAGATATTCAGTTCAGGTACTGCAATAGCTTTAAGAACCATTTGCTGTTTTTCGATTGAGAATATGTGCCACTCTTAAAACGTCACATAATAAATTGAAAATTTTAAACATCTTTATCGTACTATAGTGTTTAAGAATTGCATTTGGTTCTTCTACAAGAGACAAAGAAATATTCTTACTCCCTGAGTACTCATCTTTTTTTAACTCCAGGGTATACTATACACAGTTTTGGTTGAATACTTATTACACAATTAATATAATGACTCCTTCATGTAGGGAGGAAAAATAATATGTAATACTATTTGATACTGGCATATGATTACAAGTGTTCTAGAAAATAGAACAAACATTTGGACAATTTAGATCGGGTTTAGTGGATGTCTTTAAAAGAACAGAAGTTGTGTCTTTTCAAAGATTTACACAAAGTTTGATCGGTAAGATTTTGTATAAATCTAAAAAGTTTTTTTTTTTTTCAGTTTACACGTAAGCGATGTGACTGAAGAGAGAAAAAAAAAATTAGATTTATACAAAATTTTACCGGGCAAACTTTGTGTAAATCACTTAAAAAGATACAAGTTTGTATCGGATGTTTCTTTTTTCCAATGACTAATAACACAAATAGGAGAAGCAGCTGTAGCAATATTGGATGGTTTAAGTTCAACTCATTTTTCATTTGATTAAATACGTGGGAGAGTGACCATTGTGCTACGTCTGGCAAAAAATTTTACGAAACTGTCACGTCAATAGTAAATTTTGTCAAAATGCCACGCGGCATATTTCGCTACATTGTGTAGCGAAATATGTTTGCATATAATTCGCTACACAGTGTAGCGAAATATGCCATGTCAGGCTGCACAGTCAGAAAAAATGACACGTGTCAAGCAGGTAGAAATTCGTTACACTGTGTAGCGAATTATGCTTGGATTCTGCCTGCTTGACACGTGTCATTTTTGCTGACTGTGCAGCCTGACGTGGCATATTTCGCTACACTGTGTAGCGAATTATATGCAAACATATTTCGCTACACAGTGTAGCGAAATATGCCGCGTGGTATTTTGACAAAATTTACTGTTGGCGTGGCAGTCTAGTACATTTTTTTGCCAGACGTGACAAAATGGTCATTGTTCCCAAATACGTAGGATAGGAGCTTTATAAGTTTATGACCTAATACAACTCCTGGTTTGTAATTTTACACTATATATATATAAAAAAAATTACAGTTGTTGTACGTGCAACAGTCAAATACTTGCGGAAACATAAAAACTCTCAAGGAAGGGCTAAAGGAACAGCCAAGTGTCAAGGACACAACATTATCATATCATGTCAGTTGTCTTAAAAATTGTTACCTCTATTTTAGATAATGAGGATCATAAAGGAAATCTTGAAAAAGACAATAGAAATAACAATAGTGATTATCTCTTGTTTGTGTAAATGTAGCGCTAATATAAAATATTCATTTATAATAATATTAAACTCTTAATACTAATTATATGAGAAAATAAATCATAAAATATAAAAGTTCCGAAAAATATTCATTGTGATTTTTAAAATCGAATAATGATATTTGAGATATTTGTTAAATACTCTAACATTTATATTTTATTTATAAATTGTATTAAATATCAAACCGTAAAACTTTTGTGAAGAAAGAATTTTGTTTCCTCTTACAAGAAATGATGTATTATATGAAACCAACAATATTAATAAAAAGGTCATATTATTTGGATACACACTTTTTATCATGAATTTGGTGCCTATTAGGATTTTTCTGTTTTCGCCAAATATGTTTCTATGCACACAAAAAAAAAAAAGTATATTTTTTATACATTAGTTTATCAAATCATTTAATTTAAATATAAATATACTCATCACAGTTGAAATTTTAAAAATTGTAATAAATAATTAAACAAATGAATAAATCTCTTCAAACACATTAACCGCGCATGCGAATGAAAAGAATTATTTGATGCCCTACTTGGTTACGGTTTGATATATTTAACCTAAGAAAAAGAAACATTGCGAAATTTGGGGACACAAAATAAATTGGAAGTGACAAATAATAACTTGGAAGCAGCACACAGATAACAACATTTCTAACACATGAGCATCAATCAATGTCACAGTTTTAGTTAAGCTAATCTTGATTATTATTACAGCGGTAAGGATTTTTTATATTGCTATTTGATTCTATGTCGTTTAATAGCGTGTCAATTATAATTGAATAATGTTATATCAACAATTAACGTCACAATATAATTTCCATTTATTATCAACCAAAGTCTTTTTTATACCTAACTGATGTCCTCTAACCTTATGTTTTACGTAAGTCTATTTTAATAAATTATACTTTTATTTAATTCCGTATATATTTTTCTTTGATTTAAAATTTTTCATTTTAAACTCTTTCCAAATTTTTTAAAAAATTGTATAATGTACTATATATTTATTAATTATAATTTCTTTCTTTCTTTCACCGAAAATTGGATCGCAACTCACGGGTAAAAAAAAATGTATTACCAACAAGAGTTTATAGATGGCAGCTAGCTATGAAGCACCGACATTTCAAAAATTCTGACATGTCGTGTCTGATACTTTTCGATACTCCGACACTTTTCGACATTTCAACACGCGTTATAGAAATTCAAAAAAATGTTTAAAGGTTGCGTTGCGTTGAGTTTTTAGTTTCAACTATTAGATTCGTTGGATTACGATTACTATTTTATTGAGTTTAATATAAATATTTTAGATATCTTATGTTTCATTGCAAAATTTATGAATATTAAATATAATATATACTACATAAATTAAAAATATTATTTAATATGAAAACGTGTTGAAATCTACTATTTTTTAGAATTAACTTGTCAGTGTGTCGTATCGTATCGTGTCACGTATTTTGTGTCGATTTCAGCGGTACATAGGGAACTAGTACTTAAAATAAAAGAAGGTTGGGACGTTTGCCATTAAAATAGAAATATCTTTTTAAGATTAATTCCGTAAATGTTGTTAACTGGAGTAATACTTTGATATTAATATTTTGAATAAGGTTATATTTATAAATTTTTTAGTTTACAAATTTTTATAATCAAATTTTAATTATTGATTTTTATTAATTTAATGGTTAAAATTTATTAAAATAAAATTAATAAATAACTATAATTCAATAAATTATAACCACCAACTATTAATATTTGGTTATAAGAGTTTGTAAACGAGAGAGTTTGTATATTTAAAGTTTTGTGTTTATTACTTTTTTTATTAATTATAATTAAATTCTACCAATTTAATGGTCAAGAAAGAGATAAATATACAAATTCGATGTAATTTATTTATTTTTGAGATATTTCAATCATTTTATCACTTTGCGATTAATCCGATTCGAGATAATATCGGAGATTAAGATTTTAAACCCCTTCTAAAAATTATAATAAAAAAGATCAAACAGATAATTTCACCATATCTGTTTAATTTTTTAAGGCCAATTAAACTACCATTATTTGATAACCATGCAACTTTTTAACCTCAAAGATGCATTCCACGATTAACTGTTTATTAATAAAGAGGGCTTGTTTTACTTTGTTCATCCCCGAAAAATTAGTTCGATTATTTCTGCATGTATAATTGTATATTTTATTATTTTAAGGTTGAATAAAACATAGTATTAGTATCCCACATGTTAAGTAATTTACACAAGACGACCCTAGTCTTCCACAGTTCCTTGATTCTTTTTGGTTCGCTACATCTTTGTTGGATTCTATCCCTATCCCTTCAATTCTTCTTCTTTTTTCTTATTGTTTTTTTCTCCCATTTTACACTTCTGGGGTCTTTCGGTCTTTGGAGCTATCTATAATGCAAGCAGCTCAAGCATCAGCCACAGATGAAGCACCTGAGATTTCCCATCAGGTTGGTTTCACATGATTTACATCTAAAGCTATTCACTTTTCGTTTCTTATTCTTTTCAGTTTGGCTCATCCATTTCCATTTACAACCCTTTATTTTGATTCATTATGAGCTTCACAGTGGATTAACCCTCTGTTAGTTTTTCAGTCATGTTTTTTGGTGGGCATGCAGTGATTGGTATTGGATTTTCTGGACTGGTTTTTATGCGTTTGATCCAATTGCTATTATGGGGTTTCCAATTTTAGCTTATTATGTGCCTTCTTCTACTTAAGACTGTTCCTGAAAGCCCACGTTTTTTAATTGTTTTCCTTAATTTGCCTGGGTTTCAATGTTTAGAATGTTTGCTCAGGATATGAATCTTCTCTTTCCATCTTAACTGTTTGGGCTGTGAGATCGAATTGAACAAGTATCCATGCTTTACTAGCTAACTTACCTGAAAAAGTGTATATAAATATCATGCATATCCTGCAAACTACAGGTTGATTTTGTGGATTTGTTAGCGGTAAACGTTTCAATTAGAAGAGAGTAAAAAAGAAAATGAGGGAAATGGCCATGCATGCCATTGGTTTATAATGCAGGGACAATTTACCCAGGCACTGGTGATGAGAAAATTTTGATTTTAGTTCATAGTTGTTGCAATTGTGAGTGTTTCTGAAGGTCCATGAAGTTGATAAGTCCTTCAGCTATGTGCTCTAATGTAGTTTGTAAAAAGAGATCTGGATATGTCCATTTTCTTCTTAACTTCTGTGACATCTTGCTATTTTTTGTTTTAAAAGTTACCATAAATAAATTTATAGATTTTGCTAGTGTGGTTGACTTAAATGCTCGATTCAATTCTTGATCCTCTATTTGAAACGATATAATTTCTGATAATGATTAGCTTGTTAAGGATTATTCATCATGAAATTTTGTTGGAATGCAATCTTTTGAAGTGCTTGCTTTATGTTTATTGCATTCAGCATGCTCTAAGTATTCACTATATTTATGAGGTGCTTTGATACGGTATGCCGAATTGCTGGGACCAAAAATTTGTTAAACTCTCCCTGTTACCTGCAGATTGATCCCCAGCTAAACAAAGAAGTTTCAGATAGTCGAGTCAGCGGGAGGCGTCCAGATATTTCACTTCAAGTTCCACCAAGACCTTTAGGGTTTGGCAGCACTTCTGGTGGAAAGGTTTTGGACCATTCTCAAAGTTTCTCTAAAGGGATCTCATCATCGAGAGGCTTCTTGCGGGCCTTGAGCTTCAAAAGAAAAGGAAATGTGGCAGATGGCGAAAGAAGCTGCCTCCTTAATTCAGATCCCAAGACAGCTGCAGACTGTCCTAATATGGCCTCCATATCTGAAACTGCATGGAAAAGATGTACTTCTCTTCCTGTTACACCTGCATCTAATATATCCACTTCAGTTTCTACACCCGTTTCTGCAAGGGCATATAATGAACAGACTAAGCCACATGTAAGTTTTCTTTTATTTCATTGAGTTGCCTTGCTAATGGAATTTCAAAATAAAATTTTATGCGAACTGTATCTGGGACCTTGGAAAAAGACGAATTCAGGGTTAAAGGTTCTATTATACTCAGAAACCAGGATATTGTATCAAACCTGTTATTAAAGGAAGTAAATATATGCCTCTACCAAAAAGGGAACGATGAAACTGATTGATGTCAGTTTTTCAACAAAGTATGTTACAAAGTATGAAGGTTTGTTGATTCAAACTCATGTTTAGTACTTTCTAAAGCATATGATATGTGCACAGATGCATCAAATTAATGTTTACCTTAGGATATTGGAATTTTTTGAAGAAAAATATTGATTTTGCTAATTTTATGCAGAAAGATGTTGTTCGTTCCAAGGTTTCAAGATCCCTTTCTATACCTGGACGAAATGTTGTCATTGTAAGATCTGTCTCTTTTTCTGCCCGTAATGAACAGGAACAACAAGATCCAGACGATGGTATGTTATGTTATATACTCTACGTTATTACCCTTTCATAGCCCTACTTTTTTCTATTTTTAAATTCATATGCTTGAAGATATCTAATCCATTTTCCTAGGTTGAAATTTTCTATTATTCCACCAAATGTGATGTTTCCCTCCATCACTGTCTTCATTTGTTTCATGGAATTGAGTTAAAAAGTCTCTTAAGTGGATTATTTGATGTAAAGGATTAGAGTTAATTGGTTTTTGTCATACACCTTATCATAATCCTTTAGTTGGCTAGAAATTATCTTAACCAGCAGGCAATGTTTGAAAATCTTGTATGTTACAATAGATGAAGTGATAGCAATTTGTATGAGTATCAGACTGCTGGACTATTTATGTTATTTTTTGAACTATTGATTTGTTGTTAACAATTGTGTTTTTTTCCATGCTTTTAGCATATATCCATTTTAATCTTATAGGAACTCTTCCATACTAAAATTTTCTTGGCCAATCAGATCAAATAACTCCTGTGCCAGTTGAAGATGCTGCCGATGAAGAAATTCCTGAAGAGGAAGCGGTGTGCAGGATATGTCTTGATGTGTGTGATGAAAGAAATACCTTTAAAATGGAATGCAGTTGCAAAGGTGACCTGAGATTGGTGCATGAAGAATGTGCAATTAAATGGTTTAGCACAAAAGGAAACAGGAAATGTGATGTATGTCAGCAAGAGGTTCAGAATTTACCAGTAACTTTGCTTCGTGTATCCAGCTCTGTTCAACGACAAGGCAGACAGTTGCAGGGTCAACAGAACCTACAACCAGAGTCAATAAGGTGATTTGAAAACCATGCTTTCAAATTAAGTCATCCATGTTATTTTCTGTTCTTTAGCATGGTTCTTGTTAGATATAAAACCAATCTTAAACCTTTTATCTAACGGCTTAAGCTTTGAGGAGAGTTCGTCATTGTCATGATGTTAAGAGTCTCTATGATTGAGTGGTCAAGATTTTTTTTATTTTTTTTTGGTAATATGAGTGGTCAAGATTTTGATCCTTGCTCTCCTCATTCTTCTATATAAAAGTTGAATTTTAGCACAAGGCGAAATGGGCTTCTACGTTTTTAATGCTTCAAGCCCAAATGACTTTTGCATGAGGAGGCTTATTAAATATGAAACCAAACTTAAATTTACACCTAAGAGCTTAAGCTTTAGAAGTTTTAGTCCTTGACAAATACTCATATTTCAAGCCCAAAAAACTCTTGCGTGAGCGGATTTGTTTAATATAAAACCAAATTTAAACCTGCACCTAACAACTTAAACTTTTAGAAGAGTTAGTCCTTGACAAATACTCATTTCTACACTCTTTCGGAGTTCATATTTTATTTGTCTTAAGAAATATTCTCAATTCACCATTAATTATGCTGCTACCGAAATTTAACTTGGGAAACTCATTCAGAATAAATTGATGAGTTATTCTATTCTCAAGCATTTAATCACTCAATATTCATGTTTTATCTTTTTCAATTAAATTTCTTTAACTTATTTTTTATTAATTTTCCTTGATATTCTTTTTACAGCGCCTGGCAAGACTTTGTGGTGCTTGTCCTGATAAGCACAATATGCTATTTTTTCTTCCTTGAACAGCTGCTGGTATGTCTATTTTCTTTGACAGGACTTCTAGACAATAGCTAATATCTTTCAAAGAACTACTTTGTGTGTCTTATCTCATTTGATGGTTTGAATGTTATTCTTACTTCCTGACATTTACTTGATCTTTTAACCCGTTAGGTTCCTTTAAAGCAATACAACTCTGAGATATAGGATAGAGCCGAGAACTCAACTTATTCATAGTCCTGTAAATGTTTTATGTATATTTTGCATGACGTACCACAGTTCAAGTGTATCTTGCTCTAGATGTTGGGGGGAACAAAAAAATAAGCAGTAACTACCTACTCATGCATAAATTTGATCACATACTTCCCTTCTCCGCAAGCAAAATTAAAGCAGGCTAATAAAGGAGGTAGTATTAGTCTATTAGAATGTTAAGGAAATTATTACCAAGAGATCATCTAAGATGCTCTAAACTATTCTATGATAATCAATATATTATGAGATAATTTTTCATATATTCTAACATTTATATTGCTTGTTCCATTTGTAGCTTCCCGATATGAAGACTCAAGCCATCATTATAGCAGCACCATTTGCCTTTACCTTGGGCCTTCTGGCATCTATTTTTGCAGTCATCCTTGGTATAACCTCTGTTACAGCACTAATTTATTATTTTTTACAAAAATTGGTTTTTCTTTGAATGTTTACTTATGTTCCTTGCAGCAATTAGAGAGTATATATGGACATATGCTGCTCTTGAGTTTGCTCTTGTGGCTTTAACTGTGCATCTGTTTTATACTATGGTGAGTAAGAATGTAGAGACTTCTTGTTATCATTTCCCAGGATTGATGGCAAATGAATTAAATGCATACTAATGGAAATGATTCTTGCCTCCTCCTTAATTTCTTGAGCTGAGGCTTGTTATTTGCTTCAATTTTTTTCAAGTAGTAACTGCCATGATTCATCTGTGTTACTTCCTGCTTCCTCGTTGTTATTTCTTAAATAATTAAATAAACCTTAAATCCCTGCTCTCTAGTTAATTACTTGACTTACTTTAAGTGTATCCTTGATGTGCTTAAACTTTGTGACTTTGTTGCAGTTGCGTTTGACGGCCATTTATGCAATACTACTTTCATCAGTTTTGGGTTTTGGAATTGCTATGGGAATCAACTATGTATATATCCAGTATGTCACTTGGAGACTTCAGGTCTCTCATAATGATAGCCCAGTATGAATCTACTCAGAAGGGAAATAACTTCATGGATTTTCTTTTGTACCTACTGATATGATGGCCTTCAATCCGTGTTTATTATGAAACTTGTGTCTATCAATCAATACCATTACCATGTGATATATTTTTGCTAAATGAATATCATCAAGTGTATATGCAGGAAAGCCAGAGAAGCACAATCTTTAGACGTTTTTCTAAGGGAGTCTAAATTCAATTCAGTGAAAAAAATTCTATTAAAAAGTTAGAAGGGACAAAAAATTCCATCTTGCTATTGCAGGCAATAGCTTTCTGTTTTGGCAAGACACTGTAATGACAACATAACAAGTGTCTACAAGTGGTTGTATTTTTCATCCATTGAAGATACGAATGAATGCTAAATGAGAGCAAAGAAATGAGACTTTCATCTACTTCTGTGATGTCTGGAGTTTATATTTGTTTATTTTGATTTACCATAGCTTTAACCATTTAAGTCTTGTATTTGTAATGCTATTCTTATTCCAATGGAGCTAAGTACTAAAGGAAATCACTCATTCATCACGACTAATAAGCCTGTAAAAAATTTATGTATTATATTGTCAGCAAAAGGGAAGAGTGAAAGGAGGGGATATAAGCTAATCGTTTTTTTCATCCTAAACAGCATGCACGTGAGCATACACTTAACACTTGTAAGCATCATTGCAAGTTACATGAAATATGATTAGGGTGATACGGCCATATCAAAAGATAAACAGGAATATGATTTAGGCTAATAGATTAGGATTAAAAAACATAAAAGAAACTTATTTCATATTTCGTAGTACACAGATGGCAGATTTCTTAACATTCATTGATACTCAAAACATTGAAACTTGACTGCTTTTTTATATAACATGAACCAAACAAGAATCAGAAGAATAATTTCATTTATGAAATTATTTATTTATTTTTAAGTTAAATCTGCAACTCAACTTCAAAGCCCACTTTTCTGTTGGAAGTGGTAACACTAATCAATGGACAGTAGAAGCGCATCTGCGCAATGCTAAGAGGGGGTGCAAGGTATAAATGCAAATAGGGTGGACACAATTATAAAAGTTGAGAAAAGCAAATCTAGATGAGAAACATTAATCTCATTTTTCTTTCTTCCCTTTTCTTTTTTACAATAGAAAAATGTAAAAACAACAGTTAAACATGTTCATAAAAAGTGCAGGAGGCATGTTATACATTAACCTAGGAACGTTAATTAATAATTAAACTATAGGCTCAAAGTACACTGGAATCCAAGTCTCCTTCATTGACAAGAAAATGCTTACCTTAAATTGGAAGAAATGGATTAAAGCAAGTGAATTTGGGTAAAAGATGTGGATTGTTTTGAATTAGGTCTGGTTATAGGTACAGAAATATTACTAGCACTATAGCTAGTCATGCTTTCCACTTCTCCCCTTGCTTGTTCATTCCATATTCTGATTTAAATTTTTGAACTATTTGTATCCTGGGACCATTTAAATTTGATTGTTACATTCTTTGCTTCCATCTAGAACCTTACTCTAAACATATGCAAAGTGACAAGTTTTCAATATATAAATTAATGAAGAAAGAAGATAGCTAAGGTTATGTATGATCTTGAAGGAAATAAAAGCTAGTTAGCTGTTGAAATGGCACAGATTGAGGTTGAAAGGTTGTTTGACTATGCCATGAGAGGCCAGTGGAGAGAAGTTTTAGAGGCCTATGAGAAAAACCCTGAAGCTTTAGAGGCTAAGATCACAAAAGCAGAAGACACTGTGTTACAAATTGCTGTCTATGTAGGCCAAACCACCTTTGTCTCAACTCTGCTTGATAATATCAGTGAAGAGGTGTCTCGCCACATCATATATATGCAAAACTCAAAGGGAAACACTCCCTTACATGTAGCAGCAGAGTTAGGGAATGTGGACATTTGCAACAGCATAGCCAAAAGAGATCCTAACCTCATTTCTGTTCGTAACTTAGAAGGTGAGACCCCTCTTTTCTTGGCAGCTATTCATGGTAAGAGAGAAGCATTTTTTTGTCTCCATGGCCACCAACAAAGCCATGATGATGACTCTTTGTCCAGAAAAAGCAACGGGGACACAATTCTTCATTGTACCATATCCTCTGAACACTTTGGTTAGTGTGTCATTCTCATTATTGATCATCACACCAAGCAATTTATTTTCTTGAATATTAATGCTAAAGTTGACTCAAATTCTATATATACATATTCATTTCATTCAAGGTCTACTACTCTATTGAATTTGACAGGTTTGGCACTTCAAATAATTGGCTTGTACCCAAACCTTGTGAATTATGTAAACCAAGATGGGTTATCACCTCTGCACATTCTTGCTGGCAAGCCTAATTGTTTCAGAAGCAGCACACGGATGGTGTTGCTTGAACGTATTATCTATAATTGTAAGATTTCTTTCTTTTCAACTAGTTTTTCTACGTACTCTTATAGTCATTTGGTTCTTTGCTCAAAGTTGCAATCATGGATGAATATAAGGAACAAGTATTGCATGTGGTGCCAAATTAAATAAATGAAGAGTAAACACCCTTTTTAGTCCCTGTCAATATCTACGAAGTCCTTTTTAGTCCCTGGAAATAAAAAAGGACCAAATTGGTCCCTGAAATTACAAAAAAAGGGCCATGTTAGTCCTTATGTCAACTCCCAAATATGTAGAGTGGCCCTTTTCTTGTACTTTCAGGGACCAATTTGGTCCTTTTTTATTGTCAGGGACTGAAGAGGACTTCGTAGATATTGCCAGGGACTAAAAAGGGTGTTTACTCATAAATGAATATAATAGAAAACATATATGTAAAAGTTTTGATATTTTAAAAGTAATTAACACTATGAATGTAAGTTAAGATTCCGGAATAAAAAGTGTACAAATCATGTGAAATAAATGTATTAAATAAAAAATCTAGTGGATTTATATAATATGATTGGACAAAAATGACATGAAATGTTTAGATATTATATTTCTTACAGTATCAACGGATTTGATAGACAAATTATATATTACATATTAATATTGTAGTTTCCTTGTTATAATAGTGATAAAAGGATAGTTTCTGTCAGGTTTGATTGTTGATGAGCTCAAGGAGGAAACATATGAGCTACGTAATAATGGAGCAGACACAGAGACTAATCATCACTATCCAAAGAACTATGGAACATGTGTGAGCTTCTTATGTTCGTTGAAGGAAGCATTTAAAGTTACAAGTGCGTGAGTCTTGTTTCTTCTACTCCTAGTTCTTGTAGCTATATATGTCTATATGGCAAGCCTTAATTAATTTATCTTTTTAATCTGTTACAGCAATAGGAAAACATGGAAATGCTACAACTAATGATGAAGAGAATAATATCTCGCAAAGATCCTACCTCAGACATGGTATATATTATTTCCTAGTCTTACTCTCTAAACATAAATCAGATGGTATCATCATCATAATCAAGAGATTTCAAATATTGTTGCATTCATGGGATTGGTTATTAGGAAATTCCATTCTATCTTTTACTGATCATCCATAGTTTTCATTTCTTTATTTTCAATTTATTTAGTTTTGTATGACCATTTCCTAATGTATATATCTGTAGAGCAAGAGCAAGTAAAGAAAGAAAAGAAACGCTACCAGTTCCCTCCCAATTGGGAAGTCATAATCCGATTGCTAATCCTTACAATGAAGGCCTTGCTAGTCATTTTTGGTGTTGGTAAGACCATCACCTTGTAAGAATTAGAAAAAGCATGTTTAATTACTTCTTCTTTAATAATTGAGTGGCACACAGGATCATCTTGGATTGATAAAATCCAAAGAAGAAAGGAGAAACATATCCGGGCTAAGCAAGTGATGAATGAATTGATTCAACGTGCTTCTTTATACAAGTATGATCATACTGGAATGAATCCTTATGCTAATCAGAATGATAATGGCAGAGGAAACATTAAGAGTATGGAGGCACCTATTTTGATTGCAGCAAAGATGGGAGTGACCGAAATGGTTGAAAAGATCCTAGATACTTACCCGGTGGCTATCTATGATGTGACCTATGATAACAAGAATGTTGTTCTTTTGGCCATAGAGAATAGGCAACCTCATGTTTATAGTCTCTTGAATAAGAGGAGTTTAATCAAGGAAAGTGCATTTAGCCAAGTAGATAAACAAGGTAACAGTGCATTACACCTTGCTGCCACATATAGGAGCCATAAGCCTTGGCGTGTCCCTGGTGCTGCAATGCAAATGCAGTGGGAATACAAATGGTATAAGGTAAAAGATTCTCCATATTCTCCTCCCAATAATTTTATTAATCATAGCAAATAGTCATATCATTTGTTTATTCATGGGTAAATAATGATTTGCCTTGTTGAGATATATAAAACCATTAATGTAGCCTCACCCAATAGCTTAAGTTTTTGGGTTGAATTGATTCTTTACATGGTATCAGAGCCTCGGTATACCGAGTTTGATCCTCACCGTCACCTACTTTCTTTCAATGGAATTTCTTTCTTCGCACAAGTAGGTCGGTCTGTACATTGTCCACCCTTCAAGCCCAATGGGCTCTCGTGTGAGGGGGCGTGTTGAGATATATAAAACCATTAATGTAGCCTTACCCAATAACTTAAGCTTTTGGATTGAATTGGTTCTTTACACGCCTAATAATTAAACTCACTTTGGCCTTTGAATTTCAATGTCTCATTTTATTTACACATATATATTTTCAGCTTTTAATCATAATGTTTGAGCTTTTCAGCTTGTTAAGAACTCCATGCCACCAAATTTCTATGAACGTTACAATAAGAACGGGCAAACAGCAAAACAGATCTTCATCAAAACACATGGACCACTAGTGAAAGAAGGTAGTAAATGGCTTACCAAAACCTCAGAATCATGCTCAGTGGTTGCAGCACTTGTGGCAACTGTTGCATTCACAACCTCAACAGCTATACCAGGTGGTCCAGATCAAGAAACTGGTATACCATTATTGAGAGGAGAACCTCCTTTCAATGTATTTGCGATAGCATCACTTGTTGCACTTTGCTCCTCTGTCACAGCCCTCATTTTATTCCTTTCAATACTCACATCTCGGTATCAAGAAAAGGATTTTGTTGTGGACTTACCAAGAAAGCTTCTTCTGGGATTGACAACACTCTTCACATCTATAGCATCTGTTTTGGTCTCATTCTGTGCAGGACACTTCTTTATCATTGAAGATAAGCTCAAATATGCAGTTTATCCCATATATGCTGTAACATGTTTGCCTGTAACATTTTTTGCCCTCGTCCAACTCCCCCTTTACTTTGATCTTACTTTGGCTATATTTAGGAAGGTTCCTCAGCGCAGCTATAAGGCAGTGTTAGATACATGGAGGGGCTAGGAGAAGCAATCACCCCCTCAAGTTCATCAAACATTATTTATCTTTGACTACTTTCAGACTTATAAAAAAAAAAGTTACTGTAATATAAGTTTGTCTCCGTTCATCCTTAACATTTCTGATGTACAAGAAAAAAATTGGAGAGTTCTTCAAATCTGGTTACGTGTTGACTCACTCTATATAGCCAAGTTAGTATGAATTTTGAATTCATCTCCCCCTCTATTACTATAAGGCATTCTCTCTTCTTCTTTTTTGCATTACCTATAAGGCATTCTCTCTTACTAGCAAGCTAATGTTACTATTTTGTCATTTCATGAGCTATATAATCAAATTTAAGAGCTTATTTAATGGAAAATACATATATGCTTTCTTAGTACAAGCTATTATTAATCAAGCATAGTGTTAGAGAATAATATAAATCATTAAAAAAGTCATTACCCAACACTTTAAGATTTTAGGTTGAAGTGGTTTTTTACATGGTATCAAAGCTTCAGTGACCATAAGGTCACGAGTTCGATCATCACCGCCCCTTACTTTCAAGTGAAATTAAATAAGCACAACGTAAAACAAAAAAATTGAGTTCGGTGCAATATCCATGCTTCAAGTCCAAAGGACTTTTGTGTGAGGAGGTGTGTTAGAGAATAATATAAACCTCGTCACCCGACACCTTAAGATTTTGGGTTGAAGTGATTCTTTACACATAGTGAGTGAATGGCCGCGTTAGAATTAGACGGTTGTGAAAAATAATGGTATATTCATATTCATGGTCAAAACTTTGTAGGCCTTCGGAGGGGAGAAAGACACTTTCATATGTCTTTAGGGTGGTGTTTGGTTGAGGGGATTTTTTTTGTTCACCGGGGAAATGTAATTATTAGGGATCCTACAGGGAAAATGAATTAGATAGAAAAGTTTAGAAAAAGTAGTTTGGTTGAGAGAAATTTTACCAGAATTTTTTTTGAAAGTTTAAGAAACCTAAGTTTGGTTTGGGGTAAAATATGGATGGGTAAATTGAAGGAAATTACAAATTTAACCCCAAAACAAAAATCCTATTCGAGTACAAGTGGCCAGTGGGTATGCCACTTGTCCTCCACAATACGGTTTCGTCATTTTGCAGATGCATAAACTCTTGATTGACATTCTGAGCTTCATGCTTTTTAAACAGTGCTTTTGTCTAGCTAAACGACACCATAACTAAAAAAGTCCCTAGGTGTTGAGCCAAATCCTTGTCAACCAAACGCATGTTTCCCAGAATCCCAACTTCATTTGCAAGGGGTAATTTAAAAAACCCTTCAACCAAACACCACCTAGATGTTTTTCAGATAATTAACCCTTATTCTTATAAGATGCATGTCGTATTTGTATATAGACAAGACAACCCTCTAATTTACGTGATATTATGTTGTTCATTGCATTATATTGTAATTTTATGCTTCTCGTACTGTTTTATTTGTGAGTTTTAATTGTTAAACCCCAAACTTACTAATTTTCTACGTAAATATTTTTCTATCCATTTAAGTTTTTTGTAAAAGCATGAGCTTGCTATAGCATGTCAAAATTTCATTATATCAACTCACGTTGATATTGAAAATTGAAGTTCATCACATGCGTGGGTGGAGATCCCAGATTCGAAAAAAGATATCAATAGGTTGTTCCCAAAGCTTTGATTTACGATTGGGATGGAAGAAAGATTACGTCCTCCTTGAAAATCTTTTGTTTTCATGCAAAGAAATTATAGGTTCTGTTTGATTGCTCTGTTTTTTTTTTTTTTGGTTGTGTAAAATAGTCAATGAAATAGATATTTTTGTGTTTTCTTTTTATTTTGAAAGTTAAAAATCAAAACACAAGACAAAAATAATTTAGATATATTCTCTAAATTTAATTCTAAAAATTTAAAATCAGTTATAATTATTAAAATTATTTTTACAAAACAAACTTTGTCAAACTAGTTTTTTATTTATTTTTTCACTAAAAATCAAAAACCTATTTTTGAAAATAGATTTCAAATAGATCCTATATTTTCTTTTCTTTTTCATTTTCTGATGCTAACAAACCGGGGGGTCGACACGAGATGTTATATTATGCATCTTCGTAAAAAAGATTTTTATCTACACACACCCAATATTATATAAAAAAAAGTCTTGTTTTGTTAGACAATATGATATTATATACAACAACCTAAGAATTGTACTGCAAAATACCGGGGCCGTTTGAGGTTCCCTTAACATTCTATAGCCCCTAACAATTTTCTAAAAGAAAATCGATTAGGGTTCACCAACCACCAACCTTCTCCTTCAGTGAGTCTTTCTCCTCTGTTGTGGTTGTGGACTCCGGCAGTGTAGAGAGAAACGAAGAGAGGAGATAAAGTGAAGTGAGGAAGAGAAAGTAAAATAATGATAGACCATGAAGAGGAAATGAAAATTAAGTTAGGTTTAATAAATAAGTAGTATAAAAAAATATAAAATGAAAATAAGAGTTAGTATATCAGAATAGTCTGATAAGCTATAAGGCTAGGCTTTTAAATTGATGTTTGGTGTTTTTTATCAAATGAGCTTTTACATAATAAGTCCAAGTGTATATCCTACAGAGCCCATCTGTCTCTTTTAAGACCCCTAGTGAAATACAACTGCAACTGTACTCTTCTAGGTAAGGCTCGATGAATAGCCCCTCCTCTTCCTCTCTCAATGTGCAAAATTTTATTCTCAGCTCATCAAGTGTTCAAGTTAAGGCCATGCAGTTGTTCATATGAAGCCTTCAACGTAAATAACAATGGCTTTGCATGGCTACACCCAAGTCATTCCCCAAAAGAACCTTGGAGACAAAATTAAATTATATCCCCAAATATAAATAGGCCTATTCAACTCAACTAAAGAATTATTCCACCACCAAGCAAGTCAACTGACAAAAGTTGTTTTAGCTTTATCAATGATTGTCAATATAATCATGTTCGACTCAAATCAAACTAATCAGGTAATGGGTGAAATTCATTTCTTTACTTATGTTATCATAGCTGTGCCTGTCCCGATGATATATGTAGCAAAGTTTTTTATTTTTAATATATATTTGTAGATTTCGTGGTGTTGGAGGTCATAACAAGTCCACAAATGATCCACCATACATTTTCTTTAGTCTGGGTCCACAAAAGTCATTATCTGACGGAATATCGAGCCATCTTTTAGATATTTAAAATGTTTAAACATGGAGTGTCTCTCTATGATACTTACTTGTCAACAAAGGAAGGAAATATTCCGTCTTAAAAGAGATTTGCCATATTAAAGCTCATGCGCTTTACTTTTCTCATATAGTATAAGAGAAGTTATCTTATGTTATGAGATAAATAAAATGAAACCCACCAAATTTAAAAAAAAAAAAAAAAAAAAAAAAAACATATTTTTTTATGTGAGTGTAACATGAGAGATGAATATCATGTAACATAAGAGTATAATTTCCAAATGTATTTTAGTGAAGATGTGCTGTATCTAAATCCCCAAGTTTAAGTAGGTATTTCGTGTTATTGTGTTTAAAATAACACAATCCCATTTTTTATTTTACCTTAATTTTGATTAGGGAGCACGCAGTCAAACATCCAAAGTAAATATTAACAGATAATAAAATATACTTTATTAAGAAAAATGACATATATAGTGGAGCAAAGGTCCACCTGTACATGCAAAAGGATGTGAGAAAACATCTTACAAACTTTTATACATGACAAATATATAAATTAAAAAAAAAAAGTTTGGACATGGAATGGAAGATATTTTCATATGAACTAATCTACAGATGATCACGAGGAAAAATAAGTAAAAGACAAACAACTCTATTTACATTTATTCACAGGAATAAATGTTATGTCATCTCTTTTCAACCATACGGTGGAACGGGTTTTCTTCACATTGTCTGCAAAAAGACTATACCTGCAACCAGAAGGTGCATATCAGGAATGAACTATCATAAACACTAACACAAATAATCTTAATCATAGAACCCATCATCTAGACGATGCAATTCTATAGCAATGCATTAGAAATAAAAATCTTAGGAGAGCAGAAATTTCCGCATATGGAACTGGCTATGCGAGGTAAATGTCAAACCCCCTTACCCCAGTGTCCATGAAAGCAGTATTCCTTACGAGAGAGATTCAAGCTCGTTAATAACATAAGAGCAAAAGAACAACAAATAAAATAAAAAAAATCCAACCTTTGATACTCCAGCTTCTGAGTAACTATGCCATTCAACAATAGTTCTGAACTATACACCATTGCCCCTGCAGAAGCAAATCACGGCATTCTTAATTTTGAGCAGATGGTAAGTTTTTAAAGACAAATGTAACAGTTTCTAACCCTTTTCCAGAAAAGGCACACAAGAGGCATAATCTTCTTCACAAGATACGATCAGTAGATCATCTGGAATTTTATGGTCTTTCAAAGCAGATCTGCCGACTCTGTCCACCGCCTAGGAAAATCAGTTACAAGAAAAAAGGTTTTGAGATGGATCAAGTGCAAGGTTGGAAACATGTTCCAAAAGAAAGACTAGTTTAATTTCAAAGACATGCGTGTCTGTGTGTTTCTTAATGATAAAATAGAATAATTAAAATGAACCTATCAAGGAAATTTCTTCGCACATTCTATGATTTGTTCACAGAAAATCATGGAAAGGAGGAACTATCCAAATTCCAAAGATATGTTTTTCTTCAACAACATAGGAGCATAACCGGGGAATGTACCCAGAGAAAGATGCATACCTGGCCCCGAACTGCAATCACTAAACTTGAAATAATCTCTTTACTAGGTTTAGCATTTGGGGTGATCAATACTCTTCGACCCTGCAGAAAATTATGATAATTTTAGAGAAGCAACAGACAGAAAATGCATCTGTTTGTAGTATTTTACCCCCAAAAGCAAATTTGCTAACGTGGTTCAGTTATAACTTATAAGCAATTTAGTCCCCCTGTCAACCTGCAATGATGAGGCTCTATCTTTTGCTGATGTGGCACAATCTTTTTATAGCTGGTGGCATTAAATTTTATAATATATTTACCTCTAAAAGTGGATGCTGGGATGCACGTGCTAGGGACACTGGCATGCTGAAACCAAACTCCTTTTCCTTTTTGGCATCCCTCAAAATGTAATTTCTCTCATCAATAAAACAGCTAGCTTGTCCACAGCTCTCAATCCATAAGTGTGTGACCACTGGTTTAGCAAAAGCAATAGCTTCTAACATATTCCTTGTACGCACAAATTGATCAGCTATGAAGTGTGTTGCATCTGCAATGGAGGATGCTACAGAAACTCCAAGCCGTGCTAAAATCTGTACAAGTACAAACAAACAAAATATAACTAAAACCCAACTGTATGTCTGTATTTGGTGATAGGAGTTTATCAAAAATCAGACATTACCTTCTTCTGACGCTTAATAACATCTTCATCTAAGTGGTGGCTGTACAGAATTCGAACATCAGTCATATCCTTCCTCCTCCTTGAATCTTTAGATGGGGTAATTAATTCAGGTCTACTGGCACTTAATCTACGAAGTTCTCTATTGTATGAATGTTTGTTATAACCATCGCCCATACAAACAGGTGATGCATCATTCATTGGCATCTTACAATTAGCTGGAGCTGCAGAAGCCAAATCAGAGGAATTGTACCTCTCTCTTGGCGATTCATCTGAACTGGTGACTTCAAAATTATTAGTAGACCACCGGACATGTGCATTATTCTTCTTATCTGAATTCAGATTTGCATCCTTCTCATTTATAACATCACAGCAAATAGGAATTTCCCCTTTATTTATTTTATCTCTCCTCATTTGTCTCTTCCCAGCAGTAGATTTCCCAATCTCTTCAGATTCCGCAGATGGTTTAGATGAACCAACTAACTTCTCAGATCCTTTATCGTGATTAGACAACTTCCTAATCCTAAGAGATCTCCTTCTACGACAAACTAATTTATCCATTTCAACGTCATTACTAACACTAACAGCACCTGCCTTTGGAGCCAATTTCTCAGGTTGACACAATTTGGTACTATCATCCACTTTAAAGTGATCAGAAGACCCAGGAGTATATTTAGGATTCAACGCTTTAGATGAATGTAGGCCAACTCCACTACTTTTCTCCAGGGTACCAATACCTATATCCCCTTCTCTCAAACTATTGGATGGTGTATCAGGATTGATCAATTGCTTTACTGCTGAGGATTGTCTAGTTCTACGGGCAATCGGCGTAAAATGACAAACTTCACCCTGTAATTGCCTTTCTTTAACTATACTCCTTCCACTTCCTCTGTCATGGCTTTCAGGATTATTCAACTCATGATGCTGACGTCTTTTCAAAGCTCCTGCTAACTTTCTTTGCTCAATTAATGGAGATGAGACTATTCTACCATTTTCATTAGCACTGGAGGTTTGATTGCTTCTTGCATTTAACTTCCTCCTCTTTGATCTTATCATCATATTGTCTTTTTTGCACTGTCTGACTTCTTTAGCACATTTCTTTGATAAACCTGAAGTTTGCAAATCTGATTTAACATTGACTTTCCTTTTCTTGTCATACTGTCCCGAACATTCCTTTGATGTATCTGGCCCCACTCTTCCAGTGGAAAAGTTATTAAGCTGATCAGATAAACTACTTCCAGCAACATGAGTCGCATTATTAGCAACATGATCAACAATATTCTCAGCATGGCATAAGGCTTCCATAGCTTCAGCAGCCATTTGAGTATCAAAACCTACATCCATTATTTCCTGCACATCTGCATGAGCATTTGGTTCCATCTCTCCTCTAGGGCAATTGGTGTTGTCAAATTGATCATCCAATTCATTAGCAAGATTCCTTTTTAATTTTCTTGTTGCTTCTTGTATAGTATTATCCCTTACTTTCAGATTATGCATCCCTAGTCTTGAATCAGAGTGAACTGCAGTCTTTCTTTTATTAGGGACACTTAAAAGTTCCTCATCATCCTTAACAACATTTGATTTGCGCACTTTGATCTTCTGAAATCCTGGCAAAGACCTTGGCCTCTGAGTTCCACCCTCAAAAAAATCTTCCCTTCTCCTTTTAAATATATCTCCCCCACCTTCATCCTCCCGGCTATCATCCCAGTCATAAATCCCAATTTTTCTAGCTTTGTCTCTATCATTAACTATCTTCGCCAAACTTTGTTGCCCTTTTGTACTGGGAAGGGATTTTAAATTTTCCTCCCTATTCTTAACACAGTTAGTTTCTTGATCAAACTCTATAATATTATCTTTGAGAAACCTATCAACAACATCAAGAGCATTGGCCTGTGAAAACTCTCCAGGTTCTTGAGAGTTAGCATAGCTTAATCCTGCCAACTCACCATGGTAGATAGGCAACTTGTCCAAGTCATCTTCTTCATTAAGATCATTGCTGCTATGAGACTGTCCATTTGTTTCAACAGGTAAATCATCACTGAAAAGTTTTCTCACTGCCGAGCTAGCAACCTTGAATATATTTTTGTTCTTGAATCCCTCAGTTTCCACACTGTATTTCCCATTATCATACTCCTGATCAACTTCCCTAACCTCCTCAGAACATCTAGGAAAGGATTCCCCATTATCCTTTACAGCCACTGGTTCCTGACAAAATTGACTCATACCCATGACAGAATTGGTCTTATCCTGGCTTTGTTTCAAAGCCATATTGCGAGCAGCAAAAGAAGCTTCCCGCAAAAATTCTGCACGGATAGAAGTAAACCGGGGTGGCATCGAACCTGAGAAAATATATATATTCAAAAGAAATGGAATACACTCACATGATACTTTTCAAACATAAATGGAATAACAATCCATTGCGACATAATTAATCCTACAGTGATAGTGAAGACAGCCGCTCAAAAGTAAGATACAAAATACTGTAGAAAAACAGAAAAGCAAGGATAGCACTTCCCATGAAAATAAAGGAAACAAAAAAGGATAAATTAAACTCCTGAGAACAGCCATCAAAATCAGTGTTCTGTTTTTACAGGTAAGCAAATCAAAACAAAATATTTCTTAAGAAGAAAGCCAGAGTTAATCCAAACTTACGATATGTAAGCACCATTTCTTTACTTATCATCAATATGTATGCCACCTTTTACTAATGCAAGAGAGGGGTTAAGAATAAAAACAAAAATTGCCACATAATGATTATCATTTCCAATTACCATTATAATTGCTAAACCAAAAAAGACATTATAAACACTTTAGAATTAACTAGCCATTAGTAAAACAGTTGTGAAAGGACTCATTCACCAGAACTGTTAATAACAGGACCAGTCTTGTCACCATGTCCACAAGAGGATTCACCCAAAACCTCCTTGCTCTCCCCTCTGCATTGAGGATCATCATCATCATCTTCATCATTCTCCAAAACTCGAGTTCTATCCGATTCCGACCCTTCATCCAATAACTGGGTGTTACTGTCAGTATCATCCAACGACTGAGTTTCACCGGCAATTTCCATGACCTGAGTTTCACCGGCAAGGTTAACCGCTTGAGTTTCCAATGCATCGTCATCGTCGTCGATAGGCACCGTGTCTTCTAAGTATCGCCATTCGTTATCACCATGATCCCCACCTGGCATTCCCAAAAATAAAGTAAATGTCAAAATGATGTAAATTAAGGATTTTTCTTCAACATCTATATGTGAATCTGAATCATCATAGTATAGCAAATACAGAAAAAAGAAACTATATTGAAAAGGATCAAAACCAAAAAAAAAAAAAAAAAAGTGAATAGTGGAAGAATAAGAAGCACTGACAAGAGGGCGAAGAGGTTTCGAATGGTTGAGTGTCGATGTAATCAAAATCTGCATGGATTGAGGTGTTTCTGCGATCATCTTTGCCGAGAGAATCCTTCGAACTCATAACTGCAAAACCCTATCCAAATTAGGGCATCGGAAGAGGAAGAAGGACAATATAGGTGCTGTGAATTTTTTTGGAGGGAAAATTTGTGTAATAATGTTCTTTTACTATCAGTGAACAAATTTTCAGTCTGTATTTAATCATTGTAGGGCATTTGGTCTAGTGGTATGATTCTCGCTTAGGGTGCGAGAGGTCCCGAGTTCAATTCTCGGAATGCCCCAAAATGGTTTTGTTTCTATCTATTGATGTTAAGGATATTTGTATCACTCTAAATACGATTAGTGAACGTCACCATACTTATTTCAAAACGTCAATAATATATTGTTATATGACTACATCAAATCTTACCTCTTTAAATAATTACATAACTATTTAATTGTCAATCATTTTTTATTTATTTATTAAATAAAGATATTCTTGTACCAAAAAAAAAAAAGTATAAACATAAATAACTATAACGTCGTGCATTTTGATTATAGGTTAGTACTGACAATAACAATGCCATAATTTATCACATATTAGATTAAAATTACCAATGTTAAATAAATATTACCGATAAAGATTGAGTGCATAATAAATAAGTCGCACTTCTAAAAGTCAATGTTACAGGATGCCTGATACAACCTCTTATTTTTAATGCACAGAAAAAAAATCAAAATTTGTCAGCATAGTTCGTTAATCTTAATAAATAAAGGGTTTGGTGTTTGTCATTTTAAATGACAAAAGTTATGTCATTTTAGGAGAGAGATAGACACAGAAAAACGGAAATCATGGGAGAGAGAAAGTGAGTAATTTTTTTAAATTTAAAATTTAAATAATTTTTTTTTTTCTGTGTGTCTCTCTTAAAATGAGATAACTTTATATCATTTAAAATAACAAACACGTTTCCCATAAATAAATTAGTAGAATGGAACAATTTCAAGAATAGAATAAAGTCAATGCCTACGAAATATCATACAAAATAAAATAAAATATACCTACCATTTTCAATAAATAATTTACTAATAAAACAATGGGGCATTCCGAGAATCGAACTCGGGACCTCTCGCACCCAAAGCGAGAATCATACCACTAGACCAAATGCCCATTGCTTGTATTGAAATATCTTCCACTTTCTAATTGATAGTTGTGGAGCCATCATACAGTTCCACAAAAGTGACAAATGCATTATTTGATAATTTTTAAGGGGGTGTTTGGTAGGAGGTTTTGGCAAGGATACCTAGGCAATTTGAAGTGGGTTTTCAATTTGCCTAAGTTTGGTACAAGAGTTACAAAAATTTGGATAGCAAAATCCTTTCCCCATCCAACTTGATTTCTTTGCAAATTTTTTTGGTTTGCACTGTTTCAAAAACCCATGTTGAAGGTTGTATTTTGGGGGTTTGACGGGGAAAGTAAAAATTGAGTATGTATTTTAAATTTCAGCGAAGTAAAATTTTTTGAAACAATGACACCAATTAAGCTGGCTTTTACAAACTGTCATTTTAGACAAGGGTTGATCAGATTCAAAAAATAAAAAGGGTTAATTTTGTAATTTCAACTCATTTTCCCATCTATATTTTACCTTCAACCAAACATGGAATTCGAAAATTTAAATCAATTTCTCTGGTAATATTTCGGTCTACCAAACAACTTTTTTAAAATTTCCCCACTAATTTGAGTTTACAACCATTTCCCTACTATTTATATTTACCTGGTTAAAAAAAATTTCTCATCTACCAAACGCCCCCTAAAGTCATTCAAAAAACATGGGTCGTGTTGTTTTCAAAACAGTTGGAAACAGTGTGGTGGATTTAATGCCAATTGCTATTGACCAACTAGGCATGGATTTAATAAGCTCGAGTCATGTGCCTTATATCAGATCAAGATATGTTTGGATGAATTTTTTTTTTTCAAAAGTTATTTTTTTCTTGAAAAAAAACATGTCTCATTTTTAGGTCATTTAAAACATAAGTCACAAAAAAAGTCAAAAATTTACTTTTTTTCAGAAGCTAAAAATTTTAACTTCTAAAAAAAGCAGTAGTCAAAAGCCAACTATTTTTTTCAAAAATTAAATATTTTTATAAAAATATAAATAGCTTTAACTTTTATAAAAAAACACTTCTAAAATAAAGAAGGGATAAAAGTTATTTTTTTTAAAAGGCAAAACAAACTGGCTCTAAGTTGTGGAAAACCGGAGGTTTAAATATTTTTATCCATAATCCATCCCGCATTCTGAATTAATTCCATAATTGGCTCCAAGAGTCGAAACTTATAAAGATACCGGAAGGAGCCAACTGCCTCAAAAAAATAATTAGGATTAAATTAACTTCAAAAAAAATAAAAATAAAAATGTGAAAAACATTTTCATCATTCAAACAATTATTCTGCCTAAATATTGGAATTTGGCAGCTTCTAGCTTAGGAAATCTGTACGGCTCCGCCTACCAATGTTCCATGGAGTTGGAATTCAAAGCTAAGCTTTCACTATAACTTTTGGCTCCTCCTACAATAACAAAACAAATAAAGCAAGACACCTTGCATGCATGAAAGTGCACCTACATGTGGTTGTTGGTTAAATCAAATTCCTTTAGTAATACTAATTGGTAGCATGACGCTTAACGCAACTCAAATTCCAAACATAACCAAGAAAGCAACAGAGAACCAGCGCAACCTCCTTAATTCAAGAGGCACCAGGAATAAATACCTGAGGACTCGGGTGCTATCATATCAACTGCATAGTCACAGAAAGTGTATAGTTTTTATCTAATTTAAAAAAAAAAAATTAAAAAAAGGAGTCCAAAACTGCCATCAGGATCGCTTATAAATACAGTAGATGTATTCAGCCACTTTCATTTGTAGTTAAAATAATGCATTGGTAGTGCTCCAGGATCAAGTTCCCAGAAGCCACTCAGATTGCCATGTTCTTCTGTAAGTTTGAAGGCTGGGATTTGGTGGGAGAACCTGAGCAACTCCTTCCTAGATATTCTCATGGTCATGTCCGATCCCTCATTTGATTTGCTCTTAAAAACTGAATTAAAACCACTTACCAACTCCAAAAGTAAAACATACATCCACTTATCATTTTCTCCAACAACTTCCACTATGTCATACTCCAAGTTTTCCATATCAGAACGTTTGATTTTAGGCGTCCATTTCCTATATAATGCCCAAATTTCACCTTTCCTTGGAAATATTGCATATTCCTTAGTCTTGCCATTAACACTAGCATGCAACTGATGTGAAATAGAATAGGTGTTACTATATAAACAGGGGGAACTATCTGTTTTAATTTTAAATCTTCCACAGGATATAAGCATGTCCTTATCTTCCCATCTAATAGCATTATCTGGTAGCCAGCAATTAGTAAGATAAGTAACTTGCAACTGAAAATCTGGGCTAGTCCTAACCTCCTCAATCTGACCATAGTATTTCGGCAGTCCATCCTCATCACCATAAAATGCCCAAATCTGACCAATCTGAAACTTTTCAAGGGATTTCGCAGCATCAAAATTGAAGAACTGAGGGTCTGGAATTTCAATAGCTTCTGTGCCCGAAGCCGAAGGAGCATTAACATCATCAATATGATCAACAGGATCCTTGTTCTCCTCTGCTGAATTGCTTCTTTCCAAATTAACCTTGGCAATAGATGCATCTCCCTCAGGCTTCATCACGAATTTCAATGTCTCAGAGGACCTTGTGCTCATACCAACAGATGGACCAAGACCAACCTTCCCTTCCAAATCTTCAGGAACAGCAATCTCTTCCAGATTCATAGGCAAGGATACAGGATCAAGTTCATAAGATCCTACAGGAACACCTACCCTTTCCTGACCAGTCATTTTAAAAGATGGAACTCTGTGAGAGAATCTGAATAACTCAACTGATGGAATTTGAAAGGTGCGATTACCTCCCTTTGTAATTTGAGAGAAGATGCTCACAAAACCTTTCAACTTATCCAAGTATGCAACAACTACTCCCACGCCTTCAACATAATCTGACATGATTTCAACAAACTCAAAATCATACTGCCGATGAGATTCCGCATCCATATACCATTTGATATCCCAATTTTTGAAAAGAGCCCAAATTTCTCCCTTTCTAGGATACACTTTAAAGGTATTGCGGGCAATCTTTTCACAAATAATCAGATGAGAGAACATCAGACGATCTTCAGTGATTTCAGTAGCACCAAGTTCATATTTCCCACAAGCAATTGGCAATTGCGCAGTTAACCAGTTGATTTCATCCTTGTCATCTGGATTTGGTTCAAACCATGTTATCCGCAGCTTGAATCCAGGAGAGAGAACTTTTCTGATTAAAGCATAGAATCTAGGCATGCCATCTGTTGTATCATAAACAGCCCAAATCTGACCAGCCACAAAACACTCCTCTTTCTTGTCCTTGTCAAAGTCACTGAAATCTGCATCAGGATAAACAAAAAAATCTGGATGATTTGTTGATTTCAAGGTTGAATGCTCTGAAGCTTCATCTGTCTTTGAGCTGCCCAATGCTTCTTTTCCCCTCACCTTAATTTCGTCATTTATATTTTCTAAGCTCTCTTCAGAATAAAAGTTCTTCCGCTTTACCTCTTTCTGATCATCTTTCAGATCAGCAGCCACATCACTCTGGTTTTTCATTTTAGCTGCCTCCCCGTGATTTTCACCACCACCGCTTGGCGATCCACTCCGCTTATCCCTTTTTACCTGTTGTACTAAGTCATCATCATCACTCGCATTCTCCTTGTAGGAAACCTGATGCTTTTGCCGCGTAGATCTACGTGGAGGCTCTTCTCTATGAGTAGAAACACCAGGAAAACCATCATTGCCAGCAAACTTATCATCTATGGAATCAGAGCTAACTATAGAATCAGAACTTTCACTGGATTCTGCTACCCATTTCCTCCTCCTACCATTTCGCTTTACAGGGACATCAGAAGTAGGACCTTTCTGCTGACGAGATTCTGTATTGGACCTGTTAGTACGCAAATTACCTTGAGATCCAACACCTACCTTGGAAGCACCATGATGACTATAGTTCTGCTGGCTAAAAGCTTGCTGACTTGAATTAGCTGCCGATGTTGTATCTTGCATATTCACATCATATGCAATGAAAGGCCTATTGCAATGTTGGCAGCGAAGAGATCTATTTAAAACTTCCCTGTAATACTCATATTTAACAGAACAAAATGAGCAGACAGTCCAAAAAGTAGGACGGCCACCATTATTAAGCCCCTGCTGAAATGGCTGCCTAGACTGTTGTTGAAGATTCACGTTTTCAAAAATGGGCCTGACATTGGTTTGCATCGCAGAATTAAAATTCGTCTGAACCTTCTGATGATGATGAAATGGCATAGCAGTTTTGCTCATTGGAACCCTGCGCTTCAAGTTCATGTCAAGCAGATACCGTTTTTCTCTATCCAAAAGCACTCTTTGAGCTTCCCCAATCAGCTTAAATGCAGCTTCTGCACCAGCAAACTTGTTTTTGTCAGGATGAAGTTGGAGTGCAAACTTCCTGTATTGCTTCTTAATTGTTGCATCATTGGCCGTCAGCTCAATTTGAAGAATTTTATACCAGTCCATCTCATTACCAAATAATCTCTGCTCGGCAGAGCAATGCACATCACAAACAATAAGCATTTGAGTGATATTCTCCAGATCAGGACATAGCTGCTGAGCTTTAAGGGCAAATTTACGAGCCACTGTGAAATCCTTACCTTCCATCTTTTTTTCAGCAATGTCCTTGGCCCTTAAGGCCTCTTCTTTATTGCAGGCCATAAAAATTCCAGATCTCAAAACCTAACAGAGTGCTATGGCCAATCGAACAGACAAACAAGCTAAATTTAATTTATAACTGCTCTGAGAAAAGATTGACCAAAATCAAAATGCAAAGGGCAGATAAATCTTCCAACACTCCACCAGTCCCCGAAAAGGTTACAGTCCTCACATTTAGATTGACCCTGCATATTTTGCATGACTTACAACCGTTAGATCCCACATCGACAAACAAATATTTAAAAAATGAAGGAGTTGCTTATCTCACAAACCAATTTCCATGCCTAAAATTAATGCATCAGTAGATGGGTCGGATCTTTCAATTCATTAGAATAATAGCAGTGCAATCACAACAGAAATTCGTGAGCAAAGTTACATGCGATCATCGTAAGTGGTATGTGTGTGAATTTATCATACACAAAACAATCAGAATATCTAGATAAAGGAATAATTATCAAGACTAGAGAAGATGCTTTCTTTCTATTATCCTCCTCTTTTCACTCAAATTTCTCTTTTATATATTTTGGGGCCAAGCAATGCCAGGCACAATATACACAGACTACATAAAATCAATAGAAGTGTAAGAAAACAGAGGTGAAAACTGAAAATGCTTCCATCCACCATGTTACACACCAAGGTCTTCGCATGGTATTAATTAATAATTATTAATTTCCATTAATAAAAGCATCAGATTGATATCAATAAATATTGATTAATATCAAGTAATGTCGCCATTTATTGACATTACCTTTTTAGTATTTCAAATCCTTATTATAAAGGTCGCAATGGCAGTATGGAATAGACAAGCAATTGAGCAATTATCTTCTTCCAATCTCTCTCTCTTTCTCCTTTCTCAACTGTAATTCTGTCTGGTACTTTCATGGAATCCTGTCTCCAAAGTACCGGCAACCTATTCTCAAGAGCACAAGGTGCAATTGCAAGCGGTGCGACAAGCTATGATGCACGGACACTGACACGGGACACGACACGATACGACACTCCGACACGTAAATCTTAAAAAATGTCATATTCCGACACGTTAGGACACGTTTTGATATTAAATAATATTTTAATATATATAATATAATTTATATTTAATACATATAATAACCCCTAAAAATCATATAATCAATCAAATATTCAAATTCTATAAATAAATATAACAGAAAAATAATAAAACATTTTGCTGGCCAAGTTCATATCCACCCCCACCCACTCCCATCCTATCAAACAAGATCCTTCTGTTTCAAACTGAAGCCTAGCATATAGCATGCATTCACGCACAGTCCTAATACAATACGACCCACACTAAACACCTAATATATGAAATACTGTGCCTAATGACTAGCTCCTGAATTAAACGTTGGAAAATGCACCCAAGGAATCACTCAACAGTATGTAAAATGATGGTGGTCAATTTGTTAATATAAAAATTAAAGGCAAAAAAATTATTCAGAACATATTTCAAATTAAAAAGTAAAGATTATCATAGAAATAAATGCTTTCCTGCCTGAACAATAATAAGACAACCCACAACCAACTCACCTTACATGTACAGAAGGAACTAACTGAAGAAGCAAGAAGAGGGCATCTGACGAAGAAGAAGAATAGAGACAGCCAAGCAACAGACGAGCCGAGGAAGAAAGCGACGAGTTGCAGCGCCTTAGAGAGGGATATCAGCGTGAAGAAAGAGATTGGATTCTAAATTTTAATTTTTATTAAATGTCTTTTACTTTTTTTTAAATTATAATTTTTTTATGAAAATGTCAAAAGTGTCTAAAAACGTGTCCAAAAACTTTGACTACATGTCGGACTCGGTCAAAGTCGTGTGTCGGAATAGTCAACGTGTCCTAAAAAGTTGACTGTGTGTCGGACGCGTGTGGAACGTGTCCGCGTCCGACACATATTTTTTTCAAAAATTGTCGTGTCCGTGCTACCGAGGCGACATGTAACCTATACAACAGCCGCTGCAATCAAACATTTACGCCAGAATTTCTAGTCTCTCAAGCCAACATTGAACAATTACGCCAAGATTTCCTTGACTCTCAAGCCAAACAACTAACAGCATAAAGTCTCTAGGCATTACTGAACAAGTGTGATCAGCACATCTTTGCCATCCTCTGACACGAGCCCCCGCCACTACCACCATTTTTGGCAAATCTAGCAATAGAAATTCTTGGCAAAATTCTGCACAAGTCCACGCTTGCAGATGCCACGCCAATGCATGTACATACTTTCTGCCTCAGATTCCCGCATTTTCCCCTGGGTAACTCAACCGCTTGGCGCTTTTCAACAAGAAACACTATTTTTGGAGTTAATACACACACCCAAAGGACTGGCTACTACTAACCGCGATGCATCTTGAAGCACCTATTGCCTAGGTTAGAGAAATATAATATAAAACTATTAATTAGCTTCACCTAATAGCTTAAGCTTTTGGTTGAAATGGTTCTTTACATAGTATGAGAGTCTTCATGACCAAGTGGTCACAAGTTTAATCCTCTTTGCCCCTATTCTATTAGAAAAAATAATAATTAAATAATGTGAACTTTCTTGACATAAGTAGGCAGGGCCTAATGCATTGCCCATCCTTCAAGCCCGATGGCTCTTGTGTGAGGGGGCATACCAGAGAAATATAATAAAACCACTCCCCGTTAAACCCGACTAGCAAGTGTGGGGTGGAGAAAATCTTTGTACGCAGCCTTACCCTTGCATAATTGCAAAGAGGTTGTTTCCTGGATTCGAACTCATGACCTTTCAGTATGAAGGAACAGTTTTACCACTGCTCCGGTTCGCCTCCATTTTACCAAAGAAATATAATATAAAACCATTAATTAGTCTTCACCTAATAGCTTAAGTTTTTTGAGTTAAAATGGTTCTTTACACCTAGGTTATCAATAGAGGCACTATACCGCACTAATGTAGTGTAGCATTGCGTGGTTCACCTTCATCACAAAAAACGTTATGCGATGCAATCGTTCAATGCAGAAGTTGCTATCGTGGCCTATCACAGTGCAACATGATGAAAGGGCAAAATCATGTAACTGTCCCTGTGCATGCAGTGTTTTAGGCCCATCTTAAGGAGGGGGAATCGAATTTTGACCCCTATTTTACTGTTATGGGGAAAATGCAGTGAACCCTATCATTGACAGCCTCTTTCAACTTAAACCTCTTGACCACTCTTCCTTGGACTCAAATTTCTGGCAAGCCCATCAAACTTTGGCAGTTTTCCAGCAATTTTCCGACAAGGAGAAGAAGAAACAACTATTTGACTCTTTTTGTATTTGACTCTCCAAGCCCATCAAACCCTTTATTCGACTCCGGCAACGCAGCAAGGTGCCTAATTTGGTTTTTTAGTTTGTATGGCCAAGCTCATTTTTTGAATAACCCATTCTAATTTATTTTTCTCTTTGTTTTGTGATTTTCTAGCAAGGCTCAAAGAACCATAACACCCACTTTGTACTTTGTTTTTCTGTTCCAGCTTTTATGTTTGATTTTTTTATTTTTGAGCTTTTATATATTTTTAGTATAATTTAGTATGATATTTATGTGGACTTCACTGTAGCGGCTACACCTACCGACTATCCTGCTATAGTTTTCGGGATTGGCCGCTATCCGAGATTGATAACGGACACTTGGTACCAAGTTCTACTGGTTGATAACCTGCCCAATTGGGATACATTTGTCCACACCATCCATCAACGCTTTGGTCCCTCCAAGTGAGAGGATCCCACCAACCTCCTCACCAAGATGTCTTAGACAGACTCTGTCCTCGATAACTACGTCGCCTTTGAGAACCTTGCCAACAAAGTCCATGGACTCTCTCAATGGCATTTATGCCGCTTGTTTATCTATAGAGTGCAACCTCATGTGTATAGCAGTCCAAGATCATCGGCCTGTGGACTTACATGATGCATTTGCATTCGCATGCATATATAAGTCTCAACTCAACAAGCCGCATCAAGCCCAGCTACCCCTACCCCATCCTAATCTCTTGTCACATGACTTCCTATCATATCTATGATAAACAAAGAATTTCAGTCGCAACACAACAGACAATGCTTCAACTATAATGAGAAGTACGTCCACAAGCATCGATGCAAAAGTCTGGCCCTTTTATATTACAGTGATTTTTGCAACACAATGGACGACTCGCTACCGCCTGAGCCTGTTGGACTGAATCCGACTTGAGGATGAGTCGCGTCTCGATGGGGGAAGGAATGTTACACACCAAGGTTCTCACGTGGTATCAATAACATTTATTAGCTTCCATTAATAAAAGGATTAAATTGGTATCAATTGGTACTAATTAGTATTAATTAGCATTAGGCTTTATTGGCTTTACCTTTATATTATTTCAAAGCCTTGTTTCACAATGGCTGCATGGAATAGGCAAGCAATTAAACAATTATCTTTTTCTCATTATCTCCTCTTCTCTCTCCTTTCGTCTGTCTTTTTTCTCAGCAATTCAGTCAAACTCTACAAGTACCCTTAACAGACCACCTGCATTTGGTTCAACTGATAAGAATGGAAATACTTTGCTAAGGTTTAAGTCTGATTCCCAATTTATCACTACCAACAATCCCCCTGAAAGGCAAGCTCTAAGTACCACCAGTATAAGCCTTCTCTTAGGCTCGTGGCATGCCTGCTTTTTATGGGGTAGGTAGCACCCCTTCACCCCAACCTTATACTAAAAAAAAAAAAAAAAAACTTTCATACAACTACAACATCAAAAGCAGTCTAACAAGTGCTAATCATTTAAAAATCTATACAATCACAAATCAGAAAAAATAAAGAAAACAAAAATAAAAAATAAAACCCACATTCTGAAAGCTTCTCTCTGCATAGACGTTTATAGCAAGTTTACTGTGCCATTGACACTTCTTTTCACAAACCCACCTCAGCACCGAACGGGAAAAAAGTAAAAGGCAAAAACCCTAATCTATTACGAAATAAACAACTCCGAACAACAACAAAAAAATTGCGATTTTTTTTTTTTAAATGAAGAAGCATCAGTGAAAAGGCTTGAACAAGCGCCCCTCCCCCTCCCACAAACAAAAAAAGAAAAAAAAAATCTACCTTTAACGAAAAAGGAAGGCACCCATTTCTTTTCAAGTGAATGGATATTAATAAATGCATTCAACAACTTTGAACATGCAATACGGGGGAAAAGATAAAAAAAAAAATCGATAATTGTTTAACTGTGAAATCTGAAATTTCATAAAGAGAAAGGGTTTTTTTTTTTTTTTTGTAAATAAGAGAAAGGGTTTTAGAAGCGAGGGAAGTTGTACGAACCTGTAAGAAGGATTGAGAATTCACAAAACAAAGCGAGGGAGAAATAAGAACAAAATCCTTCAAGTAGAACACAGTATCATCCCCCAGTAACCATTTATTAGGTTGCCTCCCACACCACCACTTCAATTTTTGGTTTGTTCTATTTTGATTTATTGTAATTTCTTCAATGTCTAGGGGTTCATATTTGATTAAAAAGTTGATCTAACGGAGCAAAACAATCCCAACCGTTCATAAATAAATTAATAATAATAAAAGGGATAGGATAGTGTAACAACTAATTAGATGATGTGTTGGATTAGGATTTTAAAAGATTTTTTTGAACTAAAAAATCTTATAAATTTATTTACAAAAAAAAAAAAAATCTTATAAATTTTAAAAGACTATTTAGAATTATAGAGACTTTAAAACTTTTTTAAAAGACTCATTTACAATCAAGATTTCATAAGATTGAATTTTAAATGATTTTAATAAAATTTATAAGATTTGAAAGGACAATATGTATTTATAAGATTTTAAAAAATCATATAAATTTTTAACAAACATTCAAAAATACAAGAGTCAATAAAAAATGGAAAGGTTATACCTACAACCTATTTTTGTTTACAATATTTTACAACTATATCTTAACCGTTGATTTCCGTCAATCAACGGTTATCATTCATTGTAAATTAAATATTAATTAATGAGTTTGATTTGCGAAAATAATAACCATTGATTGACGGAATCAACGATTATGATATGGTTGTAAAAGGTTATAAACAAAAATAGGTTGTAATTATAATCTTTCCCATAAGTAAAACATACTATAATTTTTAACAAACATTCAAAATTACTAAACAACGGCTTTTCACATATCTAATGGGTTGAAAATTATCTTCTTCATTTGGTACCAAAGCTATGCATATATGATTATAAAACTCAATTTTTTTAAATATAAAAATAATTCTAAATTTGCATATATAACCTAAAGTTCATAATAAAATTTCGTTTAGAATTTTTTGCAATTGATCTTGAAAACCTTGGAGTTTTTGTTTTACATGATGAGAGTTTTCTAACCATATATCATATGCATATTTTCATTGAATATTCTAACAAAACTTCAAATATGGAATTTTGGGTTTAATTACATGAAAGTTTGAAAAATTTATCAATTTTTTTTCAATCGATACATTGAAACCGTAAATTGCTTTGGGATTTTTGAAAAACAAGTTTATAATTATCTATTGACACAAAAATTGTTTGAAATTGTTTCTTATAATTAAGGAATTTTGTTCATGAATGTATTGTTACGAAATATAGGGTTCATATTATGAAAGTTTCAATCTTTCTTTAAATTGATATTGTTTCATTGATGTAAAACGAAAATTGGTTTGAGGGTTTTAGTTTCCCTATTATTTTTACTGTTTAATGTTATTTTTAGAGTAAATACCCCTTTTAGTCCCTAACAAAAAACACGGTCCCCACTTTAGTCCCTAATAAAAATAAATTAGTCAGTTAGTCCCTAATAAATTCAAAGTGGACCCATTTGGTTGAAATCGTGGTCCCTCACAAATTCAAAAAAGACCCATATTAGTCCCTCAAAATGACTAAAATGGGTCCACCTTGAATTTGTTAGGGACTAACTGACTAATTTATTTTTATAAGGGACTAAAGTAGGGACTGTGTTTTTTGTTAGGGATCAAAAAAGGTATTTACTCTTATTTTTAATACAAAAATCACACGTATTTGTGCCAAGAAAAAATCGTGACCCATAGCTTGAAAAAACACTTTTTATTAAACTTCCAAAATTAATGAAAAATATGTTATTTTTGAGATAAATTATATTCAAATCTCGTTGGTTTCTTGTTTTTGGATTATTTTGTGATGAAAATCGCTCAAAAATATGCTCTCTTTTTTAGTTTTGATGAAACTCTCGTGGCGAAACCCAATTTCTAGCAGTCAACATGCCAAAGGAAGAAGAAAACACTGCAATAGAAGATTCTCAATAAATCTGAGGGGTTACAGTGAGATTGTGAGAGAGGCATCCTATTTATATTTTTCACTAAAAAATCTCACGAAATTCACATCAATAGAAAATTCATTAAAATCATCGGATTTTTAAATACCACTAAATTGTGATTCCATTGTTTAAAATTCTGATTGAATACCAACGGATTTGGACGGATTCTAAAATAATCCTTTAAAATACTAATCGAATATTTCAATCCATTAAAATACTAATCGAATACCAACGGATTTATTTGTCCAAAAACAATCTATTAAAATACTTTGAAATCCCAATTCAATACACCCTGTTAGTGTTACTACTAGTGTTACTGTCAATGTTACTACTAATCAATTTCACCGTCAGATCGACTATGTTGATCGGTTATATTTATTTTCATATTTGTATGATTATAAAACATTAAATATGGGAAATCATAACCATACAATGGTGAAAATAAATATAAATTATTAAATATGTGGAATCATAACCATACAGAGATAGAATTAAATAAACCGTTGGATCAACATAATCGATATAACGGTGAAATTGATGGGTAGTAACACTAATTGGTTGTTACAATATCCTTCCCCTAATAAAAATTAAAAATAATGAGTTGAAAAAGATAACATTAATTTTAGGGTTTGATAGTTTTTTTATCTCCTAAATACATGTAATAGTATGTGGCAATGTTATTAAATCCGAACTGATCATCGATCCGATTGAGATACCGGATCAGTGATTCAACCGCATGAATCGAATATTACTCGTATTTGAAATCTCACACACAGAGTCAATGGACGGAGACAAAATCAATATAAGAGAAAAACAAAAGACAGGAAGAAAGCAAAATATAGGGAAGAAATCGAGATAGAGATGTGTAACTGTTTTTTTTTATTAAAAAAATTATATTTGAAACCATTAATTTAATTCAATGTAATTATAATAAAAAGAGAATAAAAATAGAAAGATTAAATAAATAGAGAATATAATCGTTCCTTAATTTTAAACCGCTGTTATAATTTCAGGTAACTTATTGGTTCTAACTTCTAAATACTGAGGAGAGGATTTCCAAAAAAAAAAAAAACATACTGAGGAGAGGATATTATATTTGGTATTTTTCTCCTATCTCTTTCTATTTCTTTTTCTTTTACGCATATTTCCACATTTCTATTTTCATTTTATGATTGCACATTTGCTTACACTCTCTAATCATCATTCGCTTATAAGAAAACTACGAGTAGCAATGTTAAAATGAATTGAGTTCATCATGCTCGAATAATCTAATTAAGTGCATGCATGGGTTGGTTTAAAATTAATTGTTATCTAACTTGGTTTGATTTGATTTGCCGTAATTTGATACGAGTCATTGGAGGATGCATGCAAATTCATAATTATAATAAATAATTAATATAATTATTAGTTGTTGTTTTTTTTTTTTTTGCAAAAAGAGGAATTACAGTAAAAGGCTACAAATTATTGAGCCATAGATACCCATCAAATCCCTACTTAGAAATTCTCTACACTCAGCTGGAGGTTATTGTACAATGTGACAGTCCCAATCTGTCCACTTGTTCCCATGGTGAGTTAAGGCGTCTGCGACCATGTTCCCTTCTCTATAGATGTGAGATAGTTTTGTCATCTACTGTCTTCCAAGCATGGCTTGCACCTGGTAAACCATAGGAGCAACCAGGTGGTTCTTTTCGCAACTATTAATAACTAAGTTAACAGCAACTCGAGAGTCCTCTTCTATCAAAATCTTCCTGCAACCTAAGTTCCAAGCTAGTTGAATGCCATTTAGGAGACCCAGATCTCAACTCTTAAGGAGGATCCTCTGCCCAGGTTCCTTCTAAAGCCTATGATCCATCTACCTGAGTCGTCTCTGATGACTCCCCCACAACTAGAGTGGGTTCCTCTGTCACTACTAGAGTCGTCGACATTGAGTTGCATCCATTGTTGTGGTGGAAAGTCCCAATAGATTAGTTTCTCAATTCTAAGGCTTCTTTCTGTAAACAACCTTGGGATACACCACCCCAAAAGCTAGCTCAAAGGGTGGGAGTGCCCAAGGCCTTATAAAGGCCATATTAGTTGCCCATCCAATCAATGTGGGACTATATATCTCAACACGCCCCCTCACGCAAGAGCCCTTTGGGCTAGAAGCGTGGAATTGTACAGGCCCAATTTTTGGTTTACCTTTTTTGTGCTTTTTTTTATTTTAATTCCACTTTAAAGCGGGTGACAGTGAGACTCTGATACCATGTAAAGAACCTTGGGATACACCACCCAAAAGCTAGCTCAAAGGGTGGGAGTACCCAAGGCCTTATAAAGGCCATATTAATTGCTCATCCAATCAATGTGGGACTATATAAAGCCTTAGTTTTTCAATTCTAAGGCTTCTTTCAGTTCCAACCATCCCCATTACCTATTGTGCCTCTTTAAGGTTCGTGACAAAAAATTTTGCTCGACTGAGTCCATTAGTTGTTATTTTTAACTTCACATAAATGTTATTTTTAAACAAACACTCGAATATTTTAGGATAAAGTTTAAATATTTTTCATGTGATTTTCCTTAAAATCACTAATTCTTTAATTTTATTTTATTTTTATCACTTATTTTTCATTTAGTTTTTTTCCTGTTAAAAAATTTCTTTTGTTAGAAGTTGAGAATTTTGTTCTATTGCACATTGGAGAAGAGATATAATATTTACTTGGCTGAATAAACATTGTTTATTAGTTCTAAAATCACATGAAAAAATAGGCGTTTCATAAAAAATAAAATAAAAAAACACATTGTAGCTGAAATTACACTACAAATCTCCAAATTTGTTTTTATGATAATTCATAATTTATTTCCACATAACTAAACTAGGTCTAAAATTATATAACATTCAGGGACGGAACTATATTGATGCCTGATGGACTGATGGTACCAGGGGCAGCCACCAATAAGTCATAAACTTTTTCAACATATTTGATTTACATACACTGAAATAATCATGATGATAATAATAATATATATATTTTTTGGTGAAATAATAATATTATATATTAAAACCATCTGCATCTCCAAACTCTGTACTATAAAAATATCAAATTTTAATATCGATTAATTATCATATTACAAATTTTTTTTGAGTGATGGTTACTGCTAACAAATTGATTGCCATGTAGAACTTTTAATGATGAATTTGATGATTTTACATGACACATGCACTTAGTTACAAAATACAAATCTTTTCGAAAAATCCATTTTAGAAATTCACAAAAAACAATCGTATATCCTTTAAACAATCCAAATTGCAATTTAACATTCTAATAAAACAAAGCTACGACATTAATTAGGGAAACTCAGCGGGCGTTTAGTAGAGGATAATTTTTTTTTTATTCGAAAATCTCGATTTTCAAAAGTATAATTTTTATATTCAATTTATGATAATATTCAAAAATTTAAAATTTAAAAAAATTCAATTTTCCGAAAATCTTGGAGAATGACACGTACCAAACGCCCCCTCAAGTTAAATTGAGTTAAGTTCAGGTCTTTAAAAATTAGTTCCATTATCTTTTCAGGTAAAGTTGAATCGCATTTCGAGTTAATCCCAATGGATTTGCCAAATAATATTTCAAGATTTAATTATGTGATAAATTAATAATCAATTATAATATCATTTTTATTTTCATATGAATATATCAATGATACATATTATTTAATTTTATATATTTAATATTAACATCATAAATCGATTTAATTCAGAACAAATCATTTAAGTTAAATTTAGATCACTCAACTCTGCTTGTCTAAATCCTTTTGCAAAGAATCAAAAGTATATTCCTTTTGCAATTTCAAAATTGAAGTTGGAGTTTCCTCTGTTCCTGTTTGGATACAAAAATAGCTCAATCCCCGAAATTTTGATTTTTCAAATATCCCGCCCGTTGAAACAGACTCTCTCTCTCTCTCTCTCTCTCTCTCTCTCTCTCTCCAATCGTATCCAAATTCATTTCTCTCTCTTGTTCCTCCACAACGCTTGAAATCTGCGAAGAAAAATCCTAGAAAGATCAACAGCCACAATGAACCAGTATCACATATACGAAGCAATTGGTCGCGGCAAATACTCCGTAACCTAACCTTGCTCCTCTTTATTCCAATTTTTAATTATTATTTCTTCACGCCATTTCCACTTCCTTTTTTAAGCTTCAATTAAAATCGTAACGTCCAATCGCTCTTTCTCTGTTTTTTTTGTGTGTGTGTGGATTTGCAGACCGTGTACAAAGGCAGGAAGAAGAAGACCATTGAGTATTTTGCAGTCAAAAGCGTCGATAAATCGCAGAAAACCAAGGTTCTTCAAGAAGTAAGTCGTTCGATTTCGGAAAATTCATTAAAAGAGCTTCAAACTTATACAGGTTGTGTAGTATAGTTCATTTAATGTGCTACTACTTGGTTTTCCTTTTATAATTATAATAATAATAATTATTATTAGTAACATTGGTGATGTGTTTTCTAGCAGATCCTGAGCTGTATCATGTTTGCTGATGTTCACTAACACTGAATTAACGGCTTTCTTCTTTTTGCAGGTTAGGATTCTTCACGCTTTAGATCACGTAAATGTGCTGAAGTTTTATTCTTGGTAAGAACTATTGTTTTGCATAAACAAAATAGGGAGAATCCAAAAATGAGGAACATCTATTAAGAATATGCCATGAAGGGGCAAAAAAAATCGTATTCAAAATAAGGAGAATTGAAAATTGAGGAAATCCCTCTGTATTGTAAATATTGAAGTAGTGGTTATTATGCATAAATTATATATTGTATAAGATTTACCTTTTTTGGAATTGTCCCGAACAAATGTTTCCTTTTGAATTAGGGTTAGCAGCTTTTTCATATTTCTGAAGTGTTTACCCACTTATGCTTTTTAGGTATGAAACTTCCGCTCATCTATGGTTGGTTTTGGAGTATTGTGTTGGAGGGGATCTGCTTTCCATATTACGGCAGGTGCCCAGCATTTCATTGATTATATCTTTTGAGCCTTTGTTTATTGTAGCTTCATTCTCTTGGACTGGAAGATCTCGCTTACTGTTCCGCATAGCTTCCTAAAAACATAGAGTGATTGAATTTTTGGTTGTTGAAATGTTCTGGATATATTTTTGTTCCATCTTGCTCTAAACTGTTGATTTCTAAATTAGCTGTTGTAAATTGCAGTCTTTAGGGTCTGGGAATTTTGTGCTCCGTTATGCAATATTACTTTCTTGTTTATGAATTGCAGGATAGTCAACTTCCTGAAGATTCAGTTCATGATCTTGTTTTCGACCTAGTCAAAGCTTTGCAGTATGTAGACAAGTCTTATTTTTCCCTCTTTGTTTTCCCACTGTTTTGTTATATTACGCTTATGTACCAAAACTGGATACTACATTCAGGTTTTTGCATTCAAATGGAATAATTTATTGTGACCTGAAACCATCAAATATCCTACTAGATGAAAATGGATGTGCAAAGGTACCTATTTGTTATGCTCTCTCTCTGTCTCTCGTTTTGTTGGTTGAGTCATTTTAGAATTTTTTTTTTTAAATATGAGATGGAGTGTGCACTTTCTACTTGATTGATGCAGCTATGTGATTTCGGATTGGCTAGAAAGTTGAAAGATATATCAAAGACTCCTTCTTCCTCGGTATGCTTGATTAACATTTTCAATTACTGACATCCGTATGCGTTTGCAGATGGACCTCTACTCAACAATATTTGTCATTTTTCTTAATAAATTTAATTATCTGTTAATATATACTAAGTTTGTATACTTTTTCAGTTGCCTCAAGCAAAGCGGGGAACACCCTCTTACATGGCTCCGGAGCTTTTTGAGGATGGTGGAGTCCATTCTTATGCTTCTGATTTCTGGGCCCTAGGTTGTGTACTATATGAATGTTATGCTGGAAGGCCTCCCTTTGTGGGAAGAGAATTCACTCAGCTTGTAAAATCCATAATGTCAGATCCGACTCCACCTCTTCCCGGTAATCCAAGTCGACCTTTTGTCAATTTAATTAATTCTCTTTTAGTAAAAGATCCATCTGAAAGAATACAGTGGCCTGAGCTTTGTGGACATGCCTTTTGGAGAACCAAAATTTCTCTGGTGCCTCTGCCTGCTCAACCTGCATTTGATGATATGATAGAGCTACATGCTAGACCATGCTTGTCAGAACGTAATGGAGATAAATCTTCTCATAACAGGACCCCTCCTAAATATCGTGAAAAGGATGTGAAAGGGGTGTTGAAGAAAGATGAAAATTCTGTTTTAGGATCTAGGGGCATTGAGACACCAAATAGGGTAACACCAATTGGCCACAGAACTCAGACAAAGGGTTCTGGCAGAACAATTGAGGCGAAGCAGAAAGATCATTCCAATATTAGCAAGGGTGTGAATCTTTTGAGACTGTCAAGAATAGCAAAATCAAATTTACAGAAAGAAAATGAGAAGGAAAACTATCGACGCCCCATGCCTAATGCCTCTGAGAATGATTCTGAAGTTAGAATTGAAAACACTGACATGGAACTTGATTTTGATGAGAATACTGAAGATGATGCGCATGAAGAAACTGATGGCTCTGAACATCCAACTTCCGTGCCTGATGAGAAAATGGACAATCAGGGAAAAGCAGAGGAGATTGAAAATAATATACACCAGTTAGACACCCCATCTGTTGTTAACACTCCTGTCTCAGATGAACCAAGGGCATTTGATCATGAGTCAACTCCTGACCGTCCTGACATATCTGCTATTTCTCCCAGTGTGAGCCCTCAGGTGAAGAAGCATAGAGCTAAAGAAGACTCAGGATCTGGCCTCGACTCTGATTCTTCAAAGTCATCTAACAACCTTTCCCAGGTTCTTTGGCATCCATCTGATCTCTCTGTTAGACCTGTAATGCCCAGCAGAAAAGTTGATAAAATCTCAGAAGTCATTCCTTCACTTCCTTTTGAGGCTTTGCAAGCGTCTGATTTTGTCAAGATGCCTAAAGAGCAATTGGAGGCAGTTCAGAACCGAATTATAGCCATTTTGAACGGCAATACCACCATTGGAGAGAAACAGAATGTGATTAGGTACCTTGAGATGTTGAGCAGTAATGCTGATGCAGCCAATATCTTGACCAATGGACCAATAATGCTCATTCTTGTAAAATTGCTACGTCAATCAAAGGCATCTGCTTTGCGTGTTCAACTTGCTTCACTGATCGGTCTGTTGATTAGGCACTCTACTTTTGTTGACGACAGTTTGGCTAATTCTGGAATTTTAGGCTCACTGACCGAAGGCCTTAGAGACAAGCAAGAAAAAGTGAGGAGGTTTTCCATGGCTGCATTGGGTGAGTTGCTATTTTATATATCAACTCAAGCTGCGGACTGCAGGGATAACAATCAACTCGAGTCTCCATCAAAGGACAATAGGACTCCGCATGGCTGGCAGGTTTGCTTCTAAGCTTGTTGCTTTTAATGTTCATTGTCCATCTGCCTAGGTCATTGGAAGCTTGACATCTCTAGTACTAGTATATAAAAATCTACGCTTTTCTAGGTATGTTGCTTGCAACACGGTAATATATCTTCTGTCAAATTTGTGTCCTCCTGTCAGCTTTTTTTAAACTTTCTTTGCCTGCGTTCTAAGTGCACATTTTACATGGTTGAATTATTTACACCTGGCTGCAGGTTACAAATTCATTAATATCATTGGTGTCATCAATATTGAGGAAGGGCGAGGATGATATAACTCAATTGTATGCGTTGAGAACAATTGAGAATATTTGCAGTCAAGGAGGGTTCTGGGTGGGACGTTTGACCGGTCAAGATGTTATTAGTAATCTCTGCTATATCTATAGGGCGGCAGGGAAACAAGAGAGCATGAGGCTTACTGCAGGGTCATGTTTGGTGCGCTTAGTTCGTTTTAATCCTCCTAGTAGTCAGTCGGTTATAGAGAAACTCTCTTTCAAGGACCTAGCTTCCGCTCTCGTCAAGGGCAGTCCACGGGAGCAGCAAATCAGCTTAAATCTTCTTAACATGGCAATGCTTGGAAGTCACATGTTCACAAATATTGGAAGATATCTTCTACCACTTGCGGAAGATAAGAATCTGATCCCGAGTCTTTTGGCTCTTGTTGAGCAGGGTAGTGAAGTTTTAAAAGGAAAGGCGCTTGTCTTTGTGGCTCTCCTATGTAAGCATGGTAGGAGGTGGCTTCCACACTTCTTTTGTAGCCAAAAGTTACTTTCTGTGGTGGACAGGCTAGGAAAAGAGAAGGATGCCTATGTGCGGCAGTGTTTAGATGCATTTGTGCATATTGTGGCATCTACTATTCCGGGTTTACTGGATATAATAACAGGAGATATCCAGCAAATGATGGGAGGAAGGCGCCATGGACATATCTCCGCCCTCACCAGTAGATCTGCTCCAAAAACCAACATTCATTTATTTCCTGTTGTCCTTCATCTTCTTGGAAGTTCAACTTTTAAGCACAAAGTGGTGACACCTCAAGTCCTGCGGCAGTTCGCGAATCTAATTAAACTCCTGGAGACACCGTTTCAGGTCTGTGACTGAGTCGTATATTTTTTTTCCTTCAATGTTTTGTTTTACTGTTTTCATGAATATTGACAGAGTGGAGCTAATAAATTTCGTTAGATTAAGAACTTGGTTTCCGGTATATTAATGGCTTAGGTAGATGTAAGAATAATTATTATAAGGGATATAAAAAATTTAAATTATTAAACAAAGACTATACAAATTTATTTTGGGTTTCCGGTATATTATTACTTCCTTTTGTACAACGTATATTACTTGTTAGTAAATAGTTATCTGTTCTCTCTAAATAATTAATAGAGTAAATACTCTTTCACCTCCTCAACAAAAAAATATGAAACTCATTTTAATCTTTAGTTTTTTAAAATTGTGGTCTCTCAGAAATTCAAAGAAGACCTACATTAATCTCTCAAAAGAGATTAATATAGATATTTTTTTTAAGGGGTTAAAATAGATTCCGTATTTTTTGTTGAGGACCCAAATGAATATTTATTCTAATTAATAATTATAAATGAAATCATATTCAAGTACATGTAGTTTAAAAGAAATTTGTGAATAACTATAGCTTTAGTTGAATAGTTATTTGTTTCTGATGAATAGCTAATAATTTTAAATGAAGTTTTATATTAAATCTAAAAAATTAAGAAGAAATTTGAGAATGACTATTATTGAATCATGACTTCTTCTTCCTAAGTGGTTAACAACAATAAATGATTTTTTTCTTATATTGCATATCTGGTATAACTTAAATTTGTTCTTTTTTTTTTTTTTCAAAAGTTCTATTTTAATTATATGCTATTTTAAACCCAAAATAAATTTAATTTTACAATTTTGGGCGAAGTGAAATGAGGCCGTCAAAAGGGCCAAATGCCAAAATTTTGATGCATTGTCTGCCAACATTTCACATGTTGTTTGGCAAATTAATCTCTGTTAAATGTTTGACAATTATTTTACTGATTTTGTCATTGTTTGAACTATACTATCACTTGGATGGCATATGGCTCTTTCAGCGTACCAAGGTTGACTTTTTAATTAACGATTGATATTTAATATTATTGATTGATTGACTTTCAGGGAAGAGATGACTTCCAAATAACCCATCTTCGAATTTTGGAGTCTCTCACGGAGGAATCTCCTGTGATTCTTGGCAATCCTGACATTTTCATACGTGAAATCCTCCCTAGTTTGACAGTTCTCTATAAGGGGAACAAGGATGGTGATGGCAGATTTTTGTGCCTTAAAATTTTTTTCGATGTGATGATTATTCTTTTGAGTGAACCAATTGAACAAGAGCAAAGATTGAAGGATCTGAAACTCATATCAAATACCCGTTTTCTTCCTCTCTACCCGACCTTGATCGAAGATGAAGATCCTATTCCTATCTATGCACAGAAGCTTCTTGTCATGCTACTGGAGTTCAGTTTTATTACAATTCCAGACATTCTACATCTGAAGACAATTTCACAATGCTTCGAGTTCTTGCTTGGTGATCTGTCAAATGCAAATGTGAATAATGTTAAGCTGTGTCTTGCTCTGGCTTCCGCGCCGGAAATGGAGTCCAAATTACTCTCTCAATTAAAAGTGGTTAGGAGGATTGGCAACTTTCTTGAGTTCGTATATGCAAAGGGTATGGAAGATTTGCTGGAACCAACTCTTGGGCTGTGTAGGGCTTTTCTAGCACGTTCAGTCAGCTGTGCAAAAGGCTTCAGCTACACATCAGAACCAACTCTCTTAGGTGAATGTCCTTCTGAGGTGAGTGGTGCTGTTGATCCCCAGCAATGCATAAGAGATATAACAGACTTTGGAAGCAATGTTGGTGTCTTGCTAGAGTTGAGTGCCTCTACAGAAACCAATATTGCTGATATAGCTTCTGAATGTGTTGTTTTACTTCTCAAGGCAGCTCCTAGAGAAGCCACCACTGGTCTCCTAACCAATCTCCCCAAGGTCAGTGTGATCCTAGAGTCCTGGAATAGAGGCACCCCTCACTTAATGGTACAGCGAATGCTTCATGCTTTAGGTTATGCTTGCAAGCAGTACTTATTGAATGCAATGATATTATCAATATCCATACCAGAGATTTCGAGAATTGAAGTGATAGTTTCTGAACTCAAAAGTTCAGGTGTGCCTGGTTTAGCCAAAACTGCTGGGCTTGCAGCCATGGAATTGCAGCGGCTGCCTCGCTGCATTTGAATAATTGTAGGTATCATGTTATCATTGTCCTGTTCCAGATATTAGAATCTGGAACTTCTCTATTTTACGGTTTACCTTTATGTTTCAGGTCTTATTGAATTCCAGATAAAAGGTTAAGCATTCTGGTGAATTCCACTCAGGCTTCACTGTACTTTGTAAAGTATGTGTACTCTGTATCTTCGTGAACATTAAAATATAAATCAACGAATTCTCCGTTTTTTCCCCATCCTTAGACTCTTTTCATTAATTTAAACACTAAATGAAGAAACGTATCGGACACAAGTATATCATAACAAAGAACTTTAAACAAATATCTTAAAGAAACTGCATGGAAATTATTGAGATTCGTATTTGTGTCAGTTCCATTATACACATACATCCCAAGAAGACAGAAAGGATTGTCAGCTATTAAGAAGGCTTATATCAATAATGTTGCTCAATAATGTCCAGCCTAGCCTCCTTTATACTCGTACGAATGTTCTTCACGAGACAAGCTATTCTTAAAAACTTATAACATGTTGGTGTCGCAATCCAATGTTGACTACAAATCAACTGGTAATGTCACTTTCAAAAGGATTAGGGACATGCATCCTCTTTCGTAAGAGCTACAAATGTGCAGTGAAATTTGAATCATTCTGGTTCTTTGTTTTTTTTTGTTTTTGGGTACTTTTTGAATCACCTTTGAAACATCAGGCACCGTGATTATGAAATTTGAAATGCAAAACTACAGTCAGCTTTCCTGTTTGCTATAATTAACAATTAACTTTATATGGATCAACAGAAAAAAGAGAGCTGTAGGGCACCTAATATCACGGGTACGGGTAGAAAAGGATTCTCTTACCAAACCCATCACATGGAAACCTTTTCCAATCTTTGTCTCTTCCTCAAAGAAACCAAATATGTTTCTTATTATCGTCCAATAGACACACTAGCCACGTGGTGCCCCATTTGACCCCACATAGTCTTAGGTATGGGGGGGAGAGAGAGAGAGAGAGAGAGAGAGAGAGAGAGAGAGATAGGAACCTGCAGAGCTTCAGGGCTTGAGGATTTAAAGACTTGCCATCATTATTTCCACTAAAAGCCCACACATTTTCCATCTCCCTCAGAAAATTCTTACATAATTATATCCATTTCCAGGCAGTGAAACTTGGGTTTCTTCACCATCAGAATGGCATCATCATCATTCAGGGTTTATCTGACACTAATGATCATCATGGCTTTCATGCCCTCACCTCTGCTTTCATCATATTCAACACCTATTCCCGAAGTTCCCACTCTCTCCTCTTCACCAGCAACATTAAAAGATCCTCCTCCATCTTCACTATATCCTTTCCAAGAGTTGTCCCCAGACATTGCTCCACTGTTTCCTTCTCCTGGTGCTTCTGGAACTGACATTCCCACCATTCCTTCCAATCCAAGCCCTCCAAACCCAGATGACATGATGGCTCCTGGTCCTCTTTCTGCATTTTCACCATTTGGATCAATGCAAGCTTCCTCCAATGCCCCTAGAAGTCTTGTTTGTGAACTAGCCACTACTGCTTTTGCAGGTTTAACAGCATACTTGTCTTTGCATTATATGAGAGTATGAGTGGTTTGGGATGTGGGAGATTCCAATTATTATAGACTAGATCCTCTTTATTGTATGTTAATTTTTCATTCTTATTACCTTGTAATATATGATATTATAATGAACCCATGTTTCTTTCTTGATTGGCTTGACAATAATTTTCCTAAAGATATCATTTTTCTTCTTTTATGATTCTACTGTTGATTTCCCAGTTGTAATTATTGAGGTTAGCCTTTCTTTTTTGTTTTTCCATACGTTAAAAGATCCTTTATCTTTCCAATCAGAGGCCCATGATTGAACTTTACAAAAGCCTTTTTGCATTTACAGCTTCACTCTACTTAGAGCTGGAAACCTTGTTCAGATTGTCAGGTTTGCATGTCATCATCTATTGAGTTGATGGCACATGGTTGAAGCAAGTGTCAATATTTTTCAAATTGCAACAGGAGTGCACGTGATTAACACCTAATCATCATAAATTAGTTGTTGTTTTCTTATTGTTTTTTCTCCCAATTATCAATCACATGCTGCAGAATCAAGTGAGAAATTTCAATAGTAATAATGTTTAGGTAACCAGTCCTATTTTGTCTGGTTTTGCTGTCTTATTCCTTGGATATCATAATAACTTTTCATATCTTCATGTGTCAAACCTTGTGTCTTGTACTCCATACTAGCAATGTTTTCTCCATAGTGATGCTACTTTTTAGTCTCTACTCTTTCTAGTGAATGTTACACAAGACTTAATACCCAAAAAGAAAATGTTATACAAGACATAGGGGGTCCCAAATTTATTTGCAGTGTGTAAATTCTTTTGCGTTACCCTACCTATCATTCTCAAATCCATCTAATCATACGAAATTGTATTTGTATATTAAAATGCCAAGACTCGCATATCTATCTATCTATATATATGAAAAATTGGAATTTACTAATGTATGTACATACATATAATCAGATTTTCTTTTATGCAATTAGGTTATGTGGGACGATTTTGCAGTTTCAACTAATTCATTTCGATTCAAAAGATAGATAATTCATGTTTAAGAGTGATTAAGAGATAAGTTTGCCTCTATAAGAATTAATTTTATTAGGGGAAAGATCCGTTTACAAATTTTTTTGATAAATTTTTACAAATTACACTATCTTCTCCCGGAAGAACATAGTGAAACTAGTGTTCTCCCAGGAGAAGATAGTATAAACCTGGCCCATTTTCTTAAATACACCAAACTAATGCAAATAATATATTCTTAAGACCGCTTATAAAATAATTTCAGTTATGGTAAAAGCTGACTTAAAAACTTAAAAATATCTTATGGTTAAAAATAAGAATACATTTTAATATGGACTTCTTTATTTGAACTTATGATTTTATTTTTCTTTTGTTTCAAAACAAAAAAAAAAACAGCTATTTTTTTTAAAAAAAATTAACTGTCATTTGAGTGTGATGTAACTATTCCGAAGCGGTATTAACCTTATCATCATTTTGTGTAGAGTTTGTAAAAGGAAAAATATGAACCTGTACAGTGTCACCTGATAAAACCAAAGGAATATGGCCAGAGTGATTCTCTGTCAACAAATCAATTTTCTATGCTGTGGCGGGAACAACTGAACCATGTGTCACATAATTTTGATTAAAAAGTTGAGGAATTTTATTGAATTCATACCCATTAATGTCTATTACAGTTATATTTTTTTACCAGATACTTTGGTGATTGTTTTAATGGTTATATTTCTCTTATTTTACATTATAGAAGTCAAGTTTCTACCTATACAAAATAGATATGAATTTTATCTGTTTTTTTTCTCTCCTCTTATGGGGGTGGGATTACAATTTAGACCAACCTGTTATCCAAAACAAGATTCAACAAAATGTAACAATTAATTTTATTCATTTTTTTAAAATATAGTGTTACTGTTATTTCATAGTTACAATATTTTAATGTCTATATGATTGTTAATGCTTAAGTTAGAAATTTAGTTATGGATGAACTAACAAAACATATGCAAGAGAAAGTATATAATGTATGTTTTTGCAGATGATATTGTGCTTATTGATGAAACCAAAGACGGTGTTAACAGAAAACTTGAATTGTGGATAAGCACATTGGAGTCTAAAGGATTCATGTTAAGTTGGAACAAGACTGAGTATTAGAAACCTAGTAAGATTTTGTGCATCTACTTGGTCAAGAGGTATCCAAGAAAGATGCTTTTAGATATCTGAGATCCATTTTGCAAAAAGATGGAGAGATTGATGAAGAACTAAATCATAGAATCAGGGCAAGATGGATGAATATGGAGTTGAATGAAGGCCTGCAATGTTATATGGAGCTGAATGTTGGCCAGCACATAGGCAACATGAGCATAAAATGAGAGTAGCAGAGATGAGGATGGTAAGATGGATGTGTGATTATACGAAGATGGATAAGATAAGAAATGGAAATATTCGATGAAAGGTAGGAGTACTACCGGCGGCTGAAAAGATGAGAGAACATAGATTGATGTGGTTTGGGCACATAATGAGAAGGCATGTGGATGCTCCTGTAACAACAAAAGTTTGTTAGGAAGAGCTCAACACAAAGAAAGATAGAGGTAGACCGAAACTTACTTGGGGGAAGGTAGTAAAATATGACTTAGTAGAGTGAGATATAGATTGACGGACAATAAGTCTTAAGACGGAATGGAGAAAAACTATAAGAATTGTAAAGAACCAATTCAACCCAAAAGCTTAAGTTGATGGGTGAGGGTTTTTTAATGGTTTTATATATCTCAACACGCCCCCTCACACGAAGGCCCATTGGACTTGAAGTGTGGACGATGCACAGGCCCACCTATCTGTGCAAAGAAAGAAATTCCACTAGAAAGAAAGTGGGGGGCGGTGAGGATCGAACCCAGGACACGAGGCTCTGATACCATGTAAAGAACCTTGAGATACACCACCCCAAAAACTAGCTCAAAGGGTAGGAGTGCCCAAGGCCTTATAAACTCCATATTAGTTGCTCATACAATCAATGTGAAACTATATATCTCAAGACACCCCTTCACACAAGAGCCCATTGGGCTTGAAGAGTTGACAATGCAACAGGCTCACCTACCTGTGCGAACAAAGAAATTTCACTTTAAAGTGAGAGGCGGTGATGATCGAACTTGTGACCTTGTAGTCACTCAAGCTCTGATTATCATTAATGGAGAGTTAGATCCGTTGTTATTCTTATATTTCAGATAACCTCTTTTTCCTTTCACCATCTTTTTTATTTTTATTTTTATCTATTTTTATTTTTTATTTTATTTATTTATTTTTTCTTTTTTCAATCCCTTTGTATCTTTCATTTTTCAATCCCTTTGTATCTTTCATTTGGGTTCATTTATCACCGACCTCTAATTAATTTGAGATAAAGGTATTGTTGATGTTGATGTTAAAATTAGAAATTTAGTCACATTAGAAAAAAAAATTTGGTTAATTTTATTATTGAATTGGTCTATACTCACCATTCTTACGCCGCAATTGAAAATATAAAAAAAAAAAAAATAAATAAATAAACGAGTTGGAGGGAGCGAGAGTATTTTGGAAAACGTCATATGTTGTATCAAAAAATAAATAAAGATAATATGAGTTCAATCTATGAACTATATAAACCTATTGCAAAAAGCCATAAGGTATTCTTTTATTTTATAATTTTTGTAACAAAATAGAATAATTTGTATTAATAAACACTTCAAAACTATAATGACAAATTGGCCAACTACGCTCCTTATATTGACTGTTTGAGTTCGAACCTTAACTCAAGAAAGGACTTGGTTTAAATGGAGACATGTGCTAACCAGATACAACCAAATAAAATGCATAATTTGCAATTTCTCATCTATTAAATTCATTCACCAAAAAAAAAAAAAAAAAAATCAAACAAAGAAACGGGTCCAAGCTAGTTTACCTTATTGATGTCATTTCTGTGTTCAGAGTCTTTTGCTAGTAGCACGTAATTGTTCTAGAAGCGTTAGTGGAAGGCTTATAAACGTTACCAAGACTCAATTGGTTCTAGAAAGAGTAAACTAACACTTGTAAAAACGTTTTAGTTGTACACAATAAACAAAACCAACGCAGAGACCAATAGTTAATGCTAAGTATAATGCCACAACTAAACAAGAAGAATAAATATATTAAAACATTCAAACACAATAAGCCTTGTGCACCATATTTAATGGGCAATCCACTCTTTCTAGAAAGTCTAATATTCCTTTTTTCTTTGGCCATGCAACTCTATTATGATTATTCTTTGCGGAATTGGGAGAATGAAATGCATATATAGTAATCCTAATACAGTTCAGAAAAGAACTAGCAGTTACTTGAGGAACAATCAGATGGAAACACCAAAGATAAAATTATAACATTAAAAAAACCACATCCATCAAAATAGTGAAAAACTCCAAAATGGACATGTATGTATGACCACTTTGCTTGTTTACTTGCTTTCAAGAAGTTTATCAATCATATCAGCAGCTTCTTGAACGGTGGTGATGGTCTGGGCGTTTTCTTCTTCCACACTAATACCAAATTCCTCCTCAAGTCCCATCACAATCTCAACCTGCACAAAATTTGAAAAGCAAGTCTAAATAAACAAGCAAAAGATCGTATAACATAAACCACAGACATTGTGTTCTGATCTTTCCAATACGTAGAACAACATGCAGCATGCCATTTGAGCCATTTCAAACATAAAATTAAAAGTTACAAAGAAAATGGAATCATTTCAAACATGATATAGACTAAAGGGATAAGGCAACCAAGGCAAGAGAAAACTAAGTTGCTTAAACAACCTGAGGCGTTTCATCAAGGACACGACAATAGTAAAAGTAAGAACTAAATAGACAAACTAAGGCGTTTTATAAGGGACACGACAATTGTAGACAGTAGAGTAAGAACTAAAGATAGCTTGTTTCTATATATCACCAAAAGGACGATCTTCATAAATATATGTGGAAACGCATCAAAACATGCCATGATCAAATATGAAGGTCCATCTTCAATACCAATCCATCACCACTTTCTTATTATAAAGAACCTATTATTTCTCCATAGTACAATGAGAGAAAGAGAGAGAACAAAAATTGCAAGTGTAAAGAACCAATTCAACCCAAAAGCTTAAGCTGTTGGGTGAGGCTACATTAATGGTTTTATATATCTCAACACGCCCCCTCACACGAGAGCCCACTAAGCTTGAAGGGTGGACAATGCACAGGCCCAGCTACCTGTGCGAACAAAGAAATTCCACTTGAAAGAAAGTGGGGGGCGGCGAAGATCGAACCCGGTACACCGAGGCTCTGATACCATGTAAAGAACCAATTCAACCCAAAAGCTTAAGCTATTGGGTGAGGCTATATTAATGGTTTTATATATCTCAAAAGCAGGAAAAGTACTAACAAGGGAAAAAGAAAAGTTCACAATAGTTCAAATGACATATAGATGACAAGTGTAGCAAATACTCACAAATTTAGATATTTATTAATCTATGCTTTATAAAAGTGTTGCGATTTTACACCACGACAATAATTCATAGATAAATATGAAAATACCGTGTCAAGAGAATCAGCTCCAAGTGCAGAAAATTTAGACTCTCCAGTAACAGCTGAACCCTCTGGCAGGGCCAATTGTTTCTTGACAATGTCACACACCTTCTTCACTGTCTCTGGTTTGGCCTGCACCAAATAAAACTCCATGCTGATTATATCAACTCAAATATTACAAAATAGTTCAGGCCCCATTTTAACTTCCCGGAATATTTGTTATAGTTTTCTGTAAATATAAGCACGTGATCAAGAATTATGAGCATAAGACATAATTGATAATTCGAATAGAAAATGTAAAGAACCAATTCAACCCAAAAGTTTAAGCTAGTGGGTGAGATTACTTTAATAGTTTTATATATTTCTAACAGAAAAGATATTCTATAATAAATAACAACAAAATTGCAGCTTTTGTCACGAAGATGGTATGGTACAATATCAACTTTCACTAGCAGAAACTAAGGATGAAAGATGAATTATCCCACAATCCAAAAACTCGTTTAAGCATTTCGAATTTTAAATTGAAGATATAGAGATGAAGGAACTGAGTAAATTAAGCAAAATGATCCCATTGCTGTGGCAGATGACATTGAGGCAATGAAAAACATGATGGTTTATGGCTACAAAATCTTACCACACACGAGACTTGAAACCAAGGTCCTCTAGGCTGCAATGTAATGGATGGAAAGTTTCTCCCCTTCATTGAAAGGGAGACTGAATTTGGGGTAGAGAACCTGGCACAAGGGACCTGTTTATACATCCAACAAGAACTGAATGAGTCCGGGCAACACAATATAATTAGAAGCAAAACACAAGACTAATTTTCTTTTCAGTCACAAAGCAAAAAAATAAAGCCAATCATAAAATCACTATGATGCTAGCTAGCATGTACAACTAAAACACACAAGCAATAAAATACTTCATTTATAAGGGTCGATTCAGTTGTTGCAGGACAGCTTGAGAAGATAGTGACAGGAAATGTCCAAAATAATTTTTAAATAAAAAAGAAAAGAAACCCATGAAAACTGCAGAAAACAGGCATAACAAAGCTCAAGCATAAACACCAGATTTTAGCAAAAGAGAGAGCTTCCATGCCATAGGTGTTGATTCTGTAAAGCCTTGGGGTAATTAAGTTAAAAATAAAAATCTTCAGATGAAATAAAGTTAGACTTGCATAAAATCTTATACACTTGTGTAAAAATGAAATAAAAAGGTAGACTCTTTAATGAAAATTAGACTAAGACCCGACCCCATGGAATGTAAATGCAATCATATAACATCAAATCAAGCACTACATTTAACCGATTGATTAAACAGGCTTCTCTTAAAAGATTATTAAAAAGAAAAAGAAAAAAAGAAAAAAGAAAAAGCAGATACATAAAGACATAGAAAATGGACTAAAACAGCATGAGAAAGAGAGAGAAGGTTAGATTATATATACCAGAGCTTGCTTTGAAAGAGAGGTGAGGAACATGGAGGTTCCCGTTACAGAGGCCATTTCTGAGAGAGAGAGAGAGAGATCTGAGATCGAAAGACGGAGGCAACGAAGTGTGTGTGAGTGTGTCAGAATCAGAAATGAGAGAGAGGTATTTATAGTAAAATCCTTAAACACTGTTTATTAATTTTGTTTTTGTGGTTTGTTCGGCTTCGCTTCGTTACTTTCGAGGTTCCGCCGCCCCTGCTACCTTTGTTTGTTTTCCTTCCTATTCCTATTCCTTTCTTTCCATTTCTATTTCTTTCTCCATTGTTTGGCTCAGCTGACAAACATTATCTTCCTCATTTTTACTATTTATTTTTATCATTTATATGTATAATTATAGGAGTTTTTTTTTTCTTTATTTACATTGAGTCCAAAACGATGACGGAAATCAATATATTTTTTTAATTATGATTTACTCCATGATTATAATAGTATTTCTCATTTTAATTTTTAATTTTTTTAACTCAAAATAATGTCGTTATAGGAGTGCATGTAGATAGCCCAATACAATGTCGTTTTAGGTCGAAAATCATGATGTTTTAGTAATTTTAATTTATTTCAAGGTTATTATAGTCTTTATAATTATAACTTTCTAATCTTTCAATTTTAAAACAATGTCATTTTGAAAATAAATACAAATAAGCATTAATTGCAGAAATATCTTATGTATAAAATTATCTTATGTAAGAAATATCAATTCCACAATTATAAGGGGAAATTTTTTCTACGTGACACATAAGGTAGGTGGGCTAACACGGTTCATTTATGATCCAGTCTGTTGTTGTATTAATATACAAAACTAGTTATGCTGAATTTATGTTAGGTTTAAATTAAAAGTGCATATGTGAATTGCTTAAAATTTAGTTTTAAATATAATTTAATATCATGTACTGTTTAATAAATCTTATTTTAAATCTAGTATACTTTTTATAAAATAAGAATTTTTATATGCGGTTTTTAAGTCACGTGTTACCTTTCTATTTATTTTTTTATTTTGAAATTACCTTTTATTTTATAAATTTCTTTCACAATTAAACACGCATCTCAATTCTCATTTTGACATGTATATTGTCAAATTTAAAATTAAAAATAATTCTACAAAAAGTAGTTAAATTTTTAAAAATAATAATAATAATGTTATTTATAATTTTAAAAATTTGGAATGATCAAAAATATATGCAATTAGTGATAAATAATTTCACCATTGGCCCAATTTCCTTGCTGTTTTGAATTATACAAATCGCATAGTAGTTCTTTGAGATTCATTTTACTTTATTTTATTTTTGTCTTTAATTTAGGTCTAATAGATACAGATAAACAAAATTATATATATAATAAATATTGGCAAATGCTGTAAACCATCACAGCAAAGTTTATGACAGCTGTTTTTTTTTTCAGCAACATGTTCGGATAATCTTTTTGTGTTTCTTGTTTCGCCAAAGCTTTCTATGTTCTCAATTTTTGTATTATATCAACAAGTGATTACTCCATATGATTGTTCATGTACAATTTTTATTTGAATGCCAGCGACAAAAGTTTGTTTTTAGAACAATAGATGGATCTAGAAAAATTTTATTCATTACCATATATTGTAAATGATTTAAAGAATGCAATTTATTTAATCCTTGCCCTTCAAACTTTTTTTTTAATATATGTCTAGTAAATTATGATCGATAAATCCTATTACTTCCTCATTTTATTCGATTTTATTAATAACTTTTTAAGGTAAGTTTTTTGTGAATGCTTCTTCAAAATCTAATAAGAACCACAACAACAAATAATAATGTATTCATGGACATCAATATGCACAATACTAGTTTTTGTCCTTTGGCTAAAAACGTTGAATTTGTTCCTTCTGTTTGCGGTTTAATTAAGGAGGGGAGGGGGGGAACCTCAATCCTACCTTGTTTAATCATTTTTAAGGTTCAAATTTATATATGTTTAAAAGATTTAATGACATATCAATGCCTCTATACTATTGTGTTCTTATATCAATCGAGATTTTGTTAAAATTTATATCTTTTATAAGACAATGTAGCTGTGGTCGTGGACGGCAAGACCGTGCACATTTAGCGGAAAATTTATAGTTTGTGGTTGACTTCGATGTCATTCCGCTGTCGTTAGCTACTTTGTCGTTTGCTTTTGCTAATTGCCTAGCGTTTTACATGACTACAAAAACTTTTCTGTTAAGCACACCATTAACGCTTATATGCTCACCTTTTTTTTCTCAAAAAAAGAATGGCACAGAAAGGAGCAGTGGCTATTTTGTCATTGTTCATCAAATTATTTACTAGATTGTCATGTTAATAATAAAAATTTTCAAAATGCCACGCGGCATAATTCGTTATACAGTGTAACAAATTACGTGAACAAGATGTCAGGCTGTATAGTTAGTCACATGACACGTGTCAAGCCAACAGTAATTCGCTACACTGTGTAACGAATTATGCATGAAGATGTGGCACAATTATGTTGGACACATAATTCGAATTATGCATGATCATTGTGCCACATCATCATGTATAATTCGCTACACAGCGTAGCGAATTAGTGCTGGCTTAACATGTGTCCTGTGGCTGACTGTACAGCCTGATATCTTGTCCACGTAATTCGCTACAACGTAATTCGCTACACTGTGTAGCGAATTATGTGGCCAATTGAGACGTGCCACATCAGCAAACATAATTCGCTGCACAGTGTAACGAATTATGATGCGTGGCATTACGAGAATTTTTATTGTTGGCGTTACAGTCTGATAAATAATTTGGTGAACAGTGGCAAAATAGCCACTGTTCCCATAGAAAGCCTAGAAGCATAAAACTTTATGCAAATTATTAATGGAAAAATATTTTCTCATGTTGTAGGAGAGTTATTTTCTCCTACTAGTGACCCTTCGATTTTTGTGCAATATTTTCTTTTGCTTTTTTTATTTTTTTAATAGATATGAGCCCCACATAAGATGTGTCTACAACATGAGAAAATTTTCTCCTATCGCATGTTGGGTAGCTCGCATATTTAACCCCAATATATAGATAAAAGTTTGTATTTAATTTCATGGAGAATGATCTTTTTACAAACTTTTTTTTACAAATTATACTAAGTATAACCGATCATACATTTTTTATTGAAATATGACCGGTCATACTTAATGTAGTTTGTAAACAAAAAGTTTGTAAATATAATCTTCCCCTAATTTCATTATATACATTTTTACTAAAATAAGTAATAAGAGTTAAAAAAAATTGTGTTTATTCTATACCAGCCTTACAACCCAAATATATGGGGTGGCCTTTAGAGGCACACTAAAGGGGTCTCCTTAGGGAGTGTTTGGTTCAAGTTTTTGGAGAGGATTACCGGTAATCCTTCTTTGGTAAATGTAATTACCACGTTTGGTAGAAGGAATAAATTACGATTCCCGGATATCCAAGGATTACCGGTAATTTGATTTATAAAGAAAAGTCACTATTCAGATTACCAAAAATAATATGGTAATTCGGAATACCAATCAGAATACCAAGTAAAGGGAAAACACGACAATAAATTTTGAGACCAAAATACCCCAATACACATACAAATCTAGACCCAATCTATCAATTACAAAAGTAAAAATAGTTTGGGGTTATTTTTGTAAAATAATCTCATATTCCAAGTCATATTTGGTTTTAAACCAAATATGGAATCAATAATTTTTACCCAATATTCCCGGTAATATTTTGGCGAACCAAACACATCTTTCGTAAGATTCCAAGTAAACTCAATTTCTACTGAATTCCCATTAATCATGATTCTCGGTCACCAAAAAATTTCTCCTATACTAAATACACCCTTAAAGTAAAAACTATAGACTTTAGAGAATCTCTTATGCCCTAATACAACTCACCATTATGTATGTTAGTTGTGCGCTACCTCACCATGCCACAACAATGAGGTATTGGGCAAAAATAATTATGACTCATCTCTCTCGGGGAATGCATCATTTAGCATATATGATAAAATGATGAATGAATGAGTGGTGTAGATCATAACTGCACCAAAGCAGATGTTCCACTTTAAAATTACTACTTTGATTCTCCAAATAGACATGTATTATTCATTTGATATGCCATGATTATTAAAAGTTGTGGAAGGTGACCCAATGCCCATCTTAAATCAATTGATAGATATGGTTAATTCAATCTAGAATTTTTTTTTATACTCCCAAAGCACCCAACTTAGTACATCTTCTTTCTATGTAAAGAAAGTTTTATCATATTTCAATCCAAATATTTTTTTGCTATTTCCCGTTGAGTCTTCGCATTTTTTTTTGTGTGGAACCGATGTATATATAACGGATGCATAGAAAATCTAGCCCATATCCTCCCTTGGTTGACCATAACTACTCTTTAAAAAAAACACACATAGGTGCATTTGTGTTGACGTGGATGCACAATATCTCATATAAATTATAGGATTTTATAATTTTCATTCAATATAAGAATTGAAATCTTTTTACACACCCTTTGATTTTCGTGCTGACATAGATCTTATACATAATTTTTTCTAACATATAATTCCACATGTTTTTTTATCTTTATAACATAAAATTTCAATTTTCATGTAATATGAAAATTACAAAACCCCAAATTACATAAGAGGGCTTTAACTATAACAAAACTTTCATCAATATAATAATGGATTTGTAAAGAAAAAGGTTAGGAGTATTCATGGAGTGAATCTTCGGTAATACGGATGTAGGTATATCATTGTCTAAAATAGAAAACAATCAGGACATTCAAGGAAATAAATCAAAAGATAAGGATTTTTTTTTTTTTTGGTAAACAAAAAGATAAGGATTTAAATGATATAAAAAAATATTTGGTTTTGGAAAAAAGATGCACAATAAAAATTTCCGTATTCAGGACCTAGCTGAATCACTATTACAATAACATTCTTAGAACCAGTAAATATTTATTATTTGTGCCAAGGTCCAAGATCTATTATTTATCCAAAGGTTCTATACAAAATAATGTTTCTTTAACACATATAACATGCAAATGTATTTTATTAATAATGGTTATTATATTAGCCTTATAATAGGTTAATACTTTTTTTAGGGTGTTACATAAAGGCTATTTGACCATGTGGGGGCGTTACCATGTGGTTTATATGTTTGGTACACCTTCAAACTCATTTTTCGGTGGAATGTATTTAGTTCAGCGGGTAAACTGACCTTCACAGAACTACTTTTATATATTTTTAATAAAAATTTAATTAGTTCCGCAGAACCACTTGTATAACTCATGCCTTTTTTTTGTTTCTCTTCAAGTTCCACAGAGATCCCTCTGGAACTCACGAATCGTGACATGTGTGCAATCTCAGCCATCCAAAGTTTTTAATTCTTAAAATAATATTAATGAGTTCCTTAAGAGAGATCCACGAAACTCATTAAAAAAATTAAAACTCGAAACTAAACACCTCCCACCGGAAAAATAACTTTAGGGCAATACTAAATAGACAAAATACCATTCCAATATATGAAGTATCAACACTTTAAAAATTCTGACGTGTCGTGTGCGATACTTTTCGACACTCATTGACACTTCGACACTTCTCAACACTTCAATACTCGTTGCAAAGACTCAAAAAAAGTTCAAAGATTACGTTGCATTGCATTTTGAGTTTCAATTATTAGATTCGTTAGGTTACGATTATGATTTTATTGAGTTTAATATAAATATTTAGGATGTATTATGTTTCTTTGCAAAATTGATAGGTATTATAAGTTTAGTTTTATTTTTTATTATTAAAAAATTGAATACTAAATATAATATGCATTATATAAATTAAAATATTATATAATATTAAAACGTGTCCTAACGTGTCGAAATCTAACATTTTTTAGAATTAACGTATCGAAGTATCGTGTTTTGTCGTATCTCATATCCCATATCGATGTGGATGCAAGATAAATTCCAACACCTCTGAATGGTCAAACAGCCGTTATATAAGCCTATCTAATGTAAGACTTAAAACAAGACATGACTTCTATCCATGTGAAACTTCAACCAATCTTTCATCCATTTATTTTCTTTGATGATTTTTGTTATATTTTTTCTAATCAACTAAAAATATGAATAAAAAAAAGTGTTTATAATTTTATTTAATTCTTTTATTTTTAAATAATTGAGAAAAAAAACTAAGTGTTCACGAAATATATTAAAATAACATTATTGATGTAAATAATTAATCAGACTAAGGAAAAAAAAAGCTATGCACAATTCATAGGTAGGTCATTATTCTTGATTTTATGAGACAATTAACCTCATTCTTCACTACTTTTTTTTTTTTATTTACGTGTGATTTTGGTCCTACCATTTTTCAATCATAAAAGGTAAAGGTAAAGATAAAAAGAAAAAGAAAAAAAAGTCAATACTTTTTAAACGTTAAGCTTTTCACATATTTTAGGTGCTTAATTTAAAATCAGCACTACTCTAAAAAATAAGACTTAGATCAAAACGAAGGGAAGGGGAAACTACTAAAATATAGTAAAAAAATTCTAATAAAGCATTTCTTCCGAACTACTCGTTGTATTAATTCTCAGATAAGAAAAAACAAGAGAGTGAAATGGGGCGGTTATATTACCATATTAAATTTATTATTTTTATTATCTAATTGTTTATTATTTGATCAATTTAAAATTAATGATTAAAAAATGATTATTATTGATTTCAAATTAATCAAACTCTACTCAATTAAATAATAAATGTAGTAAATTTAAAATAATAATAAATATAATCTATCTCGAGTAAAATATTTATATTTTTTTGGAATAAAGACATAAGTTTTTTTTATTATTTTATTTGGAAAGACGAGCAATACCCTTTTCTCTTTTGCCAGTGTCATCTTTTACCTTTCGGTGGGTTTGACGTAATAAATTTATTAGAGGTAGCCAGGTAGGGAAATTTATTTATTTATAAATTTATTTGCTCGTCATAGTCTGTTTCTTACTTTTAAACTATATTTCTTAATTATCCATTGCAATTGCATAATATGAAAAGTAATTTAAATTACGCATATGCCTTAAATATCATTTGTTAATAAACTCATATTCAGAATACTTTTTAATTATAAACTTTTTAGTTTATTTGTAATAATTTTTTGGGGTAAAGGTTAAAAGTTAAAAGAGTTATAATTGTAAAAACTGAAATTCAAAATTTGAAAAAAAAATAATAATGGAAATGGTGAGAAGTTGGGCGCGGAGAGAGGAAAAGGTGAAGCCGAGAGCCGTCAGATAGAAGAAGCGTTGATGAGTCACAGTCGAACGTAACCGACGCCACCAAACACCAAACACCAACGCTCCTCCGTTCTTCTTCTTTCTCTCTCTAATTCCCATCCTCTCTCTCTCTCTCTCTCTCTCTCTCTCTCTCTCTCTGAAGATTCTGATCTCTCATGGCGACGGAGCTTCTCCAAATTGAACCCCCTCAACTCACATTTGTCTGTAAGTATTCACTCACTCACTCACTCGCAAATATTTCCGAATAATTCCAATCTCTTCTTTCCTTTTTCAGTTGAATTGAAGAAACAGAGTTCCTGCTTGGTTCATCTTGCTAACAAGGCTACTCACTATGTTGCTTTTAAGGTTCTCTTTTTTGGCTTTTTCATTCCTCATTCTATAATTAAATCATCTTTGTTTGTTTCTTATGTAATGTCATATATATCTTACCTTATGATTCATAATTCAGGTGAAAACGACGTCGCCGAAGAAATATTGCGTTAGGCCAACCATAGGCATCATCAAGCCACAGGGAACATGTGATTTCACTGGTATTATTCTATTGGATCAACACTGTTCTCTCTGTATTCGTATCTTTGTGCTTATTGGAATGTGTTTCTTCGTTTGATGCAGTTACTATGCAGGCTCAGCGCACAGCTCCTCCTGATTTTCACTGTAAAGACAAATTCCTCATTCAAAGCACTGTTATCCCCTTTGGAACAACCGAAGATGCAATCTCTTCTGACCTGGTAGTGGTGACCTTTATCTTATTATTATTATTATTATTTTTATTATTATTATTATTATTATGCCATTCGCATCCTCACTAAAATTACAAAAAAAAAAAAAAAAAAAAAAAATATGAAAGATTAAGATTCATTCCCATTTCACAGTTTGCAAAAGATAGTGGCAAGTATGTTGAGGAGAAGAAACTAAGGGTAGTCCTCATAAGTTCATCCTCTTCCCCTGAAGTATTGCTTCCTGTAAATGGAGATTTGAAGCAGGACCTATCCAATCAAATTCAATTGCAAAAAGATAGTGTGCCAAGTGGAGTTGAAAACATGACTCCCCCTCTTACTCTTAGAGTGAGCATCTCTCTCTCTCTCTCTGCCTAACACACACTATCGTATGTTATTCTATATTATGATATGAGTATTATTGTTAACATCTTTTTGTGAATCAGAAGCATTTTAATTTAGTTCAGCATGGTAGTAGAATGTCGTGTGCCTTTTATTAAAATATAATAACTCTCTCTCTCTCTCTCTCACTCAATCACTCAATCACTCACTCACTCACTCACTCTCTGTCATCATTGTTTTTCCTTTTGACAGGTTTCTGAGGAAAAAAGTTTGGACTCAGCCCAGGATACGGAGGAGGATACAACCGATGAGGATATTGTTTCGAGACTTGCTGAGATTACGGGTGACTTGAAGCAAGGAAATGATGCTGTGCAGTTGAATTTAGCTAAGGATTCCGAGGAATTGAAGTCAAGGCTGAGTATAATGGATTCTAAGCTAAGAGAGGTTAGAGCTTCTCAAATTAGATTATAACTGTTATCTCACAACATTTGTTGCAAGTGCCAAAATATCTGAACTTGGAGTTATACTACTAATTAACTTCATGGGGAATTGGTGGAGATATTGAATTAGAGAAAATTATGTTCTAGATATCTAATATATAATATAACTTGGAATTTTTCTGAATTTAGAAGAAACAAGGCTGAGATAAGACCGTGTTAAAAAGGGGAGTTCATGCTAACTGTAACAGCTCCACTATGATTTTTGATTCACAAAGATGTTATCTCGGCATAGGGTTAAAGTAGCAGTGTAAATGAGTGGAGCCATGTCCACTACTTGAAACTCAGGTTTGGCTTGCAAAAAAGATGGTGCTCAAGCTTCTCATTTATGTAAATGAGCCAAATTTAAAGCTTGAGTTTGGATTGCCCTTTATCAAATATATTCTTGAAATATTCTCAAGTTTATTAATTTAGTATTTGGTAGAATTTTCATCTTCGAAGATAAAGTAAAAATAGGAAGTAAAAGAGTATAAAAAACATAAGACAAAGAAGTTATGTAATTATAATTCTCTAGATACAAGTAAAATTTACTAAATGATAGAAATTTATAGATTATTATTATCTATACCCTTCTGTTATCTAAAATTAATATTGTTTGGTCATTACACACACTTAAACAAATTATTCGCGAGCCTTTGGTGTCAGGGTTTATAAAACTGAAACTTAACTCGTTTATATAATCGAGCCTAAAGCCAAATTTGAACTTGTTTGTTTAGTACAATAAACGAAATTGGTCGAGCATTTGACGAGCAAGAGCTCAAATAGTGTGTAATTAGTTCCGCTCATTAACACCCACCGTTCAATTTCTTGAACCAGTTCCTTAGGTTGAGTTTGACATTTTTAATATTTTTCTACCTTCAAAGGTGGAAGCAATCAACAATTAGTTACCATCTTTGCAGGCTGAAGGAAGCATCATGAAGCTGAATGAAGAGAGGCGCAGGAACACTAAAGAAAAAGATTTGCTAAAGCAAGAGTTGGTATGTAATTTTTTTTAGTCAATCTTCCTTCGTTATAAAATCTATAAACTTCATGAATTCCATTTTTCACATTCAGTATCCCCTTTTGCATACAGAATGGAAACAATTGAGACAATACAGATGAGCATAGTAAAAGGGAGAGAATAAAATATCCATAGATTGGTGGTAGTCTTTTTTCATTCATCTCACACCGTTTTTACTTGCCATGTTTGAAGATAGACTAAAAGGTGAGTGGCTTATGTTGTAGCATCAATACAAAGGGCTTAAGCTATCATGTGAAGATGCGATAGCTTCTAACTTACGAATCATCTCCAGAACTCTTAACACATTTTCTTGCTAGCAACTGCAATAGAAATATGTGGCATAATAAACTTGTTAGGGGCTGTGATATGTTTCTCATATAAGCAAATTATCAGTCCCTTTCAATGAACAAAAGATTCACATTTTTCTTTCTTCTTAAATTTTTTAATTGCGGAGTACTTCTTGTTCAAATAATCATATCAGTTATCTATCTAGTTGATGGTATTATAATTCTGATAGGCGGTGCAAATTAACCAGAAGTGGATGTTTCTGTTGAATGTTTCATCACTCCATTGCATGAAGGCAAACTATGTTTGAAGTTATTATTCATATTTTAGTTGCTGAAAAATTTCAATATTTGATACCCATTTTTTCATTTTCTTTATTAGGAGGTGTTGAAGAGGAAAATCAATATGAAAAGAGCTCAGACGGGCTTTCCGTTACTGTTTGTTTGCGTGGTTGCCCTTGTAAGTGTGGTAGTCGGGTATTATATTCATCCATAAGGAGGAAAAATGTGTGTATTATAGCAGACGTTCTAAAATCATGGGGCTCTCCTTCGTGAATTTTGTAATGGTTATACTGGACAAAGGTTAATATGTGTCGTGTGGAATGGTATGGGAACCTTTCTTAAATGCATGTAAAGTGAACTACGCCTCTCAAGAGCATCATAATATGGGGTCACCTGATATATGGAGCCAAAATTATAGGCCTTTAAATTGACTAGAAACATTTACCTTAAAATCATACAAAATCAGAGAGCACAGGGAGACGATATTCCAAACATGTTTGTGTATTATTTTGAAGTATCCATCAGAAACGTATATTTGAACAGGAAAAAAGTTATTTTATCTATTATTTTTTTTTTAATATCTTACTTATTCATCTTCAATATCATTGGATTATAATATAAAAAAGAGAAAGAAACAGTGAGATTCTGATTCAATAGTATTGAAGATAAATAGATAAGGTAGGTAAAAAAAAAAAATAGGCAGAATATCTTATATTATGGTAAACTAGAAGGAATGATTCCATCAAAAACTCAATTTGACTTTGCGTATATCAATCAACATCAAGGTTCTAAACATGAATATTAATTTATAAGTTGATATCCTAACTCCCAAACTAATACCATTATAACAACTTGAACTCAGGTTCAGATACGAGTCATATGACAACCACAAGACACAATCTATAGGGCCTACCATGTTAATTCAGCACTACCCACGCCGCGGAAATTGATTTTCTAAATAATTTGGATGTATTTTTCTCTTTATGAATATTAATAAATTTTAATGGGAACCTCAACTATTTAATGTCTACGAAAAGAAAAATAAAGATAAAATTTTGGATAAAGATCCGTTTACAAAATTTTTTTTACAATTTTTTTGCAAATTACACTATGTACTTTCAGGAGAATATAGTGCAACCTAGTGTCCCGAAAGAACATAGTATATTTATAAACAAAAAGTTTATAAATATAACCCTCCCTGAAATTTTCATATAGAATTTCATATTAAGTGAGGATCCATTCCTATTTACCTTTACCTACAACCTTTAAAAATGGACCACTACGGCTAGGTTCCCCTGGAGTGCATTTTAATCGTGAAACGGAACAAGACGAGTTTGAAAATTTAACAAAGATCAAAATAGTGTCATGTGAAGAATATGACATTTATTGTGAAACGTGATTTTGTTTTTTGGTTGAGCCGAAGATGTACGTCTTTTTTTTATTTAATTTAAGAAATTAAAAAAAAATAAAAACAATATGAATTTCTGAATAAAAATATTAATAAATAATCAATAGTTTAGTTTTAATAAAAATGGCCGAGAATCACCACTAATAATTTAAAATGAATTAATAGAAAAACTTATTGTAACAATAAACGAAATTCAAACTTCAAAGATTAATTAAGAAAAGTAAAAATTAAAAATAATTTTTCCATGTAAACTTGGCCGTTCATGTAGATGTAGGGAAGTTGAATTGAAGAAGACCTGGCATTGGCCAATGGCCAAATCATCAAAACAAATAATAATAATAATAATAAAATAAGGGAGAGGTTATAGTTACAACTTTTTTTTTACAACCTCATATCATAACCGTTGATTTCCGCCAATCAACGGTTATGATTTTCACAAATTAAACTCATTAATTAATTATCAATTCATAATAAATGACAACCGTTGATTGGCGGAAATCAACCGTTATGATATATGGTTGTAAGAGGTTGTAAAAAAAAAGATTGTAACTATAACCTCTCCCTAATAATAATAATGAAAAATGTTTGTCATTTTAAAAGACATAAGGTTATGGCATTTTAACAGAGAGACAAACACATAATTTTTTTTATTTAAATTTTAAATTTAAAAAAATCACTCACTTTCTCTCTCCCATGATTTCTGTTTTTCTGTCTCTTTCTTAAGATGACATAACTTATGTCATTTAAAATTAGGGGTGTTCACGGTCTGGATTGGATCTTTTGGAAGCAAAACTCATCCGATCCAATCCCTTCGGTTTGATCATGTAACCATCTATTCGGTTTAAATTTTTTTCAAATCCGATCCGATCCAATCCAATTTTTTTCGGTTTGGATTGGATCGATTTTCGATTTTTTGAATATCCTAAAATTAGTTTCATGATTATTGTGCAAATAACATCTTTTATATAATTGGCTCTGTAAAAAAAAAATTAAATACAAAAATATTAGTAAACAATACTATAGTTGATGAGACGTGACTAAGTTTTTTTTTTGAGTTTAGTTGATGAGTTAATGAGTCTTGAGTTTAGAAATTTTTGGTCTATAATTGGAGAAAAGACAAGTAGGTAGAGGATAATTAATATATTCGATCGGTTTAGATTGGATCGGTATGAAAACCGATCCAATCCAATTAAAATTTTGGGTTTTCAGTTTATTCGGTTTTCGCGGTTTGAATCGCTTATGAACACCCTAATTTAAAATGACAAACACCAAACCCTAATAATAATAATAAAATAATTTATGGTACAGTGTGGCGCAGAGCACGGTACGGTGATGCTTGTAATGTATACCCACGGCTAAACTCGCTTCCGCGAAGCTTTTCCTATTTTTGCCTTCTCCCTCTTCTCCCCATCGGAGAAGAGAGAGAAAAACCATTTTCTCCCATTCAACCAATATTAGAAAAAAATAAAAAAACAAGGTAAATCCTCTTCTCTTCTTCTTCTTCTCTGTGTTCTAGGGTTTTCTCTTCCGCCATTGCTGATCTCACCCGAAGCTCCAACGCGCTCTTCTCTACAGGCATTGCTCTCAAATCATCTCTATTCCCCAATTCCCTTATTTCTCCCTCCTTTTTTTAGGGTTCTCAAAGCTCTCTCGCTGAACCCGTTTTTTCGCAGTTCGAGGTAATGTTCTTCCGTTTTTACGATCCCTCTCGATTTCCGTTTTTTTTACTTCGCGAATGTTTGTTCTCTGTGTGCTCAGGCTTCCTTCATTGGTATCTCTCGCGTTCCGTATTCCGCATTCGTATCGGTGTTACTCCCGATTTGTTTACTACTTTTATACTAAAATTGATAACTCTATGCATGATCATCGCTGTTGCTGAAACTGATGTGATGTTTGTGGCGTGCAGATATACTATTTTTTTTTCCTCTCAATTGTATGTTCCCCTGGAAGTGGGAGAATGCAAGTCATGGCTAGGCTTCTGGCTGCTGCAAGATTTTCTCAAACCATAGCAGGTAGCACGAGACCGCTACCTCTTAGATTTTATTAGTCATGTTGCCTGACATTGTTTGGTGGAGTTATATTATTATATATGCTTGGCAAAAAGTATTACTGTTCCTTTTGTTTTTAATTTATGGATATTAATTTTCAATTTCTGGTTGACATCTTTTGTTCGTGCATGGCCTTGGAAGATGACTTTGCCCGTCAGAGGTATGCTGCTGATTATATTTGTAGAGAACTACGTGAGGCAGATGAAGCAAATTTGCTTCCTGAAAAAGGTTGTCTTAATTTTTCATTTTTTTATTTATTTTTGCTGTGTGAATCAACCTTTCTAATTTGGTGATATAGTTTTTGCTTGACTTAATTTGATAGCAGGGTCAAGGTGATGACTGTCATATATTGAAAATGAATAAATGTCTTTTTCTGTTTTTTTGGTGTGTGGCGGGATTAGAGCTTTGTCAATGTGAAACTTCCACCAATTATGGTTATACTAGCATGTGTAGTTTTCATGATTTTGCTATTCTGCATTTTTGCTTGAATTTCATGCATGTAATTCTTAATTTGTTTTCCTTTTTCAGTCTTCATTTTTTTTTTTTTGGGTACAGTCTTCATCATTTTTTTATTTGGGGATTTTTAACTGCTGCTTGATGTGCAAGAGTAAGGCCGCGTACAATCGACTCTCACCCTTACCCTCGCAAGTTGAGGAGCCTTGCACTAGGGTTTAATTTTTTAAACTGCTGCTTAACGTTTTTTATGTCACAGATATGCATGTCTATGGGGAGAGGCCCATGACTGATCCCTTGCAGCTGGTAAGTTTTGACTCTTTTTTTCTTTTTTTTAAAGAAAAGTCTTTTTTTTCTGTGCTGGTGGATTAGTATTTGTTTGCTTTTTCCCAAGTGCCTTTCTTGAACCTTTCATGTGGCTTCCTTATTGGAGTTGAGGATTTATTGGAATTCAATGGATCCACCATTATGTTACTGCCACTGGGTATTGCAGAGTAATAATTATAGCCCATTATTGCTTCCTTATGTGTAATACCACCTTAATTTGCACATAGTCAGTTTAGTCTTTAATCTATTAATTTCTGTCATTTGGTTTTGTTTTAAAATTCTATTGATCACTATATTACCCTCACTCCCATTTATATATGATATTTGCAGCAAGTAATATGATTATCAAGAATCAACTGTTTTTTTCAATCTGTGATGTACGAATTGAGGCAGAGTACTTACCGTAGTCAATTGAGGAGTATAGTTTGGGTTATGACTCTGGCTTTGCGTCTGTAATAAACTCTTCAAAATCTTCTTACTACTCGAGCTTATAGCCTTATGCAACTAAAGCAATCCTTGATTTAAGTCTTTAATTGCTTGCTCTAGTTTAAGATGTCAAGTGGTCCTTATAGGCTGTAGTCTCTGATCTTTTGCTTGATTTTTATTTTTAGGAGTTTCTCTAATATGCCAATCCCACCTGTAAAGTTGAGTTATTGTTTGTGCATGTATTATTATTTTTTTGTCAACAAAGATTTTTTAATTTGACCTTGTTACATTTTACAAGGATGGATATTCATCACAATAGCACAATAGCTTGTTCAACAGTTTCTTGGAAACAGTTTCTGCTTATTATATCAACTTTCTAGATTGTGGAATTGATTTAGCTATTGTAAATATGTTCATCTGCAGGCATTATCTGCTTGAAAAATATGATCTGTATCAATTATTTAACTGATAATTTGGTATCCTTTTTGAGGTACGCTGCAACAATTGCAAGAAACCAATCAAGGACAGCCAATTTGCTTCTCATGCAGGTGTGGTGGACCCTTTTCCATTTGTTTTTAAACTTTTTGGTCCTTCTTCATGTGATATCTGAGGTTTGACAATCAGTTACCATGTGGCTTTGTATGCTCATGATATTATCCTGTTAATTTCCAAATTATTGAGTTAACCTGCATATGATGCTTGCTGTTTTATTTAAGCTATTTTTTTTTTTGTCATCTTTTGTTTCAAAAGATAGTAATATTGAATTTTCCTCATTTTTCCTCTCCCTCTTCCCCCATTTTGTCAGAACTTTGTAGGTCATTAAAGCTCACAGAACAAACTAGCTTGGAGCTTGATGGCAGCACAGGGAATCGAAAACCTCCAAGGAAAGAAAAGAAAAAGTCATCAACTTCTTGTGCAAGTATCCTGAAAATAAGAATTAACCGGTGGCAAATACTGTTTGGATACTATGTTCGCTCTGTCAGATTTTTTGCCTACCTAGTGTAGTTTTAGTATTTACTGCTTTAATCCTCTGCTGATTACCTTTGGAGATACTATATAATAATCACATCTTTTTAAAGTTGTATTTGGATTTCTTTAGTGTGATTTCCACTTTAAAGGGAGTCCTGTGGTTTTACTGAATGCATTCTAATGATAGGTTGTCATAAAGTTATTTTTTGTGCCTTGTAACCCCTTATAGACCAAGCTACTGCAGTTGGGGAGCGGAGAAGGTCTGAGTCTATGGATAATATTCACACTGTTGTGTCACAATCCCAATTGAACAGTCAAATCTGCGTGAATCCCTTTTCCAATGAGGTAAAAGGTAAAAGCCCAATTTTTTGTCTGTTGGCACTTTCTGATATTGTGCAATTGTCAGATGGAAGTTGACATATGTCTTTCTTATGCCCTCACTTTTAACCATGATTGCTATTTATAGTAAGTTTTGCTAAGTTTAAATCAATTCGCCAATTATTTGTTGGACAAATAAGGGCATCTTGGTGTTTGTCCCATTATTTAGTTAATTGATGTTATATCTGTAACTTCTTGTGTTGGCTTTCACTTTGACCCTCCCCAACAGCCCAATAATGTTACTGTGCGCTTACGATGATTTTTATGGAACTAAAAATTAGCTTTTCCTTAATTATTATATCTGTGTGCTGCTGGAAAATTATGTTATGCCCTTGTTTTGTATAGTAAATTTTCTTTGGTTTTCAGATTTGATTAAAACCTCTTGTTATATCGGTGAACATATATTTATTTATTTATTTATTTTTACAAATATTTAATACAACATTGATAGTTTAGACATTTAATTTCTTATGTTTAGGTAAGATGGGCTTTATCCCTTTTTACCTATTTTCTTGGTACTATGGTTGGGCGTATTTCACAAATTTGTTGTCTGGGAGTAGGATTTTACTTTCTGCAGTGTCGGTAATGCCATAATATTGATATGTTAATCAATATGAAAAATTGCTTTGTTGTAGTTACAATTTTCATAGGACACTCAACTTGTGTAGGTGCAGCATCTATGATGGAAGGCACCAGAATTAATCCTGGAAATGGAGATCACCCAGCTTCCATAATGCATCCTCCTGCAAAACGTCATAAATTGTATGCTTTCTTAGTTCACCAGACGTACATACATGCATATACATAGTATGATATTTTGATATCATTGTCAATTTGTCATTGATCTTGTGGCCGCAAAACATTATGTTGTTTGGAGGATTCTCTTGTGGTTTTGGGTGCCTTTGGTAGCAGAAAATGATCATAATTAATAGAAAATGAATTTGAGCTCCTCATTTCTCGTTGTAAATCTCCACTCCTCTCCCTTCCCTTAAAATTATTATATTATATTATTAAATAGAAAAACTATTTGCAAAGCTAGCAAGGGATTTTTTAATCAATAATAAAGTATATAGATTGAGCTCAGAGTGAATGCTTGTCATTTGAGCTGTATCCCTCCTCTTTACTGAAACAGGATAAACTAGAATTAGTATAACTTGCCCTGATTGTCATATTAATCATGATTACGAACTAGAAGATCCTATCAATGAAGTTAATTTACATATTTGTTTAAAATTTATGTTTGAAATTTAAAATTTCTTCTCATTTCTTATTGTGGCTTTTAAGCACCCCTCTTGAATTTGTTCCCAATGTATTGTCTATTGCAGGACAGCAAGCACACATCTACCTATACTAGAAAGCCATGGAACAGAATCTGGAGTGACAAAAACTGCGAGTTTTACTGATGGAATTACTCGTAAGTTTGCAATTACTTGTGCTGAAGTCATTCGTTTTTACAGGACTTACCAGTATGAGTTTTTTCTTGTAGATTTGGGCTAATGAATTATATTTTAAATACAAATGCTGTACTTGATGTACGAACACAATTATCAATTTTGTTTCAATCACTTAAACAATCCTTGTTTCAGTTTTGACTACAATATTTCATTATTTCAATTCCTTTAAAATTTTGTTACTTGTAGAAACAAGAAAAAACATATGAAGCATGAACTCACTGATGAATGACATGACATTTGAATTGTGCCTCAGTAAAATTCAAGTTATCATTAGACACACTAGAACATAGGCATTTATATTTTGAGAACATGGTGGTGTGCAAGCATAGACACATTTAATGCTAGATCATTAATCCCTATTCAAAATTAAGAGGTAACATCAAAGTTAAAATATCCTTTCAAAAAATTTGCAATTAGATATTTGAAATAATCAAATCAAGTTGCTCTGCAATCATAAATTTAAGATTGTATACAAACGCTGTTCATCTTCATGCATGCCCACAGTTAAAAATCTCTAATAAATGTATTTATCAAATATGTAATTTGTGCTCAAATGTAAAAGTTCATTTCATACTTTTAAAATTCTTTGTATCTGGACACTGAAGGATATCTAATTTTTTATTGAGAAACTACCTGGTAATTGTTTCATAATTTTCTTCCAAATACAGTCAAAAGGCTTCCTTTGTTGGCTGTCCATAGTAAATGAATTATAGTCTTCCAGAGCTTTTTTATACTGTTATATTTTTTTATGTGAAAAATAGTGGAATTGATCTTGTTTACTGTTTTTTTTTTTTTTTTTTTTTTTTTTTGCAATTGTGTTCTAGTTGACTTTTATTTGTAGGTAGGCATAGTGCACACTTTATTTCTGTAACTTTTGAGTGTGGCATTAATGACAATTCTACTATTGCTTTTACTGTATTATGCTGTTATATCTTTGGGGGTTTGGGCCTTGCCATGGTAAGAATAATCTATTTTTTTCTTAAATTCATTCAGGCAAGGATTCGCTTGAAAGAACTGTTTCAGAACATGGAGACCTTAACCATAAAAACCTTGGGCTGGTCCGAGTGCAGCATGGACATGTTATGAAGAATGGTATAAAAAATAAATATATAGTTTCAGTTTAACAAGTCATTAACCTTTTTGCAACTGTTGTGGAATGGAAGCCCATTCCTCAAATATTTATTTCATTAAATTCTTCAGGTTTTAGTGCTTCTAATATGACTTCTCTGTTTCTCTCTGGTGTTGGTACAAAACTTGTGTGTGTGTGTGTGTGTGTTTTTTTTTAGATTTTCCTGCACCCCTTGCTACGAAGATTTATTATTCACAAAGGACAAATCGACTGCGTGCCGCAATTCGTCATCTTTACTTCCAGGACTTAAATGAGGAATTGTGCACTAATGTTACGAGTCCAAAGGCATCACAAAGAGAGATGGTTGCATTCCAGGATTCATGTCAGAAGGACCCTTCATTTGATCAAATGGACAACATGCTCAACAAGGAGGTATGTAAAATCTTCACTCTTCTTAGTTAAGGCTGATTAATTTTATTATAGGTTTTGAGTCTTGCGACCTAAGTTATGTTGCTGGGATGTAATTCAATGTTAGATATATGCACCAGACATACACATAATTTAATATTTTGTATGTTGTTGACTTTAGGTCATTTTTTTTAATCTTTTGGTCATTAAAAACGGAGAAGGACGAAAATAATCAGAAATTAAGATCTACACTCTACTGGCAGGCTATAACTTTCTGTCTGAATGCTAAAGACTGATGTCCCTCCCGTCTCCTCACTCCCCGCGCTATCCCACAAACAAAGAAGCTAAATTCCATGCTAAAGACTCTGATTATTTGTTTTTGTTTATTTGAAAAACAGAGCCCCTCGCCAACTTTGTGCTCAGCTCAAAAATCTGATCATGTTCTTTCAAAAAGTTCAGAAGTTTGCGTGCTTAAAGCAGGAGGACTGCCAAGTGGTGGCTTGTCAAATCAGTTTCTTCTTGATAATGTTTCAAGGTCTGCAGCTACTCAAGTTGGTTTGACAAGAAGCAACTTTCTTCCGAAGTCTTATTCTTTTGCAAGCAACACTGGTAATTTGTAATTAAGCTGTCTTTTTGGTTATTTTATTAAAAGAAGCTGCCGGTGCCAATTATATAGCATATGCTAAATCAAGAAAATTAAGTAATCATCAAGAGTGTCTCGGACTATATGACTGCTAGTGGATTCACAGCATTTTGGTGCTAACTGTTATGATATGAGTAGCTTTGAAGGGCAAACTTTGACAAGAAACAGAAATGTTGCAGTAATACCTTCATTGCATTTAGATAAATCATAGCATGTTTTTACTTGTCATACTTTTGCTTTTTCTTTTTTATTTTATTTTCAATTTAGACTATTATGATTATGGGAATAAGTTGTCCATAAGAGTGATGTGTTTTGTTTTGTAGGAAATCCACTGGGAACAATGCAGCAACCAAACGGGAGTGTTCCTGTTATTTAGTAACCTTGGTGGGATTTTTTTGGCTAGTTGAAAGTACAGGTAACCAATACATGAGGTTAGGATTTAGCTCCTTTTTTGAAGCTGATAAAGTAAATTACTCAAATTGTTTATCCTGTCATCTGCTTTGTAAATGAAAACTCACTTCTGTTATATAATGGATGGAAATGAAGAAATTGTCAATTCTATGAATGTCACACTTTTGTGGCTAGCTCCTGTAAGGCAGGGTTCTTTCTCTTCTCTGTTAGTTTTCTAAACTTAAATAACAAATTGGACTTTTCAATAAAATAGTTAAACCCCTTAATACTTAACGAATGCATCCACAGGCCCCTTGCATACCGAATTTCAATCATTCATGATATTACGAGGTTTCTGAATATAATATATTTGTAATTGGACATGAAAATTTTACAATGTTATCTGCTGTTAAAAAATGGAGAGTTTTGAGGTCGGTCATCGTTATTATGATCAGTTGTTGATAGACTAAAACTTTTATGATTCATTCTGGTGAGTCGGTATGTCCTGTTTTTTGAGAAAGCATTTTGAGATCATCTGCTTTATGTGATGTATCCAGGATCACAGAATTGCTAAATTTGTAAGTTCTAATACAATTGCCAAGCAGGGTATCGTTTTATTTTTATTTTATTTTTTTTGGTTTGTTGAAGAGTACAAGTCCATTTCTTGTATGGTCAGGGCGGGGTAAGGATAATCGATTGACGTTTGTAAGTGAAGATTGTCCATATCAAAGTTAATGGCTTGTATTTCGGTATTTCCTGTTCAAATTGAACTCCTATCCTTCTGTTCGTTTGGCAGGACTCTTCCAATAGTTAATTATTCGTGTTTGTTTTGGACTAGCAAAGAACCGACACGTTGTTGCGAGTTACATTACTTATAAGAAATTGAGAATAAGATATGTACATTTAAATATTTTTCAGTCCTGCATATTTGGATTAATATACTTGAAGTAATCTATAAAAGGGTTAAATTGTCCAAAACGGGGCCCACATGTTAGTCGCGCAGAGAGCCCTTTAGGAACAGTAACTCACAATTCGTTTTATTTTCTTTTAGAGAGTATAGTAAATAGATTAGGGTGTTTGGTAGAGGAGAATTTTTTTTTATTCGGAAATCTTAATTTTTAAAAATATGATTTTTACATTCAGTTTACGATAATATCTTAAAATTAAAAATTTAGAAAAATTTAGTTTTTCAAGAATTTTCAAAAATTCCACGTACTAAACGGGCCTTAAGATTAATAACGCGTTGATCTTTTGTGCAATTTTATGCTTGATGTGAACAATGAAGCATATTCATATATATTTGCTTTCACCACATTCTCGTTTCCTAATGAAGGTTCGATGGAAGTGGAGAATTGGTGCTCCAATTCAATGAGGAATCAAGTATTTCTTTAAAGCCTTTTGTTTTTAGTTTTTTTTTTGGTCCTCTTTGGTAAGGTATCAATAGCAATTATAATCTGTAAGTGACCTTGAAGTTGGGTGTGATGGCAATAGAAATGGACTAGTTTTTGTCTCGTATGGGGGAATTTGTTGATAGTCGATCCATATCTTTTAAGGTACTATGAGGGAGATAACTTTTTTCATGCTCTTTTACTTCAATTTTTGTAATTTTTTTTTTAATGATGGAATCCATCTATTTTTTTCTATCACATGATAGTAATCTCCTGTGAAACTACGAAAGGAGAGTAGTATTTTTCATCTTTTAGTGTCTAAAAGCGGTTTTTCCTTTTATGCCGCCAGGAATAAAATTATATCAAATATCAATAGATGAGTGGTATGAGATGGCGTCATACTATGTGCTGGCACAGACTGAGAGTGAATGATTTGTTTGAAAAATAAAAAAATTCATATTCAGCACACGATAATGACATTACTCCTTAATGGAATGTCACATTAGTCTCTCCTTCACTAGCGTCGCTAAAGGTGGTACACAGGCGATGCGTCACCCGGTTTCACTTCCTGAAAAATATCTGTGATGCATCGGATCATTCCTCTTTTTTTATATTTGGATTTTTTTTTGCTATTTTTGAAAAGGAAAAGAATTCGTCACATTAAAAAAAAGATATATCCAGTCAAATATATTTAATGTACCAAAGTTTTGTTCCACTTCATGCTGGTTTTGTGCCAATCACCGTTTTATCTACTTCCTTTTTTTTTCTCTTCAATATATAGATTTTCGTTAGATGAAGTTGCTCCTCTATCTAAAAGCCCATAAATGCATCAGCTTATAATATGGTTGTTTTTCTTTTCTTTTCTTTTATATTTGCCGAACTTGTTCTAAACTATTGTCCCCTACTATCCTCATGTGGTCCTTCCTTTTTGTCATGTTCTGAGTCATGATTGCCCTTGTTTAAGCTTATCTGTAATTCTATCAACAGATTATGCTACTATGTACAATACTATAAATTCCTGGATAAACTGGTCAATGGCATACATCAAAAAATGTATATTAAATTTGGGGGGCAAATTGAGTCTTCTAACATCTAACTTCTAAGGTGTTAACCTCCACGTTCCTTTGGAATTTATCTTGAGCTTCTACAAAGGATAAATAAATAATATTGCGTCATCACTTCGCTGAGCAACGAAAAAGCTTCAAGAATTCATGATAACAACATAATTGTCTGAATGTCACCTGGTCCTTATCTCAGCCATTGGGTTAGATAGTTTCTATTGTTAATAATTTCAGTCGGCACTTTTGTACTTTAAAAGTTTTAGGAACTGTCTTTATTCTCTGTGTATGTTATCAAGTAATGAAATAAGATTAAAAATATCAAAATTTTAAACAAAAGTTTTTCTATCGAGATGTAGTTGTTTTCTAGTTTTTATTTCAATTAGGTAGGCGAAAGAAAGCGATTGCTCATAGTAAATTACATGTATGTCACGGGTTATTATATAGCTTACACAATTAAAGAATAAATATAACTTGTATGTCTGTATCTTCTTAAGATGACAACTAATTTGTTGTGAACTTACGCTATTTTAATTAAGTGATTTCAAATTCTCAATCAAATTTTTATTATACTGAAACTTACCAAAATACATTTTAAATGTTGGCAAAAAAAAAAAAAATCTTAAAACTTATATAATACGAAATCTGATTATACTATTTTGTCAAAATTTTCTGGGAAGGTTGGAGAACATGTTGCTTCATTTATTATTATCATTATTGTTATAAATATTTTAACAAATAAGTTATTTTTTTTTTTTGATGAAGACAAATAAGTTAATTTTAAAACATAGTGGAGTTGAAGTATTAATTTAAGGGGTTTGCATTTATCATTTAACATGACACAACAAAGTTTCCTACACACACAACATTTTGTGGGGTCTACATTTTTTGGAAAAAAAAAAAAAAAATTACGGCACGCAAAATGAATCTATATAACATTACACAATCACTTTTCCTACAACATAACCCTTATAAAACCCATAATTTAATGTCTACAATGTAGCAATCCATCCTTGAGACGTTCAAGAATCCTCGTTATTTTTAATTTCAACTATTAGTTTTAATATTTGTTTATCTTTTAATTAAAGTGTATTATAGCAAATTATATGATAAATAGTGATGAATAATAATGAGATAGACAACGAGAAGAATTTTAAAATAATCCCTCTCTGTTTTCCTTAGAAGCAAGTTTTTTAAGAACTAAAATTTGTATTCAATATAAATATAATTTTATCTTTCTTTGTAATCGACTCTCAAGCTAAGTAGTTACTTTTTGGAATGAGAAATTTAAATATGGTTTCTTATAAATTATTTAAAACTTTTACTACTAATTCACTAGTAATGGCAATTTTTTTTACAAGCAAATGCGACGTGATGATTTTGCTAGTATTATTTATTTATTTGGAAAAAGATGAAAAAAACTGGCATAACATGTTGTTTGGTGGTACTAGCCTAATTTGAAGAGAAGTGTTAATGAGAAGTTGCTCTCTTGTTGATGGAAATAGAAAAAAATCCCAAACCTAATTATAGAGGCAACGGAATGATTGAAATGAATAACAATTTGGAGCATGTAAAAAGCAAAATTGGGTAGCAAATTAATCGAAGTGGTTGATAGATGGGGCCTAACAATGCACTGAAAGCCATTGTTTTTGCGTATAGATATTAGTATGGTGGGGTTAGCATGACCTCTACCTAATGCTAAGTTGTGGTAGGAAGCCTAAGAATAGTGCCACTAAACTTTCCACCCCATTTGGACAAGGACACCATGTTTATATTTAGTTTCTTCTTCTGCACTATTTTTTGATCAAATCCTCAATAATGCTATCACTGACATTAAGCTTTAAAATTAAGGCCATTGGTTTTGATTATACTCTAACCAATCGTTTACAAGTCTAATGTTTATACGAGGGAAAAAAAATCTCCCCAAAATTTGAATGTTACAATGATGACTACTTAATGAGTGATTCGTCATACATATGTATGACATATTGGTCATGATAAATTAACTATTACCAAACTTAAAAAAGGGATAAATATTTGGTGATTAGGAATTCAAGTTAAGTATTACTTGAACTTAGTTTCAAGAAACTAAAAATAGAATAATATTCAAACTTGAGTTGGTGAAAATTTTAAAGGTTTAAGTTGTATTTAAGCTATAAAAAAAAAACTTTTTTTATTATTATATTTTGTTGCTGAGAACAAAGAATCGTGCTCCATAGTATTTGAATAAAGTAAACAATGTTGATTACCAAAAAAAAAAAAAAAAAGTAAACAATGTTGTTCAGTTTTGGTAAATATTAACGTGTATTAGTTGTGGAATCGAATTAATGATACTTGATTGCGGTGATGCTATTGTTTAATACGGGTTCAGTGTTAAAGATATGATATTATACAATAAAATACGCCTATTAGGCTATTAGCTACTACATATTGATAGTGATTCAATTAGCTATTAATATGAATATCAAACTGAATCTTCAATTTTCTGAAGCTACACTTGGGTTATTTCATCATATCACTCGAGCGTTTCCCAAAATAAAAACTTTAAAAAGGGCACATTGTACAAAATGTTAAAAATCTATATGTGTTGGGTTGCTTGTAAACGAAGGTTATCGATTTAGTAACACACGCACACAAAAAAAAGTTATTGATTTGTGTAAAGAACCTTGAGATACACCACCCCAAAAGCTAGCTCAAAGGGTGAGAGTGCTCAAAGCCTTATAAAGGCCACATTAATTGCACATCTAACCAATGTGGGATTATATATCTCAACACGCCCCCTCACGCAAGAGCCCTTTAGGCTAGAAGGGTGGAAATTGCACAGACCCATTTTTGGTTTACCTTTTTGTGTTTATTTTATTTTATTTTAATTCCACTTTTTAAAGTGGGGGACGGTGAGGCTCTGATACCATGTAAAGAACCTTAGGATACATCATTCCAAAAACTAGCTCAAAGGATGGGAGTGCCCAAAGACCTTATAAAAGCCACATTAATTGCACATCTAACTAATGTGACACTATATATCTCAAGAATTTGTTTGTTTGTTTGTCGAATGTGACCAGTTTTGAGTGTGAAAGATTCTACCTCGAATTGATTAATCGATAACTGTAAAAAGGAAAAAAAAAAAGAGCTACCCCTAAATTACAAACCTCATTTGATAATGTTCTAGAGTTGCTGTAGTTAACCACTAAAATTTAAACAGCTAACATAAAATTGTCTGAAGCTTTTATGTTACATTTATGCATTTTAATATTGGATCTCCAACTTCACATGTTGCTGTAAAAATTATTTTTTTATGCCACCAAGTATAACTATGTCTTACTTATAAGATATAATTGTAATATTAAAGATATTTTTTTCTCCACCACGTTAGTTAACAATTTTTTTGAAGAGAATTTTTGTTTTTAACATTACAATTATATCTTACAGGTAAGATATAGTTGTAATTGATTGTTACAAAAACATTTTCCTTATAGCAACATAAGAAGTGATTTTGCCTTTAATATTCTCCTAAGACAAGATAGCTTTATGTACACATAAGTGGGTTCTGCAAAGAGAATAAAGAAAGATAAAAATGCGGTTCATTCACTTGCATGTATGTTAGGGGATAAAATAAATTTTCTCATGTATTATCCTTTTTTTTTTTTTTGATAATCAAAACTCATGTATTATCTAATATGAACATATCATATAAGATGATCTTAATCATCAATAAACAAATTAACGGTGATAATTTTATAACTTTATATCTATATATTTTTTTTTCTAATCTTTTGTCACCATTGATTTATTCTTATATAGTTAAAATCTTTCTACATTATATAATCATGTTAATAACATACGAGAGTATTTTGAGCTTCTTTTTGCTTTATGTAACTCGTCATTTTTTTTTTTCTTAAAACAAAAAAGTTCCTCTGAGTTTTAAAAAAAGAAGTTATTTTTGGAAATCATGCAAAGTGGGCCATGAACACAATCATCTAAGTTCGTAGATGGTTGATTTGATTATTGTTACTTTTCGTCACTTTTTTTTTGTGGTAATTGTTTTCTTTTCTTCGTATGCAACGAGATATTCAAGTGAGTTAGTGAGGTCGGATATGTGTTCGATTTCCGCTGAATGCATTTTTGGGGAGGGGCTGAACCTTTAGCCATCACTGTTTTCCCGCACTCCGGATTAGTCCCATAGCCGGCTCAAAGAGTCGAAGCTCGTGGAGATACCGGAGGGAGCCAACTCGTCTCAAAGAGATAATTAGGGTTGGGTAACTCCAAAGATATTCAAGTGATTTTAAATTTGTAATGATGTATATATTAATGAGATAGGATATTGCAACAACCAAGTAGTGTTACTATCAATGTTACTATTAATCAATTTCACCGTTAGATCGATTATGTTGATCCATCGGTTATTTATTTCCATCTTTGCATGGTTATGATTCTCCATATTTAATACTTTATATTTATTTCTACCTTTATATGGTTATGATTTCTCATATTTAATGCTTTCACTTTAAATATGGAGAATCATAATCATACAAAGATGGAAATAAATATAATCTTTGGATCAACATAATCGATCTAACGATAAAATTAATTGGTAGTAACATTGATAGTAACACTATTTAGTTGTTACAATATCATTCCCCTATATTAATTTATTAGCTGGCTTTAATATTTGATATATGTTTACCTGGAAAGCTCCTAATATTTAAGCATTTTGTTTTAATTCCATTTCCGTAGTAACATTCTCCTTAAACAAGCGATTTTTGAAACTCCATTTTCTCCCTTGTATATGTTGCTTCCATATTAAAGATTAATTTTATGTTCAGAGGATCTAGAGAAAAGGTTGACGACACAGAAAAAAAGTGAAAATAAAATGAAAACTTCCAAGTTTCAAACAACATCCCAAAATATTTGACATTATATAAAGAAAAAAGTGACCAATAAAAATTCAGAAAAGTTTGTATGTGATATAAATAATCACTCTTTACATTAACAAATTGATCAACAATAATACACATAAACGCGGCGGAGAATCAAAAGATTTGATGAACAATATTTTGTTCTGAACATAAAAATTTTAATATCTCACAAAAAACTATTTTTTGTACGAAAATTTATTAGTAAAAAACATTAAATGGAGTAATATCTTAGGGTATAATTAAGTCATTAAGTGTATATTTAACAATGAATTGATAACTTCTAAAATATCATTGGATTGAATGCTCTTTTTTCAGAATTTTACATGTCAATATATGTTTTGACGGGAGGAATGTTATATTTATAATCTATTTTTGTTTATAATTTCTTATAATCATATTTTAATCGTTGATTTTCGTCTATGAACGGTTGTTATTTATTGTGAATTAATAATTAATTAATAAATTTAATTTATGAAAATAATAACCATTGATTGACAAAAATCAAATGTTAAAATATAATTGTAAGATGCTATAAATGAAAATAGATTGTATCTATAACTTTATTTTTTTATAGATATTAAATAAGTGATATTTTATCAAAATTTATGAATATATATATAAAAAAATATATAATATTTTCACATAATAAAAATAAAAAAATATTTTTCTCATGTTACATGTGATAATTTGTCTCATGCAACACACAAAAAAGTGGATGAGACCCATTTTTTTTTCTGTCTCTCTTTTCTTCGTAGTGAATCCTATCCACTTTTGTATATGTTGCATGAGACAAATTATCTCATCCAACATGAGATAAACATTTCTCATAAAAATAATGCAAAAATGTTTAGTGTGAGAGCCTCTTTGAACGTAATTTTTCCTAATAACTTAAACATTTATCTAGTTCAAATTAAATGGAATGATAAAAATTTGATTAGAAGAATAATTAAACTTTTCAAGTGGATCATCACATCACTAGGATTTTCATTGAACTAACCAAGCCAATTTACAAAAGATATTGAACCAAACTCTTTGAGCCGCCACCACCAGCTTAATGCCTTATGGCTTATGATTCCTCCACTCTTATATTTGCGCATCTCCCACTAAATTATTACATTACATTTCACAGTGCCACCTTTTCATTTTCATTTTCATTTTCATTTTTTTCTACTTCTCTCTCTCTCTCTCTCTCTCTTCAAGAAAAAACACTGAACTTTCTTATAAGAATCTCATCTCTCTGCTTCTCTCCTACCTTTTCTTCTCTTTTCCCAAACCCACCAAAAAAGGATCAATTTTTTTTATTCCCCAGAAAAAATAAATAAATTCCCCTCAATCAACACAACGCTTAAATCACCCTAGTTCTCTCTCTCTCTAAAAAGTACTAGTGGTATTCTGAAAGTTGAAACCTTTCACCGTTTCCAAATTCCGATGGCTATAATGAGGAGTATAATGAGATCGAGGTCGCAAAGGGTGGTGCAGGAGGAGGAGGTGGTGGTGTTCGACGACGGCTTAAGGCAGAGTTGTTGGGCCAACATGCCCCACGAGCTCCTCCGTGAGGTCCTCATCCGAATCGAGGCGTCGGAGGCCACGTGGCCGCCGCGGAAGAGCGTCGTCGCCTGTGCCGGAGTGTGCCGGAGCTGGAGACAAATTACCAAGGACATCGTCAAGACCCCCGAACTTTCCTCTAAGATAACCTTCCCCATCTCTGTTAAGCAGGTTTTTATTTTATTTTATTTTATTTTATTTTATTATTTTTTTGGCATTGATCTTAATTGGGTTTTCAATTCCCAATATTAGCATGATTGCTTAAATTAGGGCAACAAGGTTTCCTTATGTTACTTTGTTCCTTTATTTTTTTTAAATATTTTGTTATTAATGTTTGTTCAAAATGATTACAATATTTTTGGCTAGATGTTTGTATTAAATTGTGTTACGATTGTTTTAAAACCCAAAATAAAAATAAAAAATGGATGATGCTGTTACCCATGGCCATGGAACATGGTGGGCAAGACAGCATGTAATTGTGAGGGGTGACGTTGAACTATTCTTTTCATTTATTTTGTCTTCCAATATATAAATCTATTACATATTATTAACTTTATTTCCTTGGAATATTAATAATCTGTTCCTTTGTATTTTTTATTTTATTTTCCCTTCTGATTCATGATTTTTATAGTATTTGATGAGAAAATGAAATACTTAATTCCTGCTTCTACTGTAGAAAACCCGTCTAAATGTTCTTTTTCTTCCAGTGGAAAATATAATTTTGATTGACCCATCTTATTTCTGGATAATATTGAGTTGTTGGCAGAATTATTGATATCTTTCTCTTCCGTACATGGCCAGAAATAAAAGTTTTTATATCACCGGGGGGGCTTGGACCACTAAATAGTGATGTCAATTTTTTTTAACTGTTGTGAACTTTGTATGGGAAAATACTCTGTAATTTCCTTCCAAGACATTGTAAAGGACCATGTTTTGTAGCATATGGGTATTATCAATGTTATTATTGGCAGCCTTTAGTCCATCTTACATCAAGCTGTGTATTTTCTTGTGCCAGCTAGTTGTTCTAAGTCAATTATCTTCTACTAGTTTAGCAGGGATATATTATGTTTTGGTTGGGTAGCGACCACTGAAAGTTGAAATTTCTTTGTTTTTGATGTATATAAGATGCCAAGCCTAAAAGTAAATAAAAGGAGAGGTTCCTCCTCTTGGCAAATTGAGTGGGTACCTGAAGATGCTTATTTGGTGTGGAATGCTTTGCTTTATTATTTCCTACTCACTATGGTATTGCTCTAAAGATTCCCTTGTTTGTAGAAGGGCTTCACTATTGAATGTCACTATTGTGCTTGTCTTTTTATTGCTGAGTACTTCAATGTATTGTTTCCCTGCCCTGACATTGCTTTAACATGTTTTAATTGGCAAATAATTTTGGCAGCCTGGCCCAAAGGAGCATCTCCTCCAGTGTTTTATAAAGCGTGATCGATCCACCCAAACATATCATTTGTTTCTCAGTTTAAGTAGTAGTGAGTATATTAATAAAACTTTTGGTCGATTTCATTCTGCAAAAACTTCAGTTTCTTTGTCTTCCCTCAGTTTTTGGTTTCCTTTTTGAGATCGAAAGCTTCTATTTCTAAAGTTGTGGGTTCTTTCGGCCACTATTCAATTCAGCGCTAGCTGATGAAGGGAAGTTCCTTTTGGCTGCACGCAAATGTAGACGTTCCACCTGCACAGATTATATCATCTCTCTAGATGCAGATGATATTTCAAGGGGAAGCAACACCTATGTTGGGAAACTGAGGTGCACTGCTAATCAAGCGCTGACCATTATTTTTTTTTTCCTGTTTATTAGTGCAAAGACTTATACCATTTTCTTCCCCTTTGATAAGATCAAATTTTCTGGGAACCAAGTTCACAATCTATGATGGCCAGCCACCTCATGCAGGGGCAAAGATTACAAAAAGTCGCTCCACTAGGCTGGTGAACCTAAAACAAGTCTCGCCCAAGATCCCTACAGGAAACTATCCAGTGGCCCACATCTCATATGAATTGAATGTGCTAGGCTCCAGGTAAGCTTTACATATTGCAATTGTGCATAGATCATCCTCCATAAAATTAACTAATTACTGCTATACTATAATTGTCTTTGCATAAATTTTGACTTTCCATACATGGTTTTTGTTTGGTGGACAATAATATTTTGACTTTCAGTAGCAAAAGCTTTTGCTGAAAACATATTGCCTTACATACTTACCATCTATATACGGAAAGCAGGGGGCCTAGGCGAATGCATTGTGTGATGGATTCCATTCCTGTCTCAGCAATTGAAACAGGAGGGGTAGCCCCTACACAGACCGAGTTTTCTTTTAACAACGTAGATATGTTTCCTTCATTCCCTTTTTTTCGATCAAAATCAAATCGTGTGGAAAACCCCCCCTCCGGACCCCTGGGCGATCAAAAGGATGGGATGCTAGTGTTGAAAAACAAGGCTCCAAGGTGGCATGAGCAGCTGCAGTGTTGGTGCTTAAACTTTCATGGACGGGTGACAATTGCCTCAGTTAAAAACTTTCAGTTGGTGGCATCCCCAGAAAATGGACCTTCTGGACCAGAACATGATAAGATTATCCTCCAATTCGGAAAAGTTGGGAAGGATTTGTTTACAATGGACTACCGGTACCCTATCTCGGCATTTCAGGCATTTGCAATCTGCCTCAGCAGCTTTGATACAAAGATTGCTTGTGAATGATGTGTTTATACAGGTATTCATTTGAAAGTCCAATATTCAAAAACTAAAATAAAATTGATTAATAGAAAGCTATAGAAGCCAAGTGCTGTTTGTACTATTTCCATTGGCAGATCACTTAGCACATACATTTTGGTTTAGCTTAAATTAGTGCCACTATCCAACAGTAGGCCATATTATTAATTAATTCCTCTAGCTTTGTGTGCCTAAACTAAAGGATGGGAGGATAACTTCACTTGAAAACCTTTCTTATTCTATCTATAACCTTGTGACAGTTATCTCAGTTCCACTATCTAAATTTCAAACCAATTTTTTTTTTTTTTTTCTGGTTAGTGATTGATTCCGTATGTAGTTTTTGAGTATGCCAATTGACGACACTTGCTTCTTGTTCATGCCAGCTTCAATCCAGATTACATTGTTATTTCTTTTTCGCCGCTGCTGATGATGTATGGTTTGAATGTAACTTGGAGGGAAAGCAATCCGATAAAACATGTTCAGGAAGATGATTTGATGGTATTGAATTGAATTTAAAAGGACGGTGATGCAGATTTGAGTGTTTCAGTTGATTTATGGGATCACAATTCATCACTTGTGGGAAGATCACATGAAAGTGTAAAGTAACTTGGAACTTGTATTATCCCGTGTATACTGTTCCCTGTGTACATAAATACCCTCTCTCTCTCTCTCTCAATTCTTCTTAACAATTTGCTTTACATTTGGTTATTTATGCAATTTAATGGTGGTATGTAAGTGGGTCTATTAGCATCGAAGTTGATAGTAGCTGTTTTTTTTTTCATTCACGGACTTCTTGTCCTTTCATAAGAACAGAGTAATCTACTCACTTGCAAATGGACAACTAAATTGCCAATAGATGTCATGTAGTCAATAATAAAATAAATAAATTGTTGGATGTCAACTAAATTTGCCAGAGCTTCTAAACAAGACCCTGAAACCATGGCTGGCTTCTCATTATCAATTGGTAGAGGAAGAGGGCATGCTGATGCATCTTGAGAAGAACCAGTTCTTCATTCATATCTGTATGTAATTCCAATATTCCTTCATTTACACTGAGACAATGCTTGCTTCTAGGACCACTACAACTGCAACAATGAACGAAAAGCAACTGAAAAACCCACCTTTTTTTTTCTATTAAGAAAATTCCATCTTAAATTATTAGACATCAAGTAAAAGCTTCTGTTTCAATTATCACGAACCCTTACATTATTAGTTTCTAACACAAATTACGTTGTGTACAGTCAAAACAAAAACTCAAGAGTGACGAAAACGAAATCAAATGCAAAAAACCATATTAATGGAAAAATAAAAAATAAAAAATAAAAAAACCAAACGTTATGGCATTAAATTCAAAAGAAGCAGGGGAAGGGGAAGGGGAGTGAATGGATGAGGTAAAAGCCCCACTTCACTTGAGGTCCAAAGTCGAAACCTTTTCCTTCCGAACTTCTTGTTGAATGAATCACGTGTTCTCGTAACGAACGGAGCCATATACTCTTCAGCACGATAATTTTTCATCTTAAGTAAATATAGTAGTTAATAAGTGTATATCAACTCAAGTGCAAGTTTTAATTAGTTTATTTTACAAACCAGGGAGGAGAAGAAGATCAAGTATTATAAGCACTTTAAAAAGGGAAAATTGTTTCACTTTTCCTAAAAAAAAAAAAAAAAAATCATTCTAGTTAATTTTATTTGTCTCTTAATATTTTTATTAAATAAAACTAAAGTATTTAACAATTAATGCAAAAGTACATCACATGAGCACTAATAACAAAAAGGTCAACTGCTCTGCCACCCACCTTGGCTATGTTATAAGGAATGCTTGTAATGTAACTCTGCTCGAGGTTAAAGCAGGAAGGTATCCTCATCTTAAGCTTACCTAATAACATGTCCTCAGTCTCATCTCATTCAAGGGTATAGAAAATAGTTATATACAAATATACATGATTATCATCATTACAAATTTACAACAATTAGGCTGTTTGCATGCTCACGCTTGATTCTTGGCTTCTAACCGCATATTCAGCACCTTCTTCATCAGAAATCGGCAGATCATCTGAATGCAACTCTAGTTGATTAAGGCTCCGAACAAACTCGGTGAATGAAGGAAAATGCTCTGGGGAAAAGAAATATGCTCCCATTCTATGATATGTGAACAAGTCCAGCACATTATCCACTGATAAATACTTCTTGATTTGTTCGAAACCCCCAGGAGCACCAGACTCTGAAGAATTTTGACCCGAAACCTTCAACCCGTGCTTTCTGCAAGCTGTCATAATTTGTGCAAGTAACAGCTCAGGGCTGGAATGATTTTCATTTGGCTGATTTGCATCTGAAAGGTCCATTCCAGGTAATATCATTTTGCATGAGTTCCTAGCAAACATCTCTGCAACTGCTTCATAACCATCCCTCTTAGCTGTGTTATAGAACCCTGCTGTTAGCTCGGAAGGATGGGATCGAGTTCCATACCAAGAGTGCATGAGTGGGATTTTTCCATATATTGTCACACCAGTGTCACCTAAAGTAGAAGCTGCTAATGAAAGGAGGCAATCTCCATGAGTTATGAGCTGATTAGAATACCAGGAAAGGAAGAAGTCACCATATGTAGACTCCCAAGAACCCCCATCCTTGAAAAAGTTATTGGAGTATAGTGACTGGTCATAGGTAGGTGCATCATGTGGACCACCAAGCCCCCATAAAGGATTTCCAGAAGCTTCAGCATGTTGCTTGAGAAAGCTGAGCATGTTTTGGTCATAACACTGGAATTCCCCAACTACTTGAGTTTTCATATTACCATGTTGTGGGTGGTGAGATGGATACCGTAGCTCACCATCTGGTCCTAAACCCATGGAAATGCTCTGCAATATGACAAGATATGAAGATAATGTCAATCATATATAGTAATATGAAAGTGGATATTATTAGAGTACATAACTGGTCCTGGAATCCAAAATTCTTACCGTGATTGTAGAACCCATGAATGGAGAGAAGGAAGACTTGAAGCTCTCACAGAAACTCTGGTACACTTGGACTGGAGTCTTCCCATCAAGAACAGGAAGATTATCAACTGCCAGTGATAGGCATTCTTCATAATGCTGTCCTGAACGGTCTGTAAAGAAAATATTTGGTTGAGATTCACCAATCTGGGACACCCATTTGGGTAGAGGGATATTTGGATTTTTAGACCCATGAAAGCAAAGCGTCACATGGAGCTTGAGACCCACTTTCTGAACCATCTCAGCAATAGCAAGATAGCATGACCAATCATATTTTCCCATGGCATCTTTCTCAACAATTCCCCACCAAACAGGTAGCTCAACACCTTCAACTCCTAATAGCTTCAAAGCTTTTAGGCCAGCTGCAATTGCTCTAGCATTGTTTATTGAATTGCAGTCACGAGAAACTGCATCTAAGGGCAGCCCCACAAATAATCTTACACCATCTACCTGCAACATATCATTTTAAGCGTGTCATTCTTATTTTCTAATGGCTTGAACTTGACATTACATAACAAAACTTAATTGTATTTGACTGCCGAACATGTAGCATGACTGCATGATATTTGAATGTAGAGTTTACTAAACCTCTAGTATTTAAATCCCCTTCAGACTCTAATCCCTGTTTCTCATGGTTTTCACTCATTAATGCAAAAAAAAAAAAAGCCTCCCCTCAAATTCACCAGATGACAATTTCAAGGAAAAATTATCACTCAATAATATTGTGTAGCAAATTATTTGACTTCATTATTTACCTAGTTAGGTAGTTGATGTTGTTGATTAACTATGTAAATGAAGAATTTAACATGCTAATTTGGATAGAGTTGACATGTTCATTTAATTTCGAGCTAACAGATATAAAAATAAAGTCAAACCAAATATAGAAAAACTACTAATTGATAGTTTCCTTTTAGAGTCAAAAGACAAAAATAAAAATCCCATTTTTTTCTCCCATAGTTTTCTAGCATCCAAAAGCAGCACGCAACATAAAAAGAAAACAGAAAACTCACCAGTTTGGATCTTGTTCCAGACCCAGATCGCTTCTTCTCCTCTTGAACAGGTTCATACTGAAGAGCTTTCAAGGTGAAGCTTATCCCAGCCTTCTTCCACCTCATATTCCGACCAAAACTAACTCTATCATTCGAAAACCTGAAATTATCCCTCAGATTACAAAAACCCACTTCCCTAAACGCCAAATCGGACTTTCCCAGCTTCGCTTGAGAACTACCAATCACCGAAACCTCCATGGCCAAGAAAACAAAAACAAAAAAAGGTAATACTATCACAGCAAGAAAAATATTCACCAAATGAATGAAAATTCTAGCTTTTCCAGAATACCAACTTGGGGTTTCCAATATAATTTTCACAGAAAAATATGGGATTCAATGAAAGTAGGGATTTTGAAGATGGGAAAAATTGAAATGGGCAAGGCTCGTTTATAAAGAGATGGACCCTGAGACACGCTTTTTCTTTTTTCTTTTTCTCTTGTGCGTGGGACCCATAAACGAAAAAGAGTAACAAAGTTAATGCTTGCAATACAATTTGCCACGTGTCCTTCTGATAGAAAACCAAAGTTGAGCCGCATAAAACTGTTGTTCATTTTTGTTTCATAATTCTTAAATTCTTAATATATATATATATATATAGAGGTATGATCATTTGACAGCTCGTCTGAGAGAGTTATTAGATCAAAAAAGATTAACGACTCTGATTGGCAAGCATGTGACACCATTGATATTTTTTGATCTAACAACTATCAGATGAAGTATTAAATTTAAAATTTGATACTGATATCAAAGGATGCTGTGATATATATATATATATATATAGCAAAGAATATAAGGAATATAATAATTCCTCTAAAATTGAATCTGGTGTTCAATGGGCGTAGATGAGTTGGGTATGGCTGGATTATTGTATTATTAGGGGTTGATCTTTTTTGGTTCTGATGCTATTTAAATTTACAATCTTATATTAAAAATATTGTGCATAATGATGTTCCACCCCGACACATGGATAGATTCGAATTGAGTCCCATGAAATATTATGTGACATACATTATCCGAAATGGATTAATAGGTACACTATTAAATATCAATTATTAATGCCTTAAAATGTCTCTTTGTAGAGAAAATAAGGCAAGTGGCATGTGGCATGTGGCTCAGTTGAAAAGTAAAGAGAGCAGTGGTAGCCTCTGCGTCAAAGCAATGGGACACAATTGTTTACGTTCATGAATTGAATGATAGGTTGGGGATGTGCATCACACGTGGAGCTGACTCATATACTCTGTGCTCTGTGGTGTGGTGCTGTCACATTCAGAATCAGATTCATTTCATTGGTACGTGTTCCAGTGTCTGCTTCAGCTTCTGCAGTTTTGTTCTGGATCTCTCTTCCTCTATGACTCAGATCAGACCATGCACTTTCTGGATAAGAAAAATTAAAAATTAAAAATTATTTATCATTTTTAGGTTGCAGACAAATTTTGAAAGCAAATGTATTATTCTAAGGATAAAGAAATTTTATGCAACTACTTACTTATTTTTCATTGGATTTTTAATTCATAATTAAAGTTTAAATTATGGATAAAATTAAAAAGGTTTATGTTTAAAATTGGAAGAGGTCTAATTCTATTTCCAAGATAATATTCTAAGTCCAACACCAGGTGTCAAATAGAGGTTCAATATCTTAATCTATATTGTATTAATTTGTATAATAATTATGAAATTTTGTAATTATATTTTCTAATCTATTGTAAATATATATAAATATAATTTTGTTATAAATGTTTTGTTTCTGAATCTTCTGGTGATCAGGTTTAATAATAAAATAATATAATTTCATGAAATAATTATAATTAAAATAAAATTATTCATGTGTTAGACATGGAAACAACTCCTCCCAGAAATATGCGTACTTCGTATATAAAAACTATTGGCTGATAATTGATGAGAAAAGGTATGAGTTGCTTCTTCCAGTCGGCATTTGGCAAATTAACTATGTCTTATTTGTTTTATTTTCTTCCAAAAAAAAAAATTTTGTGAGAAAAATTACTTTGAGGCCGGAAAAATTGAACACTTTCTTGTAATATTGTGACCAGCCTAATTGATTGAAACCAATTCTGGGGTGTTAGGTCGGTGAATCATGTTATGTTCCAATGTGCCATGGTCCTAGATTTGATAAACGCGTTTTTTTGTTTGACTAATTCATTGAATAGAGGGAGGGAAGGGGATGGGAAAGTGGGAATTTGGAAAGGAAAACATGTTTCTTCATTTCAGCATAGCAACATAACTTGTTTCTGTTTCTCTTTAACCAACAGTGAAGAAGGGTGCACGGTTGTCAAAATAACTTGGATTTAACAATCTCCTGTTTGGGGTGTGAAGAAACAATTGAAGTAACTCGTGTGTATTAACAGAGCTGGCAAAATGGGCCGAACCTGCCGGGCCGGCCCGCCCTGCCCGCCAAACGGGGCGGGGCGGGCTGAGTTTTCTAAACCCGCTGCCCGCCAAGCACGCCAGCCCGCCCGGGCTAATTTTTTTTTTTTTTTAAATTTTTAGTGTAAAATGTGACGGGCTTGGCGGGCAGCCCGCCCCGCCCGCCCAAACGGGACGGGGCGGGCAGAGATATCTAGTCCACCTTCAATGGCGGGGCGGGACAGGACGGGCCAGCCCGTTTTTTGGCGGGCAGGGGTGGGGCGGGGCGGACAGCCCGCTTTGCCACCTAACTATTTGATTAAAAGTTGATGGCCATTGGTATAGGCACTTGTCACATTTTGTAGGTATAATTCCAATTGGGATTCAGAATTTTTTTTTTAGTACTTATTCATGTGAGATCGAGGTCTGACATAAATATAAATACAATCAATTTAAATATAATATGAATAAAAAATTATGTTAAATTTTTCTACACGAATATGATCTTCCATTTTGCAAGGTGATATAGAGGTTTATTTAAGTGCACTCGATTAGAAGTGGCCAAATGGGTAACCCGTCCCAAACTGTCTCATTCCGCCGCCAACTCGTCAAAAATGGGCGGGCTCGCCCCGCCTAACATTTTGATACGGGTAAAAAATTTCAACTCACCCTATTTTGTGGAGGGTTTGCGGGTCAACCTGCTTAAAAAATAAAAATTAATTAAAAATTAAAAATAAATTATATTTTATTAATTTTATAATATTTCTTATTTTCATTTCACAATCTCTTAAGTATTTTTCTAATCTAAAAAATAAATGTATACTAATATTCAGTCAAATATTTTTTAGGATCTTATTTTTGCCTCAATATATGGATAACTTTTATAATAAATAAAGTTTTTCTTCTTTATTTTTTCTAGGGAAGTATTAAGATAAAAAAAAAAATTTCATATCACAAAAGCACAGTAACAATTAAAATACTACCTATTAGTTTAAAAGAAAAAAATTGACCCGCAGGCCAACCCGCCCCGACCCACTGTCAACCCGTTTTGACCCACAACTAAGCGGGGCGGTTGAGGTGGGTTGGTGGGTTGAAAAGTATAACCCAACCCGTCCCGTTTTGACGGGTTGACCCGTCGGGTTCAACCCAAATTGCCACCTCTAAACCTGACGGGTCAATCTGTCAAAACGGGGTGGGTTGTATTATACTTTTTAATCCACCAATCCACCTCAACCCGTCCTTGCTTAGTTGTGGGTCAAAACGAGTTGGCGATGAGTCGGGACGGGTTGGCCCGCGGGTCAAAATTTTTTTTTTTTTACTAATAGATAACATTTTATTTGTTACTAAGCTTTTGTGATATGAAATTTTTTTTATCTTAGTACTCCCCTGAAAAAATAAAGAAGAAAAACTTTATTTATTACAAAAGTTATTCATATATTGAGGCAAAAATAAGTTCCTAAAAAATATTTGACTGCATATTAATATACACTTAGGTTTGAGATTGGAAAAAACTAAAGGGATTGTGAAATGAAAATAAGAAATATTATAAAATTAATAAAATATATTTTATTTTTTATTTTTTTATTTTTTAGGCGGGTTGACTCGTCAACCCATCACAAAACGAGATGGATTGAGATTTTTAACCCATATCAAAATGCAGGGCGGGGCGGGTCTGAACGGCCGACCCGTTTTGCCACCTCTACTCTCGACGCATATTTCATTGGGTGGGGCGGAGGAAAGAGAAGGAAATAAAAGAGATATTTTCTATGGTCCAGGATCACTTAATAACTTGGTGGTGCCCCTCACAACATCAATTTTTTCTTTTTCTTTTTATTCCTGCTATTTTTCCTCTTTCTCAATTTTACTTTTCCATTTACATTAAGGGACCACTTAAAAAATGATGGTCCCGGAACATAATAGATGCTCTAAAGGAGAGACCGAATAGAAAGAAAAAAAAAAATTCAGGCATCACTTTTTTAATGAGAGGACCACCGTAGACTTGAACCACTTAATTTTTTTTCTTTGACATGACACCACCAACAATTTGAGATATATGTGTTCTTGACAGTTGACACCAACTCAATTTGCTTATTATGCAAATTAACACTACATAACAAGATATATGTTTTGACTTCATATTTTATGATGGGATATAGAAACAAAGCACTAATCCCTAATTCCTTATTTGTAGTTTTGTACTAATATTAGACTTCAGGTATGTTCTAAGGTGTGAAGATCTGTTCAGATGGGCAATAAGTAATGAGGTTGAATCAATATATCTACAAGATATAAGTATTTGTTTTAATTGTGTATTCTTTGTGAGGAAGGTGGAAGGTTGGATCAATCATTTGCATATGCATAATTGGTGTCTTATATTAAGTGGTGATGAGTAATAAATCCCGTCAACTTGGATCATACCTTGGCTATTTATACCATGTCGTGTTTGGTATGAGATGGAAATTTTAGGAAATTGAATGTTAACCATTTAATGCTTGGTAAGGATTGCGTTATTATTTTTTCTTATATTAATTAAATAAAAAAATAAATCATTAAATATATATAAAAAAAGAAATTAATTCTAAAAGATCATATTAATCACTTTCAACTATTTTAAGATATGTTTTTCATATATTTTGATAACATAATATTCTTTAATTATTAATTTATTTTTTTAAAATGAGCACCCGCCACGTACGTGAGCCTTAGGGGGTGTTTGGTTCAAGTTTTTGGAGAGGATTACCGGTAATCCTTCTTTGGTAAATGTAATTACCACGTTTGATAGAAGGAATAAGTTACGATTCCCGGATATCCAAGGATTACCGGTAATTTGATTTATAAAGAAAAGTCACTATTCAGATTACCAAAAATAATATGGTAATTCGGAATACCAATCAGAATACCAAGTAAAGGGAAAGCACAACAATAAATTTTGAGACAAAAATACCTCAATACACATAAAAATCTAGACCCAATCTATCAATTACAAAAGTAAAAATAGTTTGGGGTTATTTTTGTAAAATAACCTCATATTCCAAGTCATATTTCGTTCTAAACCAAATATGGAATCAGTAATTTTTACCCAGTATTCCCGATAATATTTTGGCGAACCAAACACATCTTTCGTAAGATTCCAAGTAAACTCAATTTCTACTGAATTCCCATTAATCATGATTCCCGGTCACCAAAAAATTTCTCCTTTACCAAACACACCCTAGAAGGATACAAATAGGGATAAACGGAGACGATGTGTTGTAGTGTAGGATTTGAAGTCATGTACTCTCCTGACATGTCTCACAGTTTTACTGATAAAATTATAGGTATTATTTTTCTGCAGCATAGAAATAAAAAATGGAATTTATTAATTTCTTTTTTTAAAAAAATTATCAGGATTATTCGTCGTATTTATTGTCTTTTTTTTTGTGTTTTATGATAGACAAATTATTTCTATCATAACTGTAGAAATAGTTTTTCCCTAAAACTGTTCCATAAAGACTTATTCATAAGTATTTATCAATAAAACTTGTAAGAATAAAATAAAAAGTAATAATTTATAAATAAGCAAAATACTAATATTTTTGAGACATATTAAAATAAAGTAATTTTTCAAGTTATGCAAATAAATACACTTCAATTGTTATTTTAGAAAAAATGAAAAGTTAAAAAGGATGAAAAATAAAATAAAATAAATAAAATAGTAGATAAATTTAAATAAGTTTAAAAAATTATCACGTAACACTTATGGTAGAATAACTTTTATTGTATATATGGGGGGAAATTGTTTTTGATACAGAAATTTTTTCTATGACACTTAGAGCCCGTTTGTTTAGACTTCTTAAAAAAGTAATTTTTATCTCTTTCTTATTTTAGAAGTGCATTTTATAAAAGTTAAAGCTATTTATAGTTTTATAAAAAAAATTAGTTTTTGAAAAAATATTTGGCTTTTGACTTCTGCTTTTCTTAGAAGTTAAAATTTTTAGCTTGTGAAAAAAGTAAGTTTTTGGCTTTTTTGTGACTTCTACTTTTTTTAAAAGCAGATATCCAAATGAACTAAAAACAAGAAGTGTTTTTTTCTTAAAAAAATAACTGTTGAAGGAAAAAAAAAGCTTATCCAAACGGGCCTTTAGGGGTGTTTGGTACGCGGTATTCTTTAGGATTTTTAAGAAACTGAATTTTTCTAAATTTTTAATTTTCGGAATTTATCGTAAAGTGAATATAAAAATCATATTTAAGAAAATCGAGATTCCCGGATAAAAAAAAATTTCTCCTTTACCAAACGCTCCCTAAAAAAAAGAGAAAAAATATTAGTGGAATTTCTTTATTTTTATGTGAATGAGACAGAATATATATATATATATATATATATATATATATATATATATATATATATATATATATGATCCTTTGACTCTGGTGTCAAATTTGAAGTTTGACACCTCATGTGAGAGCTGTTAGATCAAAAAAGATTAACGACTCTGATTTGTAAGCATGTGATATCATTGATCTTTTTTGATCTAACGGCTCTCGGATGATCAAAGGATCATATCTCTATTATATATATATATATATATATATATATATATATATATATATATATATATATATATATATAAAAGACCGACAGACAAATAAATTTATACTCGAGAAATGATTATTAACAATATTAAAAGCATAAGTTAGAATCACAGAATTGTCGGCTCACAGAAAGTCAAGTAATTTTTTTTTTGTAAAAATTATTTGTAAATTTGTACAGTATCACATTAAAAATTTGGGGTTTTAGTTTGTCTTTTAACATGACCAGAAAAACTTTCCTACATACAATATTTTGTGGGGTCCACACTTTTTAAAGCAAAGAAAAAAAAAAAACTATGGCACGTAAAACGAATCTCTATAACATTACACAATCACTTTTTCTACAACATAACTCTTAGGGGGCGTTTGGTATGCGGGATTTTGAGGGATTCCCGGAAAACTGAATTTTTCTAAAATTTTAAATTTTCAGATATTATTGTAAACTGAATGCAAAAATCATATTTTTAAAAATCGAGATTTCTGAACGAATAAAAATTTCTCTTGTACCAAACACCCTCTTATAAAACCCTAAAAATTTATATAATATTCACAACGAGAATTGACACATCTAATTGTACCTTTTCCTCTTTGTTAATCGTGGTTTGGATTTGATTATTAAATTTTTCGCTTATAAAAGGACGTGCCTTTTCTTAATATAAAATTTCATAAAAAATAATAGGGAAAAACAATTCTTACGTTGTAGGAGAGTTCTCTTCTCATGTTAGTGAGAGTTCGTTTTGCGTGCAATAATTTTTTTGTTTTCTTTATTTTTTATGTGTGGACCCCACCATGAATTTGAGTGTAGGAAACTTTTCTTCTCTCCAATAACACGAGAAAAATATTACCCAAAATAATATAATGTCTAACTATTAATTGTTTTGTTAATCTTTAGTTATTCCCGGATATAATATTTCTTCTATAAAATAGAAACAGTGATCATTTTGTCACGTTTGGCCAACAAAATTATCAAACTGTCACGTCAACAGTAAATTTTCACGGAATGTCATGTGGGATAATTCGCTACACTGTGTAGCAAAATAAGCTTGCAAATAATTCGCTACACAGTGTAGCGAATTATGTCACGTCAGAATGCACAGTCAGCAAGAATGACACGTGTCAAGCAGGTAGTAATTCGCTACCATGTGTAGCAAATTATGTTCGCAAATAATTTTTTGACATGTGACATACTTTCGCAAGAAAAAAGCTGACGTGTCATAATTCGCTATCACTGGTAGCGAATTTGGTCTGCAATATGACCATATGTCACGAAATTATTGGCCACGAAATTCGCTACCAGTGGTAGGAAATTATGACACGTGGCAGTCTGGTAAAAAATACTGTTCACGTGATATTTAGATAAAAAAATTGACAAAACGTGACATTTTGATCACTGTTACTATAAAATTTCGTCAACACTAATTTCAGGATATTTTTAATGTAAGTTTGGTTTGCGAGTGTTATCCAGAAATAGGTTACAAAGATCAAAATAAAATAATTAAATAAAAAATATAAACATTTAATATATCAATATTTTAGAAAATATTAATTCTTTTTTAAGTACTAAAATGAAACAATAATATTATATTCATTACTTAACGTTTAATAAAACTCTAATTCTATTTAATGACCCTATCCATTAAGGCAAATGGCCATACTGACAACTCACTTAGGGCCCGCTGAAACGTATAGGACATTCATGGTGCATGTAGATATGCACTCATTGCGACAACAACCCAATTAGTAGATCGAATTCAAATTATTCAATAATTCATGTGAAGACCTCGAGATCCTTATCACTTTAAGGCATCTATGAGGATGACTGGTCCCTGCCTACACATTACGAGGTTTTTAATTTTATTTATTTATTTTTGTTTTTTGATAGTAAAATATTAGGAATAATGGATAGGTGGTTTGTCAAATTCTATAAACATCATTATTTTTTTTGGAAACATATAAACATCATTATTAGGGCGTTGAAATTGGACAGGTACAATTTATTTTATTTGTTTATTTCAAACTATTGAACAAGTACACTTTAGATGCTTTTTGATGTACCATTTATCTAACAAGAAACAATCACTAGGGTCGGGTTTTCTCATGGCATTAGTAGTACTAGTACCCACTACCCATCATATAATATAATAACTTTTTGGTCCAATATTACAAGATCTCCTACTACTACAGACACAATGAACATATAGTTCCATAATTTCAGAAAATCTTTTGGTTTATGCATTGGTTACTGTTAGTTAGCATGCATGAATCTGCCCACCAACCTTAATAAGGAGGTGGGGCTCCTGGTGGGTAATCAGGAGGGCCCACTGGATCATAAGAAGGTCCAGGAGGGCCCATTGGACCATAAGGAGGGGCAGGAGGTCCAGGAGGGCCCACTGGATCACCCGGAGGGCCAGGAGGAACAGGAGGCCAATAAGTGGCAGGAGCTACTGGTGGTGGCGACATGGGAGGCCCAGGTGGGCCAGGCAAAGGCGGCGGAACAACTGGATCCGGTGGAGGTGGAGGCGGAGGCGGGGGTGGGGGCGGTGCTTGTGGTGGAGCCACTGGAATTGATGGTGGTTCAGGTGGGGCGCCAAAACAGTCTTGGAACAACCAACAACAGCAAGCTATGTAGAAACTGTCAAAACACAAGAGAATTGGAATATGGTTAACAATTTATGTAAGGGGAGGGTTATATTTACAAACTTTTTGTTTATAAACTATACTATGTTTTTTCAGGAGAACACTAGGTTACACTATGTTCTCCAGGAGTACATAGTGTAATTTGCAAAAATTTGTGAAATTTTTTTGTGAATAGATCATTCCCCTTTAAATATAATGGACCTTAATGCTAACACATATATTAACTAAAACCAAGAAGAAAAAATGTTACCAACCAAGAAGATATGGTGTTACACAGTCCATGAAAGAAGTTGCCAAGAGGGGAAGGTGGGCCGGGCCATGAACCTGGATAGCCCGAAGGCCCAGGCCCTCCAGGAGGTGTTGGTCGTTGTGGTCTCATTCTTAGCTTCCAAGAACTTGCAAGCTCACCCCCAGTACCACTGAAGAGACCAAGCTGATAAATGACTCAAAAACACACCCATTTACTGATGCTATGAATATGAATATCTATATCTCACTCTCAACACGGTATAACTCATAGTCCTAGAGCTGAGAGCTGAAGCAATAAATATATAGAGAGACACAACCCATATGAATGAAAGTGGTACTTATGTTATCCATGGCTGCCACGTGTCCTTGAAACACCTAAAAATAACAGATTTGGAATCTAACTGTCAAACTCAGCAACTGCTATTCTTCAATCTACCTTTCTTTGTGTTTGGGTTGTTAACTTTTTTTAAGATGAAAATATAAATGGCACCAAAATTTGGCAATGTAATTGATGGAGAAAGTGAGAACTTAAACAGAGGGAAGGGCTATAAATGGGAGAAGGAAGATTTTAGGTATTGGAAAGTTTTCATTGTAGAATGGTAGGTCAACTCGGTCGTTGACACGTTCCATTGTCTCATCCAAAACCAAACTCAAATGGAGGACAATGATTTGACAAAATGAAACCCCACTAAAAAGAAAGGGAAAAAAAAGTGGGGGAAGTCAACAGAGGAGGAAGAAAGTAAAATGGCATAAGATGGATCTCAATGTGACACTTTTGAATTCTCTCAGTGAAGCCTAGCCTGCATACACTAAGATATAGATTATCCATAACCATCACTAAGGCTATTTTCATAATATCTAGTTCCACTTCTACCTCAATGAGATCAGAGCCAACCATAGATTTTGTATTTTAAGCATTGTTTATGAAGTGGTTAACTCCATCTTACATGAAATTGAGCTCTGGAAAAAAAATACTTCTGATAAAGAACTTGAGTACAGATTTAGCCTCGCACTCAAATGCTACGAGAAAATCACATAAAACCCAAAAAACAAAAAATATGTCTTCCAGGATAGTTGATAATCATTATGATGATATTGATACCAGAAGCAAATATCAGCTCTCTCATGCAAGCTATAAAAACTTGACATTTCTTTTACTATAAACTTTCTTTGATTATTCAATCAAAAGGCATTCCAACAAGAATCCAAGTTCCATTTTTGAGTTTTTTTTTTTTTTTTACCCTCTCACCCAAACATTAAAGGAACAACATAATTCCAACTTTAATTTTTATTAATGTTCATGTGACCTAATTGAACTTGTTATTTGTTAACTTGAGAAAAAGAAAAAAATTAAGATATACAAGATAAGGGAATAAACCTCTGATCATTGAGAAAGAGATGGGAGCAGGAAATAAAATATCTTTTACCTCCAAAACCAATGGCTTTAATACTTCTAAAAATAATGATTTGGTGTTATACTACAAGAATATTTCTTTGTCAAATGACACATTCTTATCTTTTTGAGTCCTCCTTTGATGACTTTGATTGTATATACCCATCACCTGCCATGTTTCTTCTTTCTCCTTGGTACAGCCACACCAGCAGGATCTACCAATGGGCCAGACCAGGTTTGAATATTTGCTTTAGGTTGTGAGAAGTTTGTGGAACTGAATGGAACATCAGGAGGATCAAAAGCTGGATCCATGTGATGTGAAGAACCCAAAGGATAGCCTAGAGTTCCATCTTGGTGGGGAGGAGGAAACTTCTCACTCTTGCTCTTAGCATTTGCATGTGTGATCAGTCGCCGTCTCTGTAGCAAGAGTTAAAACATTAACACTGTTCAATATATAAAGGTAAGCTTTGATATAACACAATTATCTGGAACAACACTTAAAATTCCAAGAGGGATGCATGTACTTAGGTTTTGCAGTAATACTAACTGTTTCTACAACCAATGCAACCAAATTTTCCAAATCTAAAGAAGCATTCCAAAAGATGGCGTCAGAACAGTTCAATCTGCACTTGCGACCTAACTTATATTAGGCTATGGATTAAAGAAAATATTTTAGGCTATGGATTAAAAACAAGTAATAAAATAAAAGACAAATCCTTTTATTTTATGCACTGCATTGGAACAAATTTTTAAACCATTAAAGCATACAAGAGTACAAGGCATCATACACCTCTAAAGGAATTACCAAATATCCTTATGTTAAGGTAATATATCATGTGCTGATTTTTATATAAGCTAAAATATTTATTAACCTATTTTTAAAGATGATTTCAAGTCTCAGTAAAGATAATCTATTATGTTAAGGAAATGCCATGACTTGCTTGTTCACATGCACATACAAATGGTCCTGTCGAATAGAACCAGTGATATAAATCAATGCCTGCTTATGACTGTTGCCATGTCTTTAGTTTATATAATCGTTAAAAAGGAAATATCAGGACGAGACTATATAATCAGATCATTATAATATTTAAACCGAACTAAACTAACTTCATTTGCACACCATCTTTCTACCCATTACTAATTTTCAGTTTTCACACATTAAGACTTAAGAGACAATGAAGCCTAAACTGCTACTCGTCTTTGGATATTGTCATGTCTACAAGCCAAAGAGTGAAAATTAATAAAGAGGCAAATGTATAAACAGATGAGAAGGGATGGAAATAAGAGGAGATTCATGACAATAGATGACTTTTAGTTTCTACAGCATTTGGGGCACATATATACAGCAAAATTTTCCACCAAGACTTTTGAAAGGAAAAAAAAAAAAAAGTTTTCACCAAGACAAAATTCCACCCAAAATAACATCATGTAAACTCTTCTACATCAGTAAAAATGATAACTGAGTAAATTATTAACTCGTGACATGAAAAAAGAAGGAACCAAACTTGTTCAAACTTCAATCAAATATCCACAAAGACTGCATGCAGCCAAGTGAAAAATAATAAGAAATGGATATCGTTATATATATCAACTTGACATTTACTTCATTACTGATAATCGATAAATTTATTAATTTTTCACATTAAGCATAAGCAATACGAAATACTTGCTGGAGTGAATGAGGTGCCTTATCAGACATACATCAATATTTGCTTGCAGTTCAGCATTGGCCTCTGGAACTGGAATTCCCCTCCCAATGCGCTCACGTTGACGAGATTTCTTGACACCATCAGCATTAGCTTTGCCAGCTGCTCTCAATCTACAGTCATGACATATTGAAATGTGAGGATTTTCATTGTGTCTCCTGAAAAGAAATATCTTCTGCTCCCTCCAGTATCATGAAGAGGTGGAGTAAAGATGGAGAGGAATGACTAAATAAACAAGTCCAAGTTACATACATGCCTAGCAAGTTCCTCAATCAAATAAAGGAACTTGAAGAAGAAAGAGAATTGAAATGAACAAGTGCAATATAGCAGAAGTAAAATTTAAAATGGATAATTATAAAGACATAAAAAGGACACAAAAGCAGAACCGAGCCAAGCATAACATGGTCAAAACTTAATCAACATGCAAGCTTTTTGGTAAATTTTTATAGAATTAAGGGTTTCATCATATTGTCGACGAGACAATCTTTGAGATGTCAAAAGTAATTTAAGCCACCTTCTAGCCTCTTCATCCCGTAGCTTCGCATCCATCTCCTTGCTCGGAGGATATTTTGGAAGGCTAGAGGGCTCACAAGCATACGGTTTTGTTGTAAAGAACTGCAAAAGAGAATCAAAGAATGTCAAACTAGGATCCTTACATCCAATTATTCAAACGCCATAAGGATTGCAAGCACAGTTCATCATATCTCAATCTTAAAACTATACACAATTGCCAACAAATAGCTATCTCTGTCACTTCCCATGAGAAACAAGCAACCCCACTTCTAACGCAGTATAGAGTTAAAAAAGAAAAGAAAATAAAGTAGTTTTGTTTGTTGCTTAAAGGGGGAAAAACAGTCAAAATTGATTGTAGTAAAGTTCAGCAGTTCACCCATCCATAGGTTCATTTTAAGTTAGTTTATCATCATTTCCGAACAAAAGTTTTACATATTTGTTCAGGATTAGCATAGGAATGTATTTTATAGAAATCAATCTTGATAGTTGCTACTTGCTAGTCTTATGATAAACATCGCAAGAGTAGAGAATTAACAAAAACAGAGATTCGTGATATGTAAGTAAGCTTGGGTATGATGAAGATGCTACGCACAGGTTTGGTAAATTAGTATACAAGTATGACTGATGGGGAGGGAAAACTGGATCCAAACAGGTGATCCAAAGCAGCGTAATGACCAGGATTACAGAGAAGTTAAAGTTTGGTAAGAAACAGCCAAATTCATATTGACTGACAATTGATAATCCAACAATTGACTAGGTCATACTGGCCTAATTGTTTAACCGTGCCTACCAAGTCTTGGAATATTATACTCAGTCTAACTGGACACGTGACAAATCAAGAATGAAACTACCTAGAAGATGAACAGTCCAAAATTTCAGAGTTTATTTGAACAAAAACCGTAGTGCAACAGCTAATTAGATAATTTGGTCTGCAACTGGCATCCAGAAGATCGCTTATTTCTTTGTTTGAGAATTTCAACAAATGTACACTTTCAACACTAAATTTTATCCAATGTGACACACAAGTTTTTAAAAGATAAATAGTTATGTAACAGAACTCCAGAGCTTCCAGTGTTATGAAAAACTCATGACAAAAATGTTAATTAAATAATTACCAGAAAGATGCACATGGTGCACTCTGCTACAGTTTGGTGTAACCTATGCTTCACTTTGCTGCATTTGGTAAGAGCATAACTCTTGTATCTTTTAGGATGTTTCAACGGCATAACACTTTGATTTGGGATTAAATTGGGAATATGGTTTCTATCTAGTGAAAAGCACATGGCCTTTTTAATGGGGCATCACTAACAGATATGTTGAGGGATTAGGAAGCTTCCTTCCATAGATTATTTTGTTTTTTCTATTTTGTTCTTTTGATAAAGAGTTTTCCTATACCTTCCTCTTTTTGTAATTCTTTTTTAATTTGTTTTAATAAATTTCTTCATTTATCAAAGAAAAAGAAGAGATCAGATACTGAGTAATTACGACAAAAACATATTTACAAAAGCATGAGCAGTGGGGAAAGGAAGAAAAGTCATCCAACTAATCTAAGAAGGATACAAAGTTAGGGTCATTCTATTTAAGAATTAAACATGAACAAGAGCACCCAGTCATGCAGCTGTAGCATTCCCAAACAAAAAAGAGAGAAAAGCAAAAGAAATTAGGTGATTTCACCACATTAATTTAGTCAATTCAATTATTATCTTACTTCACTATGCAATGCAGCAGTGGCAGTCAGCCGTTCAGCCGGATCGATTGAGAGAAGGGTCTCAATTAGCGGCAGGGATGATGGTGGAAAATCTTTAAAAGTGTCTGCTATGCATCGCTTGTATGACTGTTGGGGCTTAAAAATAGTAGCATGTGGCAACTTTGACTTTTTCCAATATTCTTCAGAAGGGGAACCACATAGCTTAAATATCTTATGTAGCTGCTCCACCTGCGAAGCATGAAGGATACCATATCAGCAAAATCTAAAGCATAAATCTCAGCCACAGACAGCAAAATCTTGCACCGGACTAGTAAACTGGATACATTACATATTATGCTCTTAAAAGGAGCATTTATAGAACCTATATAATGTATCCAGTCATAGAGATTACCTCCGTTCGACCAGGCATAATAGGCTTTCCAGCCAATAATTCTGCAAGAATGCAGCCAGCACTCCAGAGGTCCACTCCTACACCATAGTCAGTGGCCCCAAGAAGAAGTTCTGGAGGTCGATACCATAAAGTCACCACTCTACTAGTCATAGGGTGCTTGTGATCAGGATCAAAGAAGGACGCTAATCCAAAATCAGCAATCTTAAGGATTCCTTCATTGTCAATAAGAAGGTTTGACCCCTTTATATCACGATGCAGCACATGACGGTTGTGACAATGTTCAAGCCCAGAAAATAGCTGATGCATGTAACATTTTACCTAAAATACCCAGATATGACCATAGATAAAAGATCCACCTCAAGGAGCAACCAAAAAAAATAAGCTTGAATCATATATTTCAAACAACAAGAACATGCACTTAGATAAATAAATAGGCCAAAACCTGAGGCTCTGTGAACTTAATTGCTGGGTTTGTAGCCAGTCCAGCCAGATCATGCACCATGTATTCAAACACAAGATATAAACTGCATGACATTCTAGAAGTCACTAAGCCTTCCAGTTTGACAACATTGGGATGATCCAGACGACGCAGAATCAGAATCTCTCTGGCCATAAACTTCACACTCTCGGGCTCTAAATTGTCAAAACGGACCTTCTTTAAGGCAACAATTTTCCCCGTTAACATATCCCTAGCTTTGTAAACATTGCTGTATGTACCTTGCCCAATCTGATTGCAAAACAGTAAAGGCACCAATGAGAGATTCAATCTTTGTCAGGTAAGTATATAGGAAAATTAACTTTTAGACATTTTGATGGAAGACTTTTCAATTTATAAGTTCCAATAATAAAAAGTCAAAAATCCATATTTACTATTTTTAGGTGTTGCCTTTGCTTGCATTCAAAAACCAAACATAAACCCTTCTTTTGAGCCAAAATTCCTCAAGTTATCTTAAAACTTCAAAGAGAAATACAGTAACACAAACATCATCTTTTTAAGGAAATGAGCAATGAAAAACATAAGAACAGATCACACTTTCTTAAAATCCAAACAACAAGATCATATTATCACCACTCACCAACATCATCAAATCAAAATATCCACATACTCAAATCGAAAAATATATATAAAAAAAAAATCCACTGAATCAAAGGTGCCCTTTACCTTATCAAGTTTCTCAAAAGTATCAGCCCTTCTAGGGGTCAATCCATTGATAGCTTCCCCAGCAACCTTGGAGAGCCAAGATGGCCACCCTGCAGCTACCTGCTCACCATGAACATTGTTAGGTGGATTGCTCAACCTCGGATTCGGCTTAGAAGATCTCCTCCTCTCTCCCCTTGGCCTTGTCCTCTTCTCTTCTCCTCCACCTTCCTTCTCATTCTGAATCTCTCCTCCACCAACCTCTGCTTTTCCTTCTCTCACTTCCTCTCTCCTCTCCTCCGCCGATGACTCTTTCCCAAACACACACCCCATGTCTCAAAACATCTCATTTACTCCTCCTCCTCCATCATCACGCTCCCACACTTGCACCAACCACATTTTCCCTCACTTTCTCGCCATCCAAACACACCCCTCCCTAAAGAACCATTCAGCCTTGTAAAACCCTAATGATAAATCTTGACAAGCTGGAATGTGCAAACACTAATTCAAAAGACCCTAACTTTTGCAGACAAAAGTGAGAGAGCAATGATATGAAGACACCCCACAAATTGTGAAGCAGTAAAAGAAAATAAGACCAGTGTTTTTTTCTTTTCTTTTCTTTTTCTTTTCAAGGTGGGTTTTTTATTTTAATTTTTTTTTAATTTTTTTTTTTTTTTTCTCCTTTTGGTTTTGGATATGGAGGAGGATCAAAGTTGAAACAGTTAAAAGATGTAGTTGGGTCCTACCCGATTCATGGATCAATGAAAAGAAAAGAATGTTTTATAGAGAGAGAGAGAGAGAGAGAGATTATGGGGTGGATCTCTTCTTTTTCTTTTCATGTTCTCTCTCATAGCAACAAGCAACAATGGTCTATGCATTTATTTTGACTCAAAGGAAAGAGGACCAAAAGGGAGCAAAAAACTGTACCTATAAATTATAACCTTCTCTCTGTGCCTAACTCAGTTTTTTCTTCAGTACTGTGCTTGGATCAAGGTGAAGAAGCTTCCATTGTAAACTTTAAGGTTCCAATCAAAGTAATACACAAAAATCAGAATCAAGTACAAGGGAAGTGTTTATGCTAATATATTCACAACAGTGGTTTTATTTTTATTTTTATTTTTATTTTTATTTTTTTGGTTTTTGTTTCTTGCTTGCTTGCATGTGGTAAAAATATAATTGGCTAAGTTGGTGGGAAGGTGCATTGGATCCAATGTACACCTCATAAGTTGATATGTACTTTATTACATTTTTTTGGGGCCAGTTTTGATGGCCTGAAGTTATAACTTAGACGTTAGAACATAGCTTTAAGGACAAATGAAGGATTTGCTCGGTTGGTCAAGATTTATGATAAAAATAAGTGACAATTAAAGCATGTAGTTATTAAAATAATATGGGTTTAGTGTTTTTCCATGAATAAAATTATCTTTTGTAATTCCAAAGTATGTTTTGGGGTTTAATAAAATAAAAATATTTTGAAAAAATTTATATTATAGGAAAAATATAATTTTCAAAAGTCTTTCAATCCAAAACAACTTCATCTTAAGTTATACGAGATAATTCTATCTACTATGAATAAAATAAATTTCTAGAAAACTTTAATTTTTTGTGTAAAAAGGATTTATGATATTGACACAACAATATGCGTTTATTTAGAGAAATATAATCCCCAAATAATAAGGGAAAGATGTTTCCATTGTTATAAAATAACATTGTTTTGGGTTTGCACCACTTTATATTAAACCCAGAGATGTAATAAGGACAAATATATATATAGAGAAAAATATTTATCATTTTAAAAAACACAATTATATAATATTTTTAATAAAATAATCGTGTTTTGGTATATATTTATGAGTCTTTTATATTCTTTCTCCTTCACAAAATTAAGAGGAGAGAAAAAGAGAGTACTATAAAAATAAGAATGTAAAAAGTTAACAAATATATACAAAAACATAGTCGTTTCATTCAAAATAATATAAAGTTATGTTCTTTAAAATAATAAAAAATTTGTTTATAAATTAATTTTAATAATTTATATAGAATATATGGTCAAGTCATTTGTAATGTAATGCATGTTTGGAAAAAAAAAATTCAAATAAAATATTTTTTTTTTCAAAAACTCTTCTAGAAAGTTGTAATTAGAAGTTTATCTAAACAAACGTTTTCTCTTGGAGCCAAAAAAAAAAAACAAAGCTGGATAAATTATGCAAGGGGAATACTAGTTTCATTTTATATGAGATTATTTTTCTCATGTTACCGAGAGAAATTAAGTATAACCTATCATTAAAAGGTAAAAAAAAAAAGTAGGTGAGATTTTTGAAGTAAAAGAATATGAAATAATTATCTCATGTAAAATGAGAGTATTATTTTTCATTATGTAATGAATTGAAATATAGTTTATTTTGAAAGTGTATAGTTTTTCAATCATAATACAAATGTAGGAAATTTAAGTATGAATTCTAAGTAAATATATAGATTAAAAAAAAAAACTTCACATTAAAAATGAATTGACAAAGTAAAAACTTTACTAATTAGACGTTATATCATATTCATTATTGTAAAGAGTATATGAACTTATAGTTAAAAAGAATATTGATGGCAATATGAATAAAATAAAGTCTCACATTAAAAGAAATAATAAAAATTTTAGCAAAAGTATCCGTAAATTTGCATCAAGGTATATACAATATAATAAAATTTTCTCTTGTAACCTACTCACATGAGAAATAACACGGAAGGGGTCAATATATTCTACTTGTCTAGGACCAAATTAAGCCCACCTACCTTAACAACCATCCCTGTCTTATTGTAGCTGTCCTTATAATTCAACCTTTCAAACCTTAACGAAAAAGATAGTGGATTACGATAATGTAAAGCAATTAATCTTACTTGTCCAGTTTTGTATATTATTCACATAATAAGTATGGCAGAAGAAAATTGCATAACAATCTCACAACATTACCATGTACCACATAATTGGTACTCAATGGGTGGATCACACACCGCTGTTTCAAGCATTTTCTTTTTGCTTTTCATAGTATTTTTGGATATAATAGCATATTATCAAGTACTGACACTTCAAAAATTTTGACGTGTAATGTCTGATACTTCTCGACGCTCATCGACACTCTGACACTTCCCGACACTCCAATACTCATTGCAAAAACTCAAAAAAAAGTTCAAAGTTTACGTTGCATTGCATTTTGAGTTCCAACTATTAGATTCTTTAGATTATAATTATCATTTTATTGAGTTTAATATACACATTTGAGATATCTTATGTTTCTTTGTAAAATTAATGAGTTTTATAAGTTTAGCTTTGTTTTTTTGTTAATTATTGAATATTAAATATAACATATACTATATAAATTAAAAATATTATATAATACCAAAACGTGTCCTAACGTATCAAAATTTAATATTTTTTAGAATTAACATATCAGAATATCGTGTCGTATCGTATCCGGTGTCTCGTGTTGGTATCGGTACAACATAGATGACATAAAGCGATTTAATTAAAAGAAAATCTGTTTTGAAAGTTTGGAACGTTAATAGAATAGATGTAATGCGCTTATCTTTGATTTTTTATTTATTTTTTCATTGTTTTCTTTTCGAAAAAAAGTTATTAATATTACGTTAACGCTAGAATTTCCAGACCTTGTAATGTAAGAGGCACTTTGATGGTTTTCAATGAATGAACTTTTTTATTCTTTTTTATGTTTTTTCTGGGGTTAACACTTTCTTGTTACTTTAATTTCTCATAAAAAAGAAGGAAACCATATATTGCTACACAATCAGAATCAATTACTTTAGATAATATTTATTTAAAATATTAATATAAAATTATCAATATGATCCTATTTACGAATTTAAATTTTTGGGTTGAATTGACACTTTATAATATTTGACTCTTTTATAATGTAAGAAATTTATTATGTATGTATATGTAATATTAATTGTTAATTATTGTAATCAATAATTAATATTTTTAACTTTGTTCCCCTCTAAAGCAAAAACTCAAGAGTCCAATTGTGGAGAGAACCCCAAAACTTTGCATAAAAATGACAGATAAAACTGTACCTGATGAGCAACAATGATGTTGGACTTGCACAAAAAGTTTACGTTAAAAAAAAAAAAAAAAAAACTTCAAGAAAGCTAAAATTTGGTCCAAACTCCAAACTTCACTAAAAAAGCAACATGACCCACAAAAATTTGTTCATATTCGCACATTTAGTGGCGGGGTCGAGGGCAGCGCTTCCAAATTTTTTTTTGTAAAGAAAGTTTAAATCAACGCTTAAACTCGCTCATAATCTAGTTGCTTTCATAACAACCTGCAGATAATAGTTTGACCAATTATTTCTCTCTAAATCTTATCAGTCTTCCAAAACAAATATGAGAATATACTCCAGTACATCCATATATCATCATTCTATTTTATAGTGGTGAATAAAAAAGTCAATATTGCACCACTAGGGTTAGCCTAGTGGTGTAGGGTGTGTGTGTTAGGAGTGTGTGTAGTGTAGGGTGTTGTGTTCAATTCCTTGTAACCTCCAAAAAAAATAAAAAAGTCAATATTACTTGTACATAAGGCAAACAAAATCACAGTGAATCCCTCGTCTCTAGATATTAACTTATTTGAGAATGTAAAACCTGCAATCAATCCTCTCTTTTTATAAAAATGAAAAAGGAAACAAAAGATGAAGAGAGTATGAAAATGAGTACGTGACACGAGAGGAAGAATAAGTTTTCTCTCTAATCAATTTGCATTGCTACGTTGTTTTAATCATCTTTGCACGTTGCTACATTGCTAACTAATATAAGAATAAATATTTTTTTTCGTCCATAACAAAAAAATTCGGTCTCCACTTTAGCCTATTATAAAAAAAATTAGTTACCAGGTCCCTATAAAATTCAAAGTGGACCAATTTTTATCTTTTTGAGGGACTAATGTAGGTCTTTTTTGAATTTGTGAGAGACCACAATTTTAACTAAATTGATTCACTTTAAATTTTTTAGGAACCTCGAGACTATTTTTTTTTGTAAGAGATTAAAATGAAGATCATATTTTTTATTAAGGACTTAAAAGAATATTTACTCCTAAAATATATATTGAACTAAGGGATAAATAAAAACATCCAACAACAAAAAATTGAAATAAAAATTTTTATGACCGCACGCATTTTACCCAAGTGGGTCCGCCACTGGTAAAAACAATAAAGAAGCTTTAGCATGCCATTTAAACAATATGTGAGACCCACACCATTCCTGGTTCCTACGAATCAAAGCTGCACTGCGACCACTACCCACTACCTGTCATGATCGCACACATGACACAACCTATGTAGGTACACACACTTAATTAACTTGATATTTACCCAATATTTTTCTATTTTCATTTAATGCCAATATAAAATTTTAATATCAATCAATTATCTGCCATTACATCATTTGAAATAAATTAGTCATCATATTCAAAAGGCATAGTTCAATTATAGGTGATAATATGGGTTAAATATGACGGGTCAATCCGTTAAAATACAATTAACTTTGTGAGAAATGTTTTGTAACAAAAAAATATTTATGAACCAATATTTTTTACTAAATATTGTACTGAAGGGTAGATTCCTAAATTATATATATATATATATATATATATATATATATATATATATATATATATATAAA